CTTTGCCGCCAGGGCTCTCTCTCTCTCTCTCTCTCTCTTCTCTCTCTCCTGTGAAAAATCTTGGAAGCGAGAGTGCGTAGCGATTACCAATCTTGAGTCGGAAGTGGTTACTTGATTCATTGTTCCCGCAAGTCAAACCGGGGAGAGGATCGGGGGAGGGGGGGCCAGTTATCTCGTACTATACTATAACGATGAGCGTTTAAGAAACCGGCTCGGGGTAACCGGAGGTGTTTCCGCGATAGTAGCAGCAGCAGCAGCAACAGCAGCAAGGGAGGGGTCAATCCGTCTGTGGGTGGCCGCATTGCATGTGCTTTGTATTTTTTTGTGACTTTTTTTGTTTTCATCTTTTTGTACAATCACAGTGCACGGGGTAGTAGTAGTAGATGGATAGATACGTAGCAGATCATCCTTCCCTTTCGCAACATCATGGGTGATGTGGGTCCATATTTTATGCTGTTGGAACACTCGTTTTATTATAGGAACCAACGGCCAGCAACAGCAGTGCCCTCTCGGAGCACCCGCAAATGCAAGAGGTATACCCGCTCAATATATGCGGTAACCGTTGCGTGTGTGTCAGGCGGTAGCCCAAACCCCCGGCCTAGGGAACTTTTCCCGCTGCCCGTTTTTTTTTCCCTCCCTTCCTTTTTACGAGACGGCCAATAGGACGGGAGTCAACATACAAGAGAGGGAGGTGCGTTGGAAGAGAGGGGAGCAATCATTCACATAATCGCTATTCCGAGGCTTAAGGGGGCAAACAACCCCTTTCCCCCTTCCACATCCCCTCTCCCCGTGCTCCCCGTGTCCTCTAACAAGGCCGTTTCATAGCCTCGTTGGAATTGCGCTGCCAAGCGACACCGGTGGGCGGCAAGCAAGGTGGACGAGAAGAAAAGGAAGGAGGAGCGGGGGGAGAGTCAGGAAAGACAGCCAGCCCGTTCATTCATGACGTCTAATATCGGGAGGTGGTCCGGAGCCGCGGTGAAATGGGTATGTGATGTGTCTGTGTTCCTCCCCTCTCCAACCCCCGTTTGGTGGGACGACAGGGCCACGATGAAGACCTGCACATGGACGGTGCGGTGGTCCGTACGCGAAGTGACAGGCAAACATGCAGAACAAGGGAAGGGCAATAGTAGATGGAAACCTACAGGTTGCTTAGTCTTGAGATGGATTGCTCCGCGTGCTAGTGTGCAGCATGTGTTGTTGGTTGTTGTGCCGCGAGGTTTAATTGCAAGGCGGAGGCCACTTTCGCCTTTTCGTATGTAACCTGGCAATGTTGGCGATCAAGACCCTCCTGTTGACTGTTGTTGGGGGGAAAGCTTGGAACCTGAATGCAGCCGAGCGTCGGGAAACACTCTCGGTGAAGAAGGTGGTGATTTCGTCGTTTCCCCCGTCTCTTTTCTTTTCTCTACTTTGAAGGGGGCCCCAGGAGGTCCCATTTGGCTTGAATGAATAGAGAGGCGAGCGGGATGGCCCGCGGGAGATGGTCCAGGGGTTCGGGTCAGGCACAGTCGGTCCAACACCCCTCTCAGCTCTCAACCAAGGTAATAGGCTACATGGCGTACATCGGACAGTGGGGTTTTCACTGTCTTTCTTTTTCTTGTCTTCCCTCTTCGTTCAATTTGCGCAGCTGGGATCACAGTTAGGGAGCTTTTGTTAGGACATTTGCTGTTTTGGTGTCTTAGGCTCCGAGGCTTAGTAGGGTTGCAAGCGGGACTAGGGCTTGGTATGGGCTCGGAAGGTGACGCCGCTGCGGTAGCGACGGCGGGTATGGGTTGGAACGGGGAATTGAACGAAGGCGCGTGCGTAAAAGAGCTGTCTTTCCCGAGGCTCGTATCTTCAGTGGGATGATCTGATGTATGGGATGAGAGGAATAGGGGCATTTTCGTTCAGGGTTTGTGGCGCTTCGCGAGGTTGCGAAGTAAATCATTCCCCCAGCTAAACGATAGGTCTAAAGACCCTTTTTTTTTTTTCTTCTTCCTAATATTGATTGTCAAGGTAGAGCAGGAAGGGATATTCCAGACCCTGGATAGGACTTGTGCCTAAAACGACTTGACTCCAGACGTTGAAACTTTCTTTAATGACAGCCACTTTGGCTATTCGCATGTTTCGGCCTTTTTGCGTACAAGTATGCGTTTTGCCTTTTTGACAGGACGCTACTCCTGAATTGGCAAAGTGGGTAAACGGGATGCGGCCGAACCTAGGGCCTGTGCAATTGTCTGGAAATCTATGCGTACCGACATGCCCTGACATGCTCTTATTACCCAATTTTCTGTTGAAATTTCTGCCCCCTACCAGCATGTGACAGGTGTTTCCATATTACCGGACGTATACTGAGTCGATGTGCGAGACGGGGCTTCAAGCTCAAAGGCAGTTGGATTCCCGCCTGTTCACATTTACGCCGTGATGGGGGCTTGTAGCGGAACGGTCTGCCTCTGGATTTAGTTTGTCGAGGTGCGGCCCAAGGGAACGGATAACTGGGCGGGGACCTACGTCACACTGGATCGATGGGGACCCGTCTCCTTTTAACATTGACTCGTTTCTTTCTCCTCGTGGTTGCCATATCAAGTGGGTTATGTTTAGTGGATATGTTGGGTTTAGAAGGTCCATGCTCCTCCTCCGACCGGTTCGGGTCTGGGTGCGGATGTCGGGACCCTTGAACTGCTTTCCTACTTGTTCTGTCAGCCGAGCTGAACCCGAGGGTGCACAGTACATAGGATCATTCGTAGATCCCGTGGTGTCGAGGTAGTTGAGTCATTTGCAGAGGCATGCTGGAGGAACAACGACGACGCTCCTGAAGCCAAATTTGACATGTTACCCCGTGGTGTGCCGGACTTTGCCGTGCCGTGCGGAAGTGGTGGAATGAGCGTGGAAGTGCGGAAGACGGAATTGGAGCGCGTTAACAGAGGTCGTGGAAGCACAGTGTCCCTCGGTGTCAATCATCGCGGAACAGAGGAACAGCATCCTGGGTTTTGGGAGGGCCAGCGGGGGCTATCCCTTCCTTGATTCTTCATAGGGCTTCACCAGAGATGGAGAATGGGGGCTCTGGCCGGGGTCAGCAAGAAGGAGCGGGAGATGGGAGGGGAACGAACTCATGGGAACTGTTACGTGGCCCAGCCCAGGGTCCTGTCTGCTGGTAGCACAGTGGCAGGCAGTTGTTGATCAGCCCTGCTTGCACGACTCATGTTTTACGGGATCGCAGCAGCGTGGTGAGCCGTTCCAGGAACGGCTATGGAGGGTTGATGTCCGTGCTTTGGGAAGGGACGAACGTGTAATGTTCTGCCCTACGTTTATGGAATCATTGATCCCGCGTATTCTGAAGTCAAAAACGACGGAGTCGGGGTCCGAAAAGCAGCCTCAACGTGGCATAATGCCGGAAAATCCATCGGGGCCGGGTCGTCTGACGAGGGCGACCCGAGGTAGTAATAATCCCACATCGGCCGGATGTGAACGGTGGCTGTCACTCTGCAGGCTGGTCGTCGGCCGCCTTTAGGGCGAACCAGGGCGTGTTAGTCCTCGGAATCCGAGACCCAACAGTCTGGCAGCTCAAATGTCCCTCCTGGAGCACGGTTTGTCACATTTTGGGAAAGCAATAAAGTAAAGTTGGATTTGTTTCACAAGAAGGTAGCCTGTCACTTTGTGGAGCACAGAACAAGAACAAGATGTCTGATGTTGACTTGCCAAGTTTTGCCCTGTCTCGTGGATCCGGCGCGGTGTGAGCTTGTTAGTTGTTGATAATCCATATCTATAGAGTCGTTGTCAGTGCCAGCCCCCGCAACCTTGTCTCTCGTGTCAAGCGTCCTGTCATACCTGCCAAAACTGCCATGTGCGCGACTCATTAGCCTTGGAGTCTTGGAACAGTCTTGGGTAGCATTAGGGTCGCGGGGAGACTTTGACAAGAGGAGGAAAAGGAATTACTCGATAACTCCACACACATTAACAAACTCCCCCTTTTTTCACATCATACCACGCCGCTTGGCCTCCTCCTAAAGGAAAATGAGCAGATATGCTTGAGCAGCAGCCGAGGTTGTTTTGCAAAGGAATTTGATGAACACAATGTCCGCAGATTGTGAAATCGACGAGTACCCGCTCAAATAAAACAGGCATGAAGTCCCCGTCAGGGCCTCCCCACTTTCCGCAATTAGGTACCTAAGCTGCCCTAGACACAACTTTGTCATCTAAATTCGAAGACTGTGGCGGACATAGCTCAGTTGGGAGAGCGTCAGACTGAAGTTAACTTCAATCACTTAATCTGAAGGTCGTGTGTTCAATCCACACTGGCCGCATCTTCATCTTTTGTCAATCTCCATGTGAATTGACAACATCTTTTTTACATTTGCAGTTTTATGTTCTACTAGATTTTCCCTTTCCCCCCATGACCATTTGCAATTTGAAAATGTTGAGAAAAATAAGGTGTGCAACCTGGTATAATAAGTCGATTGGTTTCGAGGTCCTTTTGTTGATTTGGCCTCAACGACGACACACTGGCGCTGTGGCCACTGCGGGATTGGGGCACAGTTTGTGGTTCTTACTTATTACGACAAGCTCAGTCAGAGGCCCAATTGTCCGTCCATGCAGTTGCAAAATTGTATCTTGCTTTCCAGAGATCTCATGCTTATGAGGTGAATTATGTCAGAGTTAGAAGACGGTAATCACTGGAGTTGAACATTGTAGGTAATATCTTTGCTTTCATGTGGCGTTGATGATGCGTAGTGATTGCGATAAGACTCCCTTCCCTTCAGTTCCGCTAACAAGAAGCCGGCCCGGAGATTTTCCACCGCCCGCAATCTCCCGGAGATTTCGTCACGAACCGCGCCTACGCAAAGCTTCACTTAATCACCATTGTACCACGACAAGTTACCACTCCAGTCGCAGCCGCATCGCATACTCTCCCTCCTCTTCCGCATATTTCCCTCCCATCATATCCTTTCGATTTTTCAAGACTGTGCACTTTGCCTTTGCACAGTCGCTCGCCACCTGCCCACGACCACCCCCACCACAGCTTTATGCAACACTGGCCTGCTGAGTCTTCAGAAACGCAACGCCAACAAGACAATCCCCCGATCTCCTCTCCTCCGAATCAGCATGGCTTTCGTCATCGTCACCAGCCGACCGGCGTCGCTCCCCGCCGCGCCGACTCGGGCAGTGCTTCCCCGCGCTCTGTCCCGGACGGTGGCGGTAGTGACTCACTCGACGCCATCAGTGCTGTCCAGCTCGACGAGAAGCTTCGCCGGTTGAGCTTCACCAACGGTCATTCCGCTGAAGCTCATCCTTCTGTCGCTGGTCAACGAGTGATCGACTACGAGAATGCCCTCACGCCCTCTACACCCCGCCAAGCCTTGGGCTTCAAGGTGATCAAGCGATACGATGCTCGGCCCGACGGCGTTCAGCTCACAGACTTCCCTAATGGTTCGTAGACCTTTCTCGCGAGGTCATGCAGAAAGGTTGACTAACAAGATAATGCAGAAATTTTGACGCACATCCTCTCTCACTTACACCCCGATTCCCACTCAGCTGTGGCGCTCGTGTCGAAACGCTTTTACGCTCTTGTCACAACCCCTCATGCGTGGAGAATGGCGTTCTTGCGATTCTTCCCTGGCCACGAAGGTATGCTTGTCAGGTCGGAGCAGACTCGCCTAGGTCCTCTTGATCAGGACTTATCTGATTTCGTGCGGTCTGAGGCCCGCTACTTTGCGCGTCTGACACCTTTGGCAACTTGGAGAAGCGAATACCTGTTACGAACGCGCCTCCTGAGAGGTCTTATCAGGGGCAAGCCTGGATCGGGCATTGGCGCGTCCACTCGCAGCAGCAAAAAGTCGAGCGCCGTTCTGACCTACAACTCTAAGCTACCTTGGGTTGTAACGCATATCCACGCGGTTTTCTCTGCTGCCGCTGGGAAAAGGCCTCCCATGGCTATTCATGGCGCGGCGGACCTAGGAGTTGGAACGTTAAGTGATCCTACCAATGGAAAAGTCGAGAAATGGGGGTTCAATGACCCCTTTTCTACACTCCAGCTGGATGAAGTGTTTCCAAACCTCGAGCCTTACGGTTATGGTGACGGCCCTGCTGCGTGCCCTAATGTTATGGACGTCAGTCTGCCTTACGGGCTTGTATCTGGTGAAGGCTTTCCTGGAGGGCGCGCCTACTACCGACCGACGAACGAGCTGCGCGGCCGTTACCTCAGCAGCGACACTGGCGTGGTTGATACGTACCCGGATATTCCAAAAATTCCAGAACTATCAGAAGCCATTTCAAGCGTTTGGGTAGCCAAATCGACCGCAGTACCCAACATCACCCATTCAGCGGTTGGTATAATGACGGGTTCGACGCTTGGAATTGTGACGGCATATGCTCTGGGGGGAGATGGCAGCGGTCCACGACATGCTAGCGGTGAGATGACGGCGCGCTGGGTGCTCAGTCCTGGCGTACCCATTGTCTGTCTCAAAGTTGATGACCAGTATACCCAGAAGCGAAAAACCGCTCAGCGAGTTTGGGCCGTTGCTCTCAATGCTCTGGGCGAGATTTACTACCTTGTGGATGCCCCCAAAACGACCATTGATCGAGCAAAGGGCGAGGACGTCACTAAAAATGCCTGGTACGCTGGCCGATCGGTCTACTGGCAACTCATTGACCAAACCCGGCGTCAGGCTCGGTCTGATGACTTGGATAAGCATGCGCTTCGAGGTGCATACTCGCCTCGGTCTCCTGCGGATGCTATGAAGCTGAGCAAGGAACAACTTGTTGCAGAAGCCCGTGAGATCGAGAAGTTCCTACGTTACAAGCCATCACACTTCCGCAAGGTCTGTGACGGCTGGGATATGCGTAGACGACTTGAAGTCGACTTTGCGAATGACGATGACAACGGTGCTGGCGAGGTCATTGTCTCTGTCCAGTGTGGCCTTGATCAGGCCCAGAAATCTCAGGTTACGCGTTTTGCTAGGGCCGTGGCCCAGGCGCCTCAGCCAAGTGTAGAGGACAATTCAGCACCACAAGAAGACGTGACTCCTGCTCCGACGTCTCTATTCGGATACGGGATTGACAGCCAGCCAGAACCCAAGGCCGTATCTGCCGTCAAACTGGGTTACGGTGATGTGACGCCGACCTCTTCAGGTTCGCTGACTCCCCCGGCAACACTCAGCTCTCTAGATGAGTGGACTGTGGACACAATGGCGCTTGGCCACCATCACAAGTCGGAGATCACTGCGTCTGCTGTGGACCTGTCATCTCATGCTCTTCTCACGCTCTATGAAGATCCCCTTCATTTTGGCCACAAATCTGCGGCTACTCCGACCATGACCCCACGAACAGCCGAGTCCGTGGCTGAGATTCCCGGTCGGAGGACTCGCATGCTTGCTGTAGGCACCAAGAGCGGTGCTGTAGTAGTTTGGAACATGCGCGAGCAACGTACCAAAACTGAAATCCAGCCTATTCGATTGATTCAAACTGAGTCACCGGAGATTTCATGCCTAGCATTAACAGCTCTCTATCTTGTTCACGGCGGAAGCGACGGTCTTGTCCAAGCTTGGGATCCGCTCGCGTCATCCCTTGACCCTCTCCGCACCCTCAACGCACGTTCGGCAGGTCGAGTACCTCGACACATGGTGACGATGAACCCTTCGCTCAACGCTGACACCTACGCGGCCGCGCGGGCTATTCACCTCGACCCTGATCCCACAGTCCTGCGTGGTGTTACATCCTTTGGTGCCTTCCTCCGCTATTGGGCGTACAGTGCGACCACTCAACCACCTGGTCGCAAACGCCGTCTCCGGCATTCAGACATTCACGGCCGTCTTGCAACGCGCCGCCAGGGTGGCAAGGTTTCTGGATACATCGCTGCCGAAACTGCAGAACTCCGCCGGGAGCAAGAGCAAAAAGCCCGTGAAGATGCCTGGTTACGCAATCGTTTCGGAGTTGGCGCCTATGGCGACTTGACCGAAGAGGAAGCCATTCAATACGCCGAGATGATCTCGCAAGAGACTCTCCTACTAGAAGAGCAGCGCCGTGCCAGCGCTAGCGATACCGGGTCAGCATTTGATGCCGGCCTAGACACCGCCTCGTCCTTCAGCGAGAGCACCGTCGATACAGTCACGCCGGAGCCAAGTGTCAATGGTTTCACGCCACCTCCTCCTGTAGTTGAGGAAGAGTACGAATACGAGGTGCAGATTCAGCAAGCACTTCGGCTCTCGCTCATGGAGGCTTCCAACGACGCGGGACAATCACCACAGGGGAACAGCTCTGGTGACTACGAGTTTGCCGTCAAATACAAGCCCAAGGCTACGAAGAAAACGAAGCAGTCATCATCCACCTCGCCGTTTGCAAGTTACACGCCAACCGGATCTAATACTGCCTCCTCAAGCAGAGCCATGCCAAGGGACGATGACTTGGAGCTCGCATTAGCCCTCAGTGCAGGAACATCTAGCAGGCCAGTGCCGCAGGAAGACGACCTTGAGCTGGCATTGAGGCTCAGCCTTCAAGAAGCTACTGCCAATGGGCACCCGGACTTGGAGTTCGAGCAAGAGCAGGTTCACCAGGAAGAGTTTCCCATGTTGGAAAGTAAGGGCAAAGGAAAGGGGAGGATGTGAAGATGCGAGGATTGCAGATGTTGCACTGACTTTGAGGATTGTTTTGATTTGATGTGGTTTTTTTCGGAGCAAATGTTGTCTTTCTCCTGCATTGCTGCAGTTAATGCTATTTTGTCTGCTTCGTCAAGAGTAGCGATACTTCCTACTCGCACCGTTACGAGCTAGGCCCTTGCCGTTGAGAGGCTCTGTGTATCGAAGATCCTAGAAGTATAGATATATTTGAGCGACGTTAGCTGCAATACTGTCTGTTAAGTGCTGTTGTTGCCTGAAAGAGGTTCTTCCAATTCGTAATGCATTAACAATTCTTCCTGGTACCATCTTAAGATTTAGCTCGTAAGTGTTCTTAGGGCTGATGTGAACGACCAATCACTCTATCTTACCTCAACATCCTTCACCCCGTCTCCTCTGCTTTAAAACATTCATTATCTACGTTTAGGCAGGTGGATATGTGTCAGTTGTGCTTGCTTGGTAACAGGTTACGAGAAAACGTAGGTTGATTCAACGTCATCCTCTCAGGACACAAGGAAGTTAAAAGACGCTGTTTCGGTCTTTTCGACACTTGCAACTGCAGGAGGCTGGGAAGTAGCGCAACCATTTGTGCTATGTCGTCTAGTTGGCCGTGGCATCTTCTGGGATGAACAACAGACCTCGATAACAATGCATTCTTGGATGATATATGAAAATACGCAACACCGGTTCGTAGACATAATTACTGGTAGTTACAGTCAAGTTTTGGAGCGTGGTTCCGATGTTGATCAGTGGTGGTGTGAAACATAGCAAGGTCGCCGCGGTTGATGTTCGTAGTCGCGTCTGTAGCTATCCCCTAGGCAAATCATGACCTTCATTGCAGGAAACCATCACTCGAGGTCAACACAGGTGGTGTACTGTAAGAACATCAGTTGTATTTAGGATCCTCCTCAGAAGGGTCGTGAAAGCGTCTTAAACCGCAGTCGAGGAGGGTGTTAAATCCTCGCATGTCATCCTGTCAGTCGCTGGGCCTCGGAGACTGGTGAGGTCGGTTCGGCTGTCAATCTCGGTCCTGTGTATTATGCAGGGTTTCCTTAATCTCCGGAAAGAACAAACTGCCGCCTTTTTCAGATGACCGCAGCAAGATCGAGAGCGAGAATGTCAGTGACAAGGACCTTCGCCACTTGGTGCCGTCAACGCCTCGTAATCGGGGTTTAGCATTTAACTGTTCCATGAGGCCCCATGCTTTAACCACAAATCTATCAACTTGTCCTGATGAAAATATTCCTCGCGGGTCGAGACTCATCTTGTAGACCCTAATACCTGAAGCTCTGTGCATAACAATAACATAACATGAAGACCTGACCAGTGAGTAAGCGCGGCCCCATTAATCTCTCCTCAATCTCTCCTCGCACTGCGAAGCCAAAACATAGGACAAGGGAGAACAGATCTTTGAACGGCGAATTCCGTAAAGGGCGTAATTGAACCCCTGCAAGAACGGGCCCGATGGGGAACCTACATCCAGAACGCAGATTGCCGCGACAAGCCTCTTACAGTAAGTAGTAGGGTTCCAACCGATGGTAGAGCCTAAAGTACAAGTCCAATGCATGTTTTAATTGGAATAAGACGAGAGTTTCCAATGCAGAAGGTTGTTATCCGGCTCTATGAAAGTACAAGATAACTGCTTATGCCTATTGCGAGAACTTGAAGATCTAACTTCACATTGGTTGTTATCCAACCCAAATATGTGTTGATGGCTTGGAGGAATTTCTGCTCAACCTGGACTTGGCTCCAATTTGATCTTGTTTTCTCCTCCAGTTCAAGGTGTTGAAGGTTGTTAGGGATTGGAAACACATCGTGAACATGGATACAATCCCGTACTTCTCTTATCCCGACTTTTGCTCATGATTAGCTGGTACAGCATCAACACCGATCTACAGACCGTCTGATAAGCCCCTTCCTCGGCGCCTCAATCCAACCCGAACGCCGTGCTGACTAAAGTCGACAAACTGTAACGTAACATGTTCCCCCCGTAGCGAAGAGGTCGTTGAAAGTTCTAGTTCGTGGTGACTCACGGTCATCGATAATTGCGGATGACCACTCGCGGGATAGGACGAGAGTAGGGAAGGAGACTCCGAGACCCAGCCGGCCGCCGGCCTGGCCTTCGGCCCCGGATGAGCGGAGGTAGCTATGACCTCATAGGACGGTGCCCAAAGTTCTTGGTTTACACTTTTGCATGCTGTTGTGCGTTGTATGCTGTGAGATGGCCCAGTATTCGAGGCACGACGCTTTATGGAAACTTTGTCGCAGTTTCTTACGTATATAATTCCAATTGTATTTACTGGCCAAATAACTAGTTGCCTTTCTCCATTTGACAACGGCTTTTCTCACGTGTCCAGCTACTCAACTCTTATAACATTTTGCCTTATTCCTCTCTGTCTCATAATGTGTCAAGACGAGATTGACGCCAACGGCTGGACTGCCGTGCCAGTCGATGCTGGCAAGATTTTTGGCGACAAGCCATTCCTTCATGAGCCGACACCTATCTCTGTCCAGGAGATCAAGTTCCCTTCTGATGACCCTGTAGTCTCCAAGACGGTGGAGTACGCAAAGGCCCGTCTGCATGCACCGACGTTCAACCACTCAATGAGAGTCTTTTACTTTGGTAGGACACACCTGATCTCTTGAACAACTGAGAAACTCCAAAGCTTATTCTCGACCCCAGGCATGGCCATTACAACGCAGCAGTTTCCCGAGAGAGCAGCAGCTTTCTCACCTGTAACTTGGGCTCTGACATGTCTCCTCCACGACATCGGCACTGCCGAGGAAAATCTGACCGCAACCCGCATGTCCTTCGACATCTACGGCGGCATCAAAGCTCTCAATGCGCTCAAAGACCACGGGGCCTCGACCGACCAAGCCGAGGCCGTCTGCGAGGCCATCATTCGGCACCAGGACATGGGGGTTGACGGAACCATTACGTATATGGGCCAGTTGATCCAGTTGGCCACACTGTACGACAACGTTGGGCGTCATCTGTACGTCAATGACTTTGACAAAATGATCCACGAGAAGACGAGGAGGGAGGTCAACGAGGCCCACCCGCGGATCAGATGGTGCTCTTTCTTCGCGGATACGATTCGCAAAGAGGAGGGGTTCAAGCCTTGGTGTCATTCTACACATATTCCCGACTTTGATAAGGATATTGAGAGTAACACTCTGATGAAAGAGTGGGAGTAAGCAATCAAGTTTAAGAAGCTTTATTTTCAAACTTCACTGAGAACCATGGCTACTGTTTGGAAAGAGCTTGTAGTAAACGATTCTCCAGGGTAACGATATATAAGAACCTTTATATCATAATCAAAGACCTAAACCAGTTCAATGATCATATCATAAAAAAGCTTCAGAGTTAAGCCAGCAGTAGTATAAAGAATTAAGATTGGTTTCTGCTTAGGACTATGTGTATGCTTGGCATTCGCCAATCTCCAGCGGTCTTACACTGTACTGGTTGCCTCGTCCCTACAAAGAAGCGCATGAACATAGCATATGGCATAGAGGGCACAATGCGAAACAAAACATCACCCGCTCGCCTGTGGGCTTATCGGGGGAGTAGCTCACAGCAGCTTGTTAACGGAGCCAAGTTGTGCTCACGGATGATCGGCTAAAGCCAAGAGAGTGGTGAACGGAGTTGACGACCAACACCAAACCGGAGCTGGCTCCGAAACTGACGCGATCCTCCACGCTACGTCTACAATTATGCCAGGCCTCAACTCAATACCACGCCGCTCGCCCTGGAGACCTAGGCACATGCCGTCGCTCTCATTTGCTTCTAAGCCGACACAATCGTTTTCGTCATCATCACTACGTTCGCAAGGTAAGTTCAAACTCTCACCTAGCACCGCCAACCTCGGCTACAGCCCTCGTCCTACATATCACCACTCGTATGGGCACCATGTCTCACCAGCACACCCTCATATCGATACTCACCAGAGAACTGAGACAGCCCTGTGTTGGCCCCGTTCCTCTTGCTGATCCATGTTACGACGACCCCTATCGAAAGAAAGCCCCCAACAGCCATCTCAGAATCTCGGGCGGTGAGACCCGAGATCTCACCGACTTGTAGCTCCCCCAAAAGAAAAGCCACAGCACGGCGATCATCAGATGATGGGGGACTTTTGGCGGCCCGAAAGGCGTAGGGCTGAGTGTTGTCTCATACATGACACTTTGACAGCTAGAACATGACCTGCAGCTCCGACCAAACCACTCGCGAGCCCAGGCCGGCCAGCCAACTCACCCTCGCCAAACTGCTTCGGAGGAGCAGATGACTCCCGACGGTCAACGGAGCCGGTGTTCAACTCCGAAGCGCGCACTTTTAAGCGGGAACGTCTCACCAAAAGACATCCATCTAGTCCAGTGTAGGTCTAGCTTCCTTCCAACTCCGCCCCTCTATTTTCACACCCCAAGACATTGTCTTAAACACGACCGCCCGCGAAAAAAAATCAAAATGGTGACGCTTAGTATTAGAGTTGATGGAAAACCGCCGACATGAGTCCATTCCATCCCATATGACCCTGGCCCATCGTATCCCACGCGTGACTTTCCTGCTGCCCTTCATCCCTTCATATCGCAGCTCTGATCCTATTGCCATTCCGATTATCATATCGGCGGACACTTCCAATCATCCATGACGCTTGGATATGACGGAAGCTCGCCCTCTGAATCGGAGAATAAGGAGATTGTGGACACCGTCCCTGAGCAAGACAAGGAAGTGGGAGGCAAAATAGAAACCACGCTTCGACGTTGCGGCCAAGTCTGTCACGGTAGCATGAAGGGCTGAAAAACGGCACAATATATCTGACGGGGACCCGTTTGGTTATTTCCCCCGACCTCTTGGCGTTTAAACCAGGTTGTGGATAGATTGCGAAGCCTCATTCTGTTCCCCATATAGTTGGGCAACTGTGCATCCCCCCCCCCCCCCCAAAAAAAAAAAAAAAGAGGTGGTCTTGATACATGGCGGAACAGTCAGCACAAGCACCCGCGCGGGAGAGCGGCATTTTCCCTGGATCCCATTTACATGCACGCATGGCCCATCCCCCTCCTCGCCACCCACATCGGCTCCACGCTTCCCGAGGCTGAGAGCTGCCAGTTTCGAGACTCCTCCAACTGCGGCTTGCCGAGCCTTGGAGGGGTTGGTCGAATTGGCGGTTCAGGAAGTTCAATCGTCGCCGCCGCCGAGACAAGGGAAACCTGTGACGTAGAACCCATGTGAAAAACCAAACGCGGGGCCTGAAGGGAGTCTGCCCCTCGTTGGCCCCCCCCCCCCCCCCCCCCTCCTCGCCTGTGTTTTTCTTCTGTCTTTCTCGCACAGTGCCGCGATGCCAACGACTCGTGCATGTGTATCATCTGAACTCTCCCCAGTTCAGCCTCAAACCTACAGTCCAATCATGGCTGCCGTGCCCCTTTCTAGAATGGTTCCTTCCCATGCAACGTCAATTCAGACGATGCAATGCGCGTCATCTTTATCGGTTGGCACCCTTCACGGTATATCTGCGAGGCGAATGACGATTAATAGCCACGAGAAGGCTGTGTTGTGCCCTGTTGCTGCAACCTCGCTCCCTCACCCTCCCCGCTGAAGGCCCATTAGCAGCATGAACTATGTTTACAAGTGTATAATTATACAATTCGAGAGACGCTGTCAAGGTTCGCATTGAAGCCGCCCCCTACAGTCCCCGCCTTGGCCGTAGCCTGGGTATCGTGCCATCCTGAGCCGCCCATGTTCGTCAAGTTCCAGCCTTTTGCGCCTGTGTGCAAGAGCCCCCCCCCCCCCATATCCAAGTTCAGTTGTCCGTTGCCCGTCATCTGCTACCTTGCTGTCCAAGAAAATGAAAATGACCGTCAACGCCTGACACCTCTTGTCATGTACCTTGTGTGTCTCAAACCATGCGTCCCAGAACCCAGACACCGATCGCTATGCAAAATTCCAGACTGACCCCTGTCGCTCTCCCTGCGTGCCTGACACCTGCCCCGCCATTCGTTTTTGTCTCGGACGGCACCGGCGCCGGCGCCGCAGTTGCTGTCGGCACACTGATTGTGGTAATGACCGTTGGCCCGAACGGATATGAGAAGGTCAGTGTCGACACAGCGACACCTGACGGACCGATTATGATAGTCTCGCCACCGACGACCGTCGTCGTGGTCCCCCTCCCTGGGCCAACGGTAAAGGTTGTACCTTTGAGTACCACAAGCGACGCCCCTACTTGTGTAATTGTAGCACCACCCACGATCTCGTAAAAGGTGTCTGATGGCGTCGCGTTGGGCCCCCCCATGGTTACATTGTGAACAGTCACCCCGGTTGGGCCGATTATGATGGTATCGTCGTCCACAATTTCTGTGATGGTGGATGACTCTGGCCCGTAGGTAATCGTCGTGGACCGGATGACCAAGATGGACCGACCAATAACCGTCAGCATCTCACCGCCCGCCACCACAATCTCTGTTTGTACTGGTGACGATCGGCTGATCGAAACGGTTTGGTCGGGAAAAATGATGCGTGAAGATTGGACCGTGATGGTCTGGTCCTGGACCACCGCCGTGACAGGCGTGCTTTGCAGTTCGAACGTCGTTCCACCAACCACAACCGCGTTTTGCGCTCCATCTGGAGCAATCACAACAGGTAGCTCCCCAACCATGGTACTTGTAGGTTCCAGCGTTCTTCGACCAACATTACCTGGACGATTAACAACGGTCCCTCCACCGGCTACCTCGCTTGGGTTGATGGTAAATTGAGCGCCGTCCACCGTAACCCGAGTTGTTTCTGAGGGACTCGTTATTGTGAACGTTTGATCATTAATGATGACCTTGGTAGGAGCAACAGTGACCGTGTAAGTGGCCTTGGGAGGTTCCTTGACGCTTTCACGTGGCGGCGCGGGTGGACTGGGCGGAGGCTGGGATTTGTCTGTGGATTGATCGGGAGGCGGTTTCAAGGCTGTCTGCTTATCCTGGGGGGCCTTGGTTTCAGGATCATTGCCGTAACGTGGTGTGCTGATGGGCAAATATATCACTGACGGGTTCTTGGCCGTCGTGACAAACGTAAACGTCGCTGCTGGTACAACCTTAGGTGAGCTAGGCACCATGGTGAGCGCATATGATGCTATGGCCTCTATAGATGAGCATCCACCCGCAACCGAGGGGGCACAAAAGGCACCAGAGATCGGTGGGCGTGATCTTCCGCCACCCGAGTTGAGAGGAGTGCATGTGGCCGGTATAGTTATTTCGGGGAAAGGAGGTGTGTACTCTGTGGGGTTCCCATAGAAAGTTGTTGTTGATGTGTAGACAATTGACCATGTTGTTGGTATGGCGCCTTCGGAAGTCGAAATGCAGTCTTGCTTGGGTTCATAGCCCGTAGGCAGCGTCAGGGTCACTACTTGATTCTCATCAATCGTGTCAATAAAGGTTGTACTGGGCCTGCTAAAGTTACCGCTAAACGAGGCGGATGACGAAGTGGTACTTCTGCCAGATGAAATCGACGCTGATGAATTAGTTCTCACTATAGTGGTCAGGCCATGTGAAGAGATGCCTAAAGACACCGTGCTTGTGAGGTTCCTGGTAGATGCAGTGTTTGGCAGTTCCGACGGGCTGATGATGACCGTATTGTGAGTGGTTGAATCGACCGGTCGTACCGTGCTGGAACTGCCGACGATCTGCGAACTGATTTCATCTGATGTTGCCGAGGATATGCGGCCTGTGCTCGGTTCTCCTGTTCCTGAGAGGGTTCCTCCTGGCACATAAGATCCTGAGGTCGTCGGCTGCTGGCTGGGCGAAGCAGATGGGAAACTGGTAGCTACTAATTGACTGGTCGAAGACGTTTCACCTTGAGTGGTTGAGAGGTTGATTGAAAATGTGTCCTGCGACGAGGGGCTTATTAAGCCCGTAGATGTCGTTGTTGAATTCAGTCCCAAAGCTTGTCTTGGAACGTGCGAAATGCGCTTCGCTGCTAACTTGTCAGTTTGCTGAATCCTGGCGATTGATCTTAACAGATCCAACATACCAGACCTGTCTGCATGGACTGAGCTCGAAAAGGCCGTGACAGAGAGCAGTACAATATTTACTATTTTCATAACGTTGTTTCTTTCAGAATTGCGCCTTTCTTGTCTGCATCGTATCCTCGCCCGCCTCTCCATTGAATCCAAGACGCGATACTGTGGTGATGCTGTGACGACATTCAGAAATACAGCTTATCGTCAGCTGCTAAGCTAGGTGTGTTCCTCGAGACCACTGCAGGACATTCTTGCTTGAGACACGCTATGAAAACGGAGTCCTTTCGGGTAGCGGGAAGAGAGCAACGGACAGCCAGCCCGGGCGCCGCCCGCAATTAGGGCGAGAAGGGGTTCATATTTGATGCTGGTTCAGGGATGCTAGCGCGAGTGCTTTTACGCGTGGTCTAGCGAATCGGGGAAAGCTAGGGAAACGATCCAGTTGCCCCAAGGTTCTTAGCGTGACCACAGCCTAGAACTTCCAAGATGTCTTGTGTGTGCCACCAATGCACATGAGCCAATTCAATCGAGTTGGCCCGCCGTCAATTAGAGACCAACAAGCTGGCTGGCTGGGCTGTTAGCGTCCACGCTCCAGGGACTGCCTTTCCAGGACATGGGGCCGAGAGGATGGAGTAGCTCCAGCTGCCACCAGTGATATTGCTGCCAGTGTACGGAGTACTCCTTACTCAGTAGGCTGGCTCTGGGTTTGTGGAGTTGCAATGAAGGACCTTTGCAGGCCCGGGGGTTGCCAACCCGGTCGGTAAAACTCAAGAAGCAGGTCACCTTCATTCCCACATGGAAGAACAAGTCGGTGGGTGTAGCAGGGAGAAAATCTCCTCGGTCCACAGGAGCCAGCCGATGACGGGCATTGGCCGTGATTCGGGCACCCGGAAAGAGTGTTGCATCCTGCTTCCATCAATTGTCTCTGTCGCTCTTGTCACCAATCACAGTCCAGAAACATCTCGGTGTCTCAGACAATCGAGCCCCCGTAGAAGGGAGGCTCAGGTGAGGCAGAATTGTTTGTCAGTAGAACTGGTTCTTTGACGACAGATGACATCGACAGGAAGCAACTGGCATTCCTAGAGTTACTTGGCTGTCCATCCATTACGACGAGGACAATCCTACAGCGTCACCGGATTCGAACACTGATCGTCCCCGTGTTGAGTGGCCCTGGCGACGATCTTTCACATTGACCCAAAAACCTGGCCCTAAGTGTGCTTGCGGTCTAAGCGGCGGCTGGAGAGGCGGCTGAGGTTGGAGTGAACGCGTCGTTCTTGGGCGTACTCTCAAGCCATCCGTCTTCCGACATGTCGGGTAGGTATCGACGACAACGGATGGCTCGCTAAGACCACCAATTAACTTCGATCCACATCCACCACTCTACCAAACGTGGTTGCGACAAGTCCTCGTGTGGAGACACTTGTCACCCATTTCGAAGTAACAGAATGTGGAAGTCTAGGCCTTGCAGGCAGTCCTGGTATGCTTGAGAGTATAGGAAGAAAGAATAGATAGAACAATAATTGAATCTATCGCCCAGCCTGGTATCAAGATTTGCAGTGTGCAAAAGTGGTGCAAACGCGCTTCCGCCACCCTTGTCTGGGACGTATTCAGAAATAAAAAAAATAAAAAACCACTCAATTGTTGTTGCAGCACTCCTACGGCGTGTGGGCGTGTACAGCCGACTTGAGGAGATGTGTCTTTGCCGATCGGCCAGCGACCTACTTTACGTTACTAATGGCATCGATTCATACACATTTCTGTCAAATTCATACTATGGAGGAGATCCACGAAGTCAGTACAACGAGCAAGACAGGTTGGCCAACGGGGCAATCCCAAGCCTGTCTGGATGGCACTAGCGCATCTTCTCCGCCGCGGCATTCGCTAAGAGATTAGACGAGCGTTGTTCAAATCTCTCATTGTGACAGATACACATTGTATCCAGCGCGCCGACGGACAAGCGGGAGGGTTCTGTGGCCATTAGGGGGCTGAGAAGCTTTCGCCATTTCCGACTTCAGTACCTTTACTGCGGTGATGGCCGACATCAGGCCATGACTCTAGGATGACCGGCTATTAGACCTGCTGCACTGTGGCCCCTCTCTGGGGAAAGAACGATGCGATTCGACGCGGGGCAGCAACAGTAAATAGTAAGCCGAGACTGTAGATGATTGCCGAGCTCTGGCGTTGCAGCAGGCGTACCAGCAACCTGGCAATCAGCATTCTGACTGCCGATGCCTTAGTGATCACGGGTGTCCGTCCATGCAGACGGTTCCAAGGATACGAGTCAGTCCTGGCCGTGCTGATGGCCTTGTTGAGAGAATACAGAGGCCCTCTTTGATATCCACTACTCGTGCATGATGCCCTTCCAACATATTTCCAGCTTTATCCAGCGACGACGTGAGAATAATGAATTCGTCCGTCTATGGCAATTGCTTGGAGCAGCCGGTGCCGTTACCAAAAAGGTCTAGAGTCTCTGACAGCGGGAGCCAATCAGGAAAGGTTAAACAAGCGAGCAAAGTGCAGAGCCCTCTTCTCCCGAATTCCCCATCTGGTTGATCATATCTCTCCTTAGCGGCGATAGCCTCGCTGGGTTGTGCTTGTTCTTTTGTTCACGATGCGCCTGGCCAGGCTAGTGAGGTGTATCAGATAGATAAAGCTCAGTCAACAGGTCCGAAAACTTTGTTTTGTTGTGCTTTCTTCTTTCGTCTAGCCAACGATAATTCCCTTCGTTATATCTGTAGATCAATACTCAAATCATTCGCGGTCAAGTCCCGAAGAAGCCGGCATTTCAAGGTCTGGACCTGTTGTGGGGTTGTCGACATGAAGGTTCCAGAGCGCGTCCGCGTTCCGGTATATGTTCTGGTTCATGACTCCGCTGCGTTATAGGGGGTTGTTGTTGTTGCTCCCGGTGGAGGCCCATAAGTCACGGTAGCTGTGGTTGCGACCGCATCTTCGTGTTTCTGCCTCTGATTGACGATCCCAAGGGTTTCGCTTGAAAGCTGGCAACCGGAAAAGCCTCGACGGGCGCCGAAACAGCATGTTGAGCGAACTTGGAATAGCGACAGATCCATGGTAATGGACGTATATCTGGCATAGTAGTAAGAAATGGGGCTTGGCCGTGTCGTCCGACTTGTGGGGACGGTGGCAGGGTGGCTGGCGATAAACTGTAAGATGGAGATACAGAGGTCCACAGTCACATTGGGGTCGAGAGCCATCCATTGTTGGGGAATCTGATGTGCATTACTGCTACACTGTGCGGCTATTCTGCATAGACAACAAGAGACGGATAGGACAACGCGGGGACAGACCGCTGCGGTTGGGGGGATGGACTCCAGCTGTATCCGACCTGAGGTATCATCGATTGACACGCAGTGAGGATGAGATTGCCTGAGCTGACTTGCCGACGGAATATGCAGGAGACGGGAGGCAGAGAGGTAGCCCGTCGAATTCTGAGCGGATGGAGAGACAGAATCAACCTCAGAAAGCTCTGCAGCATGTAATGTGGTGCGGTGGCAGATGCGCGTGCTGTATGGACGAATCCCCCATAGGCTGGGGTGTCCGGGCCAGGGTTCCTGACACGGAAAGACAACCCGTCGTGCATCCTGCGCCATTTGCTCCTTCCTCAGAGTTTTGGCCATGTTAGTAGTAGCTTCCTATGTGCAGCCGGGAAAGCAGCTTTGGAAATTTGCTCCTTCCAATCCAATCCCGCTTTTCGTCTCCAATTTTGTATGGGGGACTTTTTTCCCCATCCAAGACGCCTGCTTACGATGTATGTACGCATGCTTGTGTGAGTGCTTTGGATGATTGACGATTCTCCGAATCCGACTTCGAAGTAGACGCGTGGTGTCAACTTTACCACAGCCGCTGCAACATTCAGAAAGTCGTCGCCAGCTGGAATTATTCCACACACCACGTACCTCATTGCCAAAGTCTTCGAGGGTGAAGACTTGCATCTCCTTTCGTCATGAGCCCTGTTTCATGGTATTGGACACTCACTGCTGACCGTATCAGGGACTCTTGTGACTGTCGTCGCCAGCAGAACGGTGTGATTGCCCCATGTTGATTGCTTCGACTCTGCAACTTCAGCTAGATAGCTGGGACAAGGAATAGCCTGCAGAGACATCCCATGACCGGCTATAGTAAACCAAACCGCCGGCATCGATCTTGTTCAGCAAATAGGCTGCCTTACCAAAACGCACTAGATGCCTGAACGGTGCTTGGCTGCAGCTCAAGTACATCGTTTCTGCTGTCTTTCGATCATACTAGTACACTGTGCCACCGCGTCAATTACGTCAGCCAGTTTGGCTTACTTTGTAGAAGCCGATCCACCTATCGTACTGATTGGCGATACTTCACAATTCTATTGCTAGCAAGACGAAAGCCAACCTCCTATCCTTTACATGACCTGCATGTTGCTAGCCGTCATGCCTTTCATCACATTGTTCCCATCGAGGGGCAACGGCAAAGACAAAGGGTTAAGATACATGATGATTGGTCCAAGCATGGCTCGGTTAGCGGACACATGTCTTTGCTACTTGCTCGCGGTTACTGTATGGCACCAGTTGCCGCCATCTTAAAACCTGTAAGTAAGCTGGCCACTTATCAGTTGAGCCTCCCCCTATAGTAACGACCAGAACTCAGGCTCAAAGAGTTACTATCGGCCATTGCGTCGTCCCCTAGCCTTCATTCTTCCTTTGCACTTAGACCGGACACTCGCTGGCATGAGGGCCGTCAAAAGCTTCCCAGAAACCGGCCTACCCGCTTCTCGCGTCTAACTCAAATACCTCCGCCTTTGGGCGGAGGCATCACGCCGTCTCCTCACCCACATTGGTAGAACTGGCGTGATATGCTAAGACATTAACATCTCGACTATCACGGCACCAGCGACAGTAAGCCCCCGTCAAAGCCCATTCTTGTTGTGTCCCGATCTCTTGCCGGGGGGGGGGCAGGCGCATTGTTGTTGATGAGGGAGGGGATGACAACAACCATGCTGTGAAGGGAGGCTTGTCATGCTCCGCCGCACTTGTCCTGATGCAGGTAAAGACACTGTGTGTCGATAAATGGACAGGGATATCTGAGTTGTACCCCGGTCCCCAGCTTTCCCAAGAACGACGGGACCACCAGACCGGTGCTGGACGGGGACCTGGTCCTTGTCTCACACCCCGACGTGCCATTGAGCCATCCGGCTTTCCCTTGCTTGTTGCGGCACAGCCCTTGTCCAGGTTGGCAGGCCGTGGCTCGTCCTTGCTTGGATAACCATGAACGCTATCTTGGGCTGGCAGCCACCCACTCAATTCAATGGCGGAAAGTTAGAATTTGCTGCTGATCATTCAATTGCATTTCTTCTCCCTCCTCCCACCCTCTTCCACTCCTCACGGCACACTACTCCTTTTGACGACTCACTTCAATTTGATCTCGTGGAGCAAGTCATGATCTCGACTTGCATGAGGCGCATTGTGTGGACGGCTTGACGATAACCCCAATTGATGGAAACGGTTTCTCGCGCGGCCCGCCCTTTCCTCGGTACGCCCATGCAGATCACAACGACGCCTTGGTGACTGCGCGCACCTCAAAAGAACAAACCAGTCGGGTTCCACCTCAAGTCGACGACATGCTGTCAATCATCATCGTCGCAACGGTCCTCGCTGGCATCGTTCGCGCACAAAACCCCACTGCCATGGCTCTCACTCCATCGTCTGACTGGTATGTATAAATGATGCGAAGAAGCTATATGACCCTGACACCTTACAGGTACGGCGTCGACGGAAACTGGTCAACGGTTAAGTTTGAAGTCGGCACTCCTAAGCAATCTGTAAACGTCCTTGTGAGCACTTCACTTTCCGAATTCTGGGTCGTTGGTGCTGGCGGTTGTCTTGCAAGTGAGTTGTGTTGTGTCTTCTGCGGCGAAGTTTATGCTAATTCGCGGTCCAGAGGAGCCTCTATGCAACAACGCCCGAGGTAATGTGTTCACCTTCAGCGACTCAAAATCCTGGAATTCTTTGGGTGCATGGCAACTCGGACTTGACTATCTTGGCTATGGCGGCAACGGGGATTATGGTCTAGACACACTCACAACGACCACTTTGGCAGGCAAGGCTATTACTATGGACAACGTCATTACGGCATCGATCAACAGCACTGATTATTACCTTGGCTTCCTTGGTCTCGGTATCACCAAAGGCAGTTTTGGTAATGAGATTGCTGAGTCACCCCTCACACAAGCCGTCAAGAATTACGGATGGATTCCTAGTTACAGCTACGGCTATACGGCTGGCGCTTACTACAGTATGTCAAAATGTCCCACATGAACGCTCTTAATCCTGATTTTCGACAGAGGGCACTTCCGGCACGCCGTGTTCTGTAACACTAGGAGGCTATGACGCCAGCCGATTTGTGATGCACAACAACGAATTTTCTTTGGATCCTAGTGATGGATTGCCTCACGCGCTAGTCCGGGGTATCGAAGTGACGGCGGGTCAGGATCGAGCCGTGCCAGGAGGGTGGGATGCCAGGACTCGCATTTTGTCCAACATGTCTACCTCATTCACAGCCATGATTGACAGCTCAACCCCATACCTTTGGCTGCCTGATACCATCTGCGACCAGTTCGCTGAGGCCTTCAATCTGACCTACAACAGCACCTTCGACCTCTACACTGTCACTAACGAGCAATACGCTGCCTTCAAGGCGGGCTCTTCATCCTTCTCTTTCACCTTCTCATTCAGCAGCCACGACAACAACGACGATTTTGGCCGTCCACTTCAAGTCCCCGGTGTCGTCAACATCACTATCACGGCTGCAGCTTTTGCGCATGTGTTACGCTATCCTTTTAAGAGCGAATCGATCAAATATGGCGATCCGGCCGTGCCGTACTTCCCTCTCCGGCGAGCTTCCAACTTTACAAACACGTTCATCATTGGAAGGACATTTCTTCAAGAAGCATATCTGATCACAAAGTATGACAGTGGCGTCTTTTCTCTTCACCAAGCTGTCTTTCCGGACGACTCACAGATGCACTTAAACGTATCTGACATCAAGCGTCCCGACAACAGCCCTTACCCTCCGCCGCCTTCTCAAGAAGGCTTTCACGGTCTCTCCACGGCCCAAATGGCTGGCATCGCTGCTGGAGCGGTTGCTGCCTGTATTGCCTTGCTGGTTGTTTGGTACTGCCTCCGACGACGGAAGAGTGCAGCATGCGCCGCTACCCGAGCATTAGAGGAGGGTAAAGATACGGCCTCGACAATCATGCCAGAGCCGCCAAGAAGTCCCATTGCAAAGATTTTTTCCAGATTATTGGGCAAGAAGAGGGCGAAGAAAGGCTCACGGCACGAGGCCATGGGCAGCACGTCTCAACCTGTAGAAATAGCCGCCGATGCCAATCATGCAGTATACGAACTGCCAGCCCTTGGCCCCGTCGAACTTAACGGAGATGACAACAAATCGCTTCATGGGCATGCAGAATTCGGTGGTGCGGAGACGCGAAATTTGACCGCATATGATGCAGCGAGAAGGAAGGTGGAAATGCAACTTCGAGGCCCTGTGCCCGCTTACACCCCGCCGGCAAACCCAGCAGACTTCCCATCCCCAGAGAAGTCAATTCCAGACATGAGTCCCATCGCAACATACAGGCCAACTGAATTTGAATCTTTGGCATCGGCATCATCTTTATCTTTGCCAACTTCCCCTATCTCACCAACAGCTTCAACTGTTTGCGACAATTCGTCATCCAATCATGGTTCCATGCCGTCTCCAATGAGCAGTCCGCAGGGTGATTGGACAAATCGCATGTCTGACCTTCCCTCACCACTCACTGATGGGCACACATATCCGTCGCCCACTTTCACTGTCAGCAACTATGGGCACACGATGCCTCGGCCAGTGTCCATGAACAGCGAGGCTTTCGCCCCGAGCCGATCGAGCTCATCAAATACAGCCCCATCTGTTCCTCTGCCGCTCCTACCTGTCTCTCCCAGTCCAACTTACCAGCGAACACCCATCGATCCTTCCAATATAATTTGCGTTGGGCCTTTACAGGGAAACATCTCTCTATCGGAACCGCAGCCAATTGCCCCTCTGTGTCCCCAGGGGCGTGAGGTTCATGTCCCTGACCTATTGGCTGACCGCCGACTTTCAACCGACACTCTGGGAAGCAACTTTACCGAATTTGAAGAGCAGTTGATGGCGCAGCAAGAGTTCTCTAGGCAGGGTAACCTACCGGAAACTCATGTGAGGGGTCACCGCGCAGACCCGAGCGCATCATCGAGTCAGGGCCGACTCGATGGTACCGAATGGATTCATGTTCCTCAGTTGGCTGAGCGACGATACAGCTGGGAGGACTAGTGACGTTAATGCTGTTCTCATTTGATCACAAGTTTTGCACTACAACTTATAATGCTCGGCTATCCTGCGTGAACAGCCTGATATTTTTCTTTCTTTCTTACATTTCATTTGTCATACTAAACAATCATCGCAACAAGCGACGGAGTTGGGGATACCAAAGGTACAGCGGGATTCGCAAGCAGACGATTCGGCGTTAGGAACAACTGCAAAAAAAGGCCTTGAGGCTACAGAGATCTCAAAGAGAATTTTGGAAGGACATGTTATCGGACGAATCCATGATACCAAGGGAATCCCTAAATTGAGGGAAGGCATGGATGGTGATGCCGATATTGCGGATCACACGCGGCAGAGGGCGGTTCATAGGAGAGCAGGTCCGATGCGCATACTGCCGACATGTACAATGTACCAACGATGTCCATAGTCAAACGCCCCCCCAATGGCTTGCGGGCCTTGGAAAATGCAAGAAGTTAAAGACATACTAGTGCAAGACCAATCTTGCGTGCATGCAGTTTGAGTACAACTGGGAGCATGTAAAAACTCTTGTCTATATGGCCTATGTATCTTTATCCCGTGTGGAGTGTATGTATGTAAAAAAAAAATTTAAAAAAAATTTCGTCAAGTCATGAGAGACGTCTAATACCGATCGATGTCTTGTTGAATGCATTTCTGTAACCCAACTTCCCCCAGGGTACCCATTCTCTCTCTCTCTCCCATGAAAATAACCCATGCCTATAGACTGAAGCGGATATGTCGAGTTTACCAAATCTCCTCCCACCAAGTCAATTTTCCAAAGGCGGCCTCGACCGCCGCCTCGTCAGGATAAGTATCCTTGTCCTCGGCCAGGCAGCTCTTGACAGCCTCCTTAACTGCGCGAGACATCTTGAGGCTACCGCCGCAGATAACAAAGATGGCGTTAGAGGCCACCATGGATCTAACCTTTTCGGTCTGCTTGCGAATCACATCCTGGACGTACTCGCGAGGCGTGTCCTTGTCGCGGGAGAAGGCCGTGTAAACCTCAATTTTCCCTGACGGGCCTCCTTCCGCAGCAGCCCGCTGTGTCTCGAGGTCTTCCCACACATGCTTGAAATGGAAATCCGCGTGCCTGCTGCGATTACCGAAGAATATAGCCGTCTCGCCCATCCCCTGGTGCGACAAGCGCTCCTCGACAAAAAGACGAAGGGGCGCTACGCCCGTGCCGGTCGCGACCGCCACCAGCGGTCTACGGGCGTTCATGGGGCCGTGGAGCGATGCGGAGCTGCGGTTCAGCGTTATCCGGAGCGGTGTCCCCATGGGTAGGGACTCGAGATATCGCGAGCAGAGGCCCTGGCGGATCTTGCGGAGGACGGTCTTGTACTTCACCAGCGCCACTAGTAGATCAATGCTGGTTGACGGGCCTTCGTGGCTGACGCTGGCGATGCTGAAGTCCCGCCCGCGCATGATGGGGAACATGTCGAGCACTCTGCTCAGTGGTATCCTGACGGAGGTGAACTCTTCGAGGACTTCAAGGATGGTGCGGCGCGGGCGCGTGGTGTAGTCGTAGAACTCGTCGGTGTACTCGCGCATCGTGAACTCGAGTAGTCGCTCCTTGTGGTATTCGTCGGTGGTGAAGTAGGACATTTCCTTGAGGAAGCTGCGGCGGGGGATACTCGTGATGTCGAGGTTGTGGGTGAGCAGGTCGCGTAAAGTAACTGGACCGTCGACATCTACAAAGAGCCCTCGGGGAAGGTCTGAGGGTAGAGAGAGGGGTGTGTCTGCGACCGACTCCCAGTGCATTAGGTCGATGAGCTTTTGGACATCGAGGGGGAAGTTTTTGGGGTAGATTGTCAAGCTGTCAAAGGGGTTTATCGCGGGTTGGCCGGGGACGGAGAGACGGATTTGGCGGACATCTTGGAAGTGCGTCGAAGGAGTCACGCGGTTGTTTTGTGAGAGGGAGGCCGTCTGGCTGGCGGGGATCGGAAGGAGAGCTTGTGGCGGAGTTTCAGCGACTGTCATCGACTCCGTCTTTTCAACCAGTTCATCAACAGATGGTTCGGAGCTTTGGGGCCGCAGTTTGCTGGCGTGACCGTTGACGTTAATCGAGGGAGTCTGTGTTGTTCCCGATGGCGGAGCCAGTGAGATGCTGTATCTCGGGGGCAAGAGGGCGTCATCCGGGATAGGGGCGAGATCTGATGGGAGGGGGTACAGCTCGAGGAGTTTCTTTCGAAGATCTGCAGCCCAAGGCATATATCTTTCGTCGGCACTAATGGCATTGGTAAGCAACTTTTCTGCGAGAAATAGCTGGTGAGGTAATCCTTAAGGCGAGAGATCGGTTGGTGAAGCAATAGACACTCGTCTGTTTAGCCATTTCTAGTTCATTTTCTTCGAACATAAATATTGACGTCAATCTAGCCATTTGGTAGCGGCTACTCTAGACCGTCCATTTCCATGCATAGACTAAACAGACTTTGGGTGTAGAAACGCACGAAGAGGTTCTATGAAGCACCTTTTCGGTGGAAGATGTCTTCTAACCTCGTGTTGTTAATGAAAAAAAAAAAAAAAAAAAAAAAAAAACCGGGGAGTTATAGACATAACGAATGATCCTCGTTAAGGTCCTCAGATTGTGTCTGCTTCATCCAACTTATTCTGACGAAATTATCAAGCCTCGTGATTTGAAATAGACGAATAAGACGAGCAGAGCAGTAAGATATACTGATGTTAGGCAAGTGGTGTAGAATCGGCCGAAACTGACTTAAGACGAAGAACCGTACTTAAGGCTGCCCACGACTAGCAGCTGGCCACTTGGCACAATGGATGCGAGGAAAACGAAAGCATATTAAAAAGAAACAGCAAGCATCTGTCATGATAGAAACATACCCATCAGAGTCTTGTTCATCAGCCTCGCCCCGAGGATAGAACTCCTGAGCTCCTAGCTGCTCGAGCCGTTTGTGGAGCTTCCTAGCAGCCCAGTTGAACCTAGGAGTAAAGACATGTCAGACTTTGTCAAATTCATAACAGCAGGGGTGGTCAGTCAACATTAACACCAAGGCAACATACTTGATGTACATGCTATCGCCAAGCCCAAACGTCGTAAACTTGACGGCGCCGAGACAACCCGGCGGCAGCCTTTTTCTCAAAAGGCTCTTCCAGAAGGTGGTCGAATTGCGGGGCATATCTCCCTGGCCTGTCGTCGAGATGACGAAGACGACCAGCGTGAACTGCAGCAGCATACTCTACGGAAACACTGGTTAACAGGGGTTTGCTTATTGGATTACAAGGACCTGGAACCCATAGGAGTTCAATGGCAAACAAGCCTGCAGAATCGCTGGCCGAGAACTCAGAAAAAGGGCATTGACGTACCAACTGGACTCCGTTCATCTCATCAACTTTGACCTTGAAGTGCAGGCGCTGGGCGTTCCGTCCCAGCTCTTCGGCGATGTCCTGGCTGTTGCCGGTCTCTGAGCCGTAAAGGACCAGCATGGACCGGCCGGGAAGGTCGGCCACATGGGCCGGCTCAGGACCGCTCTCCAAGGTCGCCATTTCTTTTTGCTGGTAAAAAAAAAAAAAAAAAAAAGAAAAAGCCTCCCCAATTTCTAACTCGATTTTTTAGCACATTCCAATTTGAATGACGAGAGTAATTGCAACAACCAAATCTCCAAGAAAGAGAATGTTGGAAATGTCGCCCTCGATAACCGTTGTGATAAGTGTCTTAGTCGTGGATGCCGTGACTCTTAGTAAATGCAACTCCAGGATTCGTTAGTGCGCAGGTTTCGGAGATGTTTTTCTTCGCCCCTCCAGCGGCATCGGAGCTACGAACCCTCGGGCTGGCTAGGCACAGCATGTAGTGCGGGGAGGATCACGTGCCTAACCCATTACAAGTTGACCAAGACATTACGCTAAACAGCAATATGGAGAGCGAAAAAAAGGAATATTCACAAAGTCGATTCAGTTTTGTCGCCCTGAGTAAACATGTCATCCAGGTAGAGTGTTTGTGGTTTGAACACTTCAGGGTGATTGTGAAGATCTTTCAGCCACAGCATGGGTATTTCCCCGAGATCCGTGCCAGAGGCGTATGCGCCACATGTCCCCAACGAGGAACAACCAAAGCAGAGAGAGGCACTGGGCTAAGTGCCGGGACATAATCGCTAATCCTCTTGGGAATAGAGCGCCAACAGGTGGGTTGTGGCCCCCCAAGATACGGCGGCTCTGGGCCTTGCATGTGAGGTAACGGCTGGGCGGGCCACCGCGGGCACGGGAGGGCGACGCCAGTATCACCCTTGAGGCAAGGCGAGCGGACAGCGCCCCATTCTGATGATGGCCCTGTGGGGAAAACCCAAGGCGATTAGTGATGGACCCAATAGCCAGCTAAAGGTAAGGCGAGGCAAGTCAGGAAAAGCTTCCCGACTCAGGCGGCCGCCTCATCATCAGTCCCAAACTACTGTTGTCACATCCCTCCAACGTCAATATTGCCTCGATAAAACTGCGAGTCTATCGCAGCTCAAAAATACCTTTTTCCGCAGCCACAATAATAGGAAATTGCTTGTGGATCGAAGCCATGATAAAACTCCCCTATCGACTCGTATTAGATCTATTGCTTTCAGATATTGAATGTCGGATATGATAATGCCAAAATAATTAGAGAAGCCGGATGAGTCGAAAATTCTGCCCTCATCCTTATTTCCCGTGCTGGTTCCCCCTGCGTGGCACCGTTGAGACCCCTGGAGTCTTAGCGCAAGATACCAGGGCAACCTCCCCAAAATCTTAATGCGCTCCGCGAAATCCAGTGGGCCATGGGAAATTTGGCCTCTCTGGTCCAATTTCGGACACAAAAGCAGCTCTCCGCGGTCCCATGGATACGGGAATGCGATGTCGACTGGGGGCGGGACACGGGTCCCTAATTGGCATCCGCCCGAGCCAATTCTAAAGACGGCCAGACCAGCGGTCAAGGTGTGTGAGTGCGCACAATTGAGCCAGCCTCACCAAACTCCTGGCTAGACAACGCGCTGTCAATATTTAGGTCACACTTGAACGTGGTATCTGCCTCAGCCTCGCTGCAGTACCCTGTAAAATCGTTTGTGTTTTGTTTTTCTTCCATCTTAATTTAGAGGCTACTCAAGAGGGCAAGCAGCCGCTTCTAGAGACCAGACCCTGCCGTTAGTTGTCCTACGTTAGCGTAGCTGAGGCTGGTGGTTAAGACAGGGTTGGACATAGAGCAAGGCAACTCAATCGGTCGACGTAGTGTGCCAGTCGTCTGGAGGTGGACCCATGTGTTTAAATTTCCGGCGCATGTCTCGTGAACCAACAGCATCGAGGTGGCGATTTGGGGTTCAAAGTTGACGGGTAACCATCAGACCATGTGCATATTGCCTGGATGGTACCCTGCGTACTCAAGGTGTATACTCAGATTGGATATCTCGCGGAATATGGGAAAATTCCGAGTTGCTTCTTCGACAACTGGGCTAGACTCCTTGGAAAGTTTTGCCGAACAGATGATCTGGGTCAGCTTTGGGGGAAAAGCTTGCCTTCCACAGGGCAAGCGGACTTCTCCTAGGCGTGTAGAGGCTCAGAGCTGGTCGGCCCCGATAATGTGTAACTAACTCATTGGCGACTTTCTTCAAGGCAGCCGGCTGGCCACTATGGCTAAACCGAAGGAAAGAGAAAGGGAGAGAATGGCATTGCGACATGGCTCTCCACAAGAAGGCGGGCCCTGAAGCAACTACGTGCTGCAACTCTTGCCGAAGTTAACGCTGCGGTATCCAATCGGGATTTGTAACCGCAGCAAGCAGATCTTACCCGCAAAGCAGGCGAACCGCACCAGTAGGTTATTTGCTTGTTCAAAATGAAAACAAAGTCGGTAGACAGAGCTTCTGGTGGTGCCCGGACAAGATCTGGGCTTGCGCACCAGCATCCGCAACCTCCGCGAAGAGAGACCGTAGGTGCCGAGATCTGTGTCACATTTCGGCTCACAGTGGCTCCACGAACACGCACATCAGCAGGTGGACACTGGATCAGGGCTGCCTTGGCTGGGATCCCATCGCAACGATTTTGCGGGGGAAGAGTCATTTCATTCGCCTGATAGGCCAATGTTATTGTCACCGCTTGGGCAGATCAGACAGCATTCCAATCGGGTGAATTGCGTGTTTTTTGTTGATAGTTTGGTGTCTTGTTTTCTTTTATCAGCCGGTAGGAGCGACCAGGAATTTTTGCAGGGTGATAAGGCCATCACACACAAAACGCAAACACATGGAAACGGCAAAAGAAAACGCAAAGAAGGTGCAGCACCGCATTCTCTGTGCATGGGTGGTGTCGGTCAGGCATGGTGAAGCCCGTGCCCTGTGGCTGCCCAGCTAAGTACCTGCCATGTCTAACACTATCGCGTGGATCCTTCCTCAATGACATTTCATCACTCACCTCCTCTTGGTACGTACCGGTCTGGGTCGACGCCGACCGCTTTTCGTCCCAAAGTGGTCGCAACTGTCTTTTGCAAGCTGGGGATTTCATCAGCAGGTGCCACAGGTGTCTAGCGGCTGCAATAGCCTCAGCTGTCAACCTAATCATCTCAAGTCTATATTAGTGCAGATGTTAGATGCATAGGGCAGTCCTAGAGGGGGAAAAACCAAACTGTAAAGAAAAAGAAAACAACGAAAGCGTGTATTAGAGACCTCAACATATCATCATTCCGTTGGTAAATATAGGGTAATCACGACAGATCATTCCAACTATTCCGTCATTCGGTGAGGAAGCTGCCTGGCTGGCCGTCATTTCCATTCGTGCTTCGAACCTTCTCCCCCTTCTCACCCCTGTCCGGCTGCTGCAGACACAATAGGCAAGTACCCACCCGCACCCTCGTCCGCCCGCACCGCCACAGCAGCCCATTCGATACGCTGTTGCCATCCCATGGTCTTCCAGACGTGGGCCGCACCTGCTGTTCGGTGGGTTTGCGCCTCGCTTACCCTCGTCCCTTGTTCCCCCCTGCTCACCAGAAAAAAAAATATTTGTATTTCAGGTCGCGGCTTGACCTCCCTTCCTCTCTCCTTTCCTCCACATCACAACATCAAGAACCTGTGTCACCGCGCAACGCAACGTCGTCTGTCAACCTCTCTCAAGCTTTCTAGGGCACCAAGCTACCCTGAGAAAATTCCCCCCTCATTGTTTCAGAGTTCAACTTCACCGAACTTCCAATTCATCAAGCCTATCGAACACGAGTTCCTGTCACCGGATCTTAAGTTCGTCCGCACGTCATCTGTTATCTCGCACCTCATCCTGCACGCAGCCTACAATCCACCTCAAACCTATTCTTCATTCAGCCAAACACCGCCAAAATGTCTGCTGTCGTCGAGAAGGTTTCCGAAGCCGTCAATGACGTTACCAACGCTCTGAGCAATGCCTCTATCACCGACAAGGCCGCCGATAAGCCTGCCGCCAACAACGATGCCGTCCTCGCCAGCGCTGCTGAGGGACGTCGCCTGTACATCGGCAACCTGGCCTACGCGACAACTGAGGGGGAGTTGAAGGAGTTCTTCAAGGGTTACCTTGTGTAAGTCGACGGTGTTCTTTGTTGTTACTCACCTGTGTCGTCATGGCCCCTGTAAGCCCGCTGGAGCTTCGAGTCCAGGCGCACCTACACCCCCTCCCCCAAGCTACAATCACTACACATGCTCCAGAGCACTGCATCACATCCAGGCACATCGTTGCCCACCTGCATGGCTTCCAGTATCATGCTACATCGTTTTAGACTCTGCATAGCCTTGTAGATGTCGCCCTATCCTCCAGACCGCCTCTCCCCATGTGTCACGATGTTGCCCCGTGGCCTCTCCCTCATCAGCCCCGCAAAATCCCACCCACTTGCGTCACGCGTGCCAGCTCATACTGACCCGCCTTTTTCACAGCGAGTCCGTCTCCATTCCCAAGAACCCTCGCACCGACCGACCTGTTGGCTACGCCTTCGTCGACCTCTCTACCCCCACTGAGGCCGAGCGCGCCATCTCTGAGCTTTCCGGCAAGGAGATTCTGGAGCGTAAGGTTTCTGTTCAGCTTGCTCGCAAGCCTGAGCCTGCTGGAGAGAAGGCGGAGGGTGCCAACGGTGAGGGCGCTGGTGAGGGTACCCGCCGCCGACCATCTGGCCGTGGCCGTGGCCGTGGCCGTGGCCGCGGTGGTCGTGGCGCCCGTGGTGGCCGCGTGAGTCACATCGATAACCCAAGCTGCCCAATAGCATAACTGACGTTGCATAGGAGGAGGGTGCCGAGGGTGCTGCCGCCCCTGCCGAGGCTGCCGCTGATGTCCCGCCTACCTCTGAGGTTCTGCCTTTGACCGACGCCACCAACAAGAACACTGACGCCGGAAAGACCGAGAAGCCCGCTCAGAACCGTGCTCCCCGTGAGCGCCGTGAGCGTGGCCCCCCCGCTGATGGCATTGCTTCCAAGACCAAGGTCATGGTCGCCAACCTCCCTTACGACCTGACCGAGGAGAAGGTTAGTCCTGCTGTCGCTCACAGACTGTGTGACATTTGCTGACACATTCCATAGCTCAAGGAGCTCTTCGCCGCGTACGAGCCTTCCTCTGCGAAGATCGCTCTGCGCCCCATTCCCCGCTTCATGATCAAGAAGCTCCAGGCTCGTGGCGAGGCCCGCAAGGGTCGCGGCTTTGGCTTCGTCACCCTGGCCTCTGAGGAGCTTCAGCAGAAGGCCGTCGCCGAGATGAACGGCAAGGAGATTGAGGGTCGTGAGATCGCTGTTAAGGTTGCTATTGACAGCCCCGACAAGACTGACGAGGAGGCCAATGCCCCCAAGGAGGAGACCAAGGCCAACGGCACCTCGGAGGCTGCCACTGAGGCCCCTGCCGCTTCTACTCCCGCTGCCGCTGCCGCTGTTGCGACTGCCACCCCCGCTGCCCCCGCTACCACCACCGCCTAAATATAGGCAAACCAACCAACCCAGCCCCGGTATATTGTCTCTGAGCTAGCCTTTAGGGACGTTGCCTTTACGAGCTTCATGATGCGGTATCCGTTACGACGATTTCCTCTTTTTGGAAGTGCCCCTCACATAGGTGGACACTACATCTACGTCTGCTTTCTCCAGACTCGTTCTCGGTAGATAGGCCAGACAAAGATGTGCAGCGCTGCCATCATTCCTAAATTAATACACATGATCTTACCGACCACCTCTCCTGTATTTGTTACCTTACCTCCATTTTCTCCGTCACCCTGTGCTGGGTTGTACATTAGCTTTAGCTCGAGGCGGTTTGGAAGGAAGAGGGAAAAGTTCGGCGCAAAACGAATAAAATCGGGTAGCTTTTTGCAGTTAAATGACGATTGGTGCCAAAACTAATGCAAGTGATTATGAAGACATGGATTGCCCACAGTGAGAGAAAGAAAAAAGAAAAAGAAGATTATTCTATAGTTAGTCGTAGTTCGCGTCCGTCTGAACATCTGGAGAGAGCCGTCTCCGCATGTTTGGATTGTGCGGATACCTTACCTCGTGCTTGGCCTGCTGAGTGGGAATCAGTATCGGTTTCAGTGGCGCATGTCTACGTTTCGAGTGCTGCCATTGGTAGCGCTAGAAGGGCCCAAAAGCCAAGTGTCCCAGACGGCAGTCTGGACCTTTTTTGTGTGCCTTCGAGTCTCCAGCAGAAACCCATGAAAATACCCAGCCCCTGTTCAGTAGCCATACATGGCGAGTCTGCAGTGTGCTTTTTTTTCTTCTTTTTTTTCTGACCCTGCCAGACACACGCCACAAAACACGGTAGCTAATGATACCCTCGTTTTGCTGCGAGGTTCTATGTGTGTGCGTTGAAAGGTGAGCGAGTAGATGATTGAGGCTCCGGTGGCATGTGCCCCTGGCTTAGTAGGTCTCTGACGCTAAACTAACAACAGGGCCAGCTTCTTACGTCCGCCCAGACATCTGTCCCCTGGTCCACGGCAAACCACCCCTTATCGGCATCCAACATAAGGAGCCCCTCCACAATTCCTCACTGCGACAACCTCGAACATACCTCAACTCGCACGGCTTGGCCGTCACATTCCGTTCATTAAGCTACAACACTGAACCCTTCCCACGATGGCTTCCAAGGCCATGTGGGAGGTTGATCCCGAGACGCGAGCCAAGGTAAATACTTTCCCAACGCTATTTGCCGCATTGCAACTTTGCGGCTCCTCGCTGACTATGCCACCCTTCAGTTGGCCGCGATCCAGAAAGAGGCTAAGAATAACGTCTGCTGCGACTGCAACGCACCATCCCCGCAATGGGCTTCCCCCAAGTTTGGTATTTTTATCTGCCTGTCATGCGCCGGTGTGCACCGAGGCCTCGGTGTGCACATTTCATTCGTACGCAGTATTTCCATGGACGCTTTTAAGCAGGTTGAGATCGAGCGGATGCGCCTCGGCGGCAACGAGAACTGGCGCAATTTCTTCGAGCAGCACGAGGACACCAAGATGAGGGGCATTTCTTGGGACGACGCGACCATTGCCGAGCGATACAGTGGAGAAGTAGGTGAGGAGTGGAAAGACAGGCTCACGGCCAAGGTCGAGGGCAAAGAGTACGTGCCTGGTGAAAAGAAGGCCGCGCCCGCACCCGCTGCGGCTCCGAAGCCAGTCAGTAAAACCGCTACGCCGCTGAGCGGCACCAACAGCCGATCTGCCAGCCCTGGCAGGAAGGTCAAGGTCGACGACAAGTACTTCTCCAAACTTGGCGCTGAGAACGCTTCGAGGCCGGACGACTTGCCGCCCAGTCAAGGAGGCAAATACGGAGGCTTCGGTAACATGCCCACATCTGAGAAGAAGGACGGCGGCATGCCCACTGTCGACGACCTGCAAAAGGATCCTATGGCAGCCCTTACTAAAGGCTTCGGCTGGTTCACCAGTACCGTCTCTAAGACGGCCAAAACGGTCAATGATGGCTACATTCAGCCCACAGCGAAACAGGTGGGTGACCCTTCTACTTCTACTACTTCTAAAATTCCGTCTCCCCCCGCACCAGCCCGGACGAAGAGGTCAGGACTAATTCGTCGTCCCACAGCTGGCTGAATCCGATTTTGCGAAGCACGCACAGGTGGCTGCTGGCCAGGTTGGCCGCGCCGCGCAGCAGGGAGCTCGTAATGCCCAGGACGGCTTCAACAGGTTCGTCGAGGGACCAAGCGGCAACGGTGGTCACGGAACAAGACAGGCACCTCTGGACGAGAGCAAGAAGGACTTTTGGGACAGCTTTTCCAACCTGGCAGACCAAAGACAGCAAAACAGCGGCAGCTCGATCGGCACGTCTGCTATGGGCAAGGGGAACAAGCCCGGTGGAGCTGCGGCGCCTGCGGCGCAGAAGGATAAGGATGGGTGGGACGACTGGTGAAGTGGTAGTGTTTGCATTCTGGGACGGTGACGTGTTGGATAAGCGGTTGTTGAGCTTTGGCAGGCCTGCACGTCGTAGAATATCATTTATTTAGTTGCAATATCATTTGTTTGGAAACAGGACTGACGAGTGATTTCTTTTCCCTTCGCACACGTACGTGCATTTCAGATTTGACAAGCCAACTCTGTAGCGTGGAAATGCTTCTGACAATTGGATTTGGACAGAACAAAGCGTCTCTAATAGCCGAGTAATATCTGGGAACACCGGCACAACGTCCATGTGGGAATTTTGCTGTAACAAGTCGGCGTCTCTCCTTTGAGTGGCCGAAAAGGGTTAGGTGGGGCGGTGACCCGAGGTTAGCCGGTATCGCTGAACTGCGGTTCCGTTTTCCCCAGTGACGACACGGCACAGGCAACTTTGAACCTGAGCTCCAATTCCCGTTCTCTATCCCACCCCACCCCCCGACCGCCACAGCATCAACTCTCCCGGGCCATTGAACAAGCCAGAAGAGAGCTCAAAAATGTCCGCACTCAGAATTCTCGTGCCCGTCAAGAGGGTCATTGACTATGCTGTGAGTTTCAGCTAGCCCGCTTCATTGACGCTGGAATTGGCTTGTGATCGAGAGGCAGCAGAGCTGACTTTGGATTCCGACGAAACTAGGTCAAGCCCCGAGTCAACAAGGCCCAGACGGGCGTCGAAACTGCCGGCGTCAAGCACTCAATGAATCCCTTCGACGAGCTCTCGGTCGAAGAGTCGGTCCGAATCCGCGAGAAGAAGCGCGCCCCCGGCGGCGTCGAGGACATCACCGTCATCTCCGCAGGCCCCCCCAAGGCCGTTGACGTGCTCCGAACGGCCATGGCTATGGGAGCCGACCGCGCGATTCATGTTGAGACCAAGGAAGGTGACGACCTCGAGCCGCTGTCGGTTGCGAAGCTGTTGCGCAAGGCGGCCGAGGAGCACAAGTCCAACCTTGTTATTCTGGGCAAGCAGAGCATTGACGACGATGCGAACCAGACAGGCCAGATGCTGGCTGGCCTTCTGGGCTGGTCACAGGCGACGCAGGCCAGCGAGGTCAAGTTTGAGGACGCAGACACCGTCAGCGTCACCCGCGAAGTGGACGGCGGTGTTGAGACTGTCAAGGCGAAGCTGCCGCTTGTCATCACCACCGATTTGAGATTGAACGAGCCCAGATACGCAAGCTTGCCGAATATTATGAAGGCTAAGAAGAAGCCTCTTGAGAAGAAGAAGCTGGCAGACTACGGTATCGGTGTTGAGAAGAGGTTGAAGGTTTTGAAGGTTACTGGTGAGTATCTCCTGACCTCGGGTCTTCTTGTCCGATCATCATACCATCAGAGTCGAGATACTAATGATGTTGTGCAGAGCCTCCCCAGCGACAGGGTGGTGGCAAGGTTGAGGATGTCGACGGGCTCGTTGCAAAGCTCAAGGAGCTTGGCGCCCTGTAAAGGGTGTGACTTAATAGCCTATTACTGTAACAAAGACTTTTTGGCAATAGACATGTTTGAAACCATGCTTCCTTGTCACTCAGCTGTGATATCAGGTTTCTCAGATGTACTGACACTGACGGGCTTAGGGCAAAGCACTGAACACGCGAGGTCGGCATCATGTTTGAGGCGGCTTGATAGACTGGTCGCTGTGCAGAATAATTAGACATTGCGCTTTCGTTAGTGGTGCCGACTGTCAATTCAACAGATATTGTTTCTTGACGGTTCATATGAGCAAAGCGTTACAGGCTGGGTGTTTGCGAGACCATTTATCATCATTGCCGTGGTTGGTGTTGGCCGCCTCGAACTGCTGGCACCGATGCTATATGTTGAGGTCCACAATAAGCTTATTGATGCGTCAAAATGCTCGGCAAGAGGCGTGCCTAGAGCATCGACCCCAGGCCACATTGATCATCTCATAAATCACTCTGATTGTTGGCGACCTCCCAGCACCTGCTCTGAAGAAGGCTCAGAAGCTCGAGTCAGGATTGAAGTTTGAGCCAGACATAGACTTATGACATTCTCCGTCTGTTACTGGAAATAACGAATTAATTTTGTACCTTAATCGCCGTATATACTGGGATTGCATATTTGTACCGAGTACAGTTGCTCTGCAAACGAGTCGGCCGAGTAAGTTGAAGGCAATTGATACCATGTTTGATTATAAGCAACTTTCATTCATCATTAATGGAAACCCAGTCATCACTGGTTCTCTCGGCATTTGGCTCCAGTGCATTGGATGCACGACCCATCTTGTCACTACCAATGTCTATTGTTGACCCAGAGAACGAGACTCTAGTCGGTCGCGTCCTTAACTTGGCTGTACGCTTTACCTCCAGCGGCAGCATCAAAATCCATCGCCTCCGTTAACCCAACAATGGAAAACAGTTTCCGGGGTGTAAAGTCAGGCTTCGTCCCAACCTCGCCCGTCTCCTTCAACCTGACCAAAGAGTCTCGAATGGCCTCATACGCCGGGGCGATTGCCGCGAACGGCACAATCATCATTCTGTACCCAATATCCTTGGCCTGTGCTGCAGTCCACGAAGGCGTGGAAGCGTGCTCAACCATGTTCAACAATACGGGCGTCGGCGACAGCGCCTTACACGCTTCCCTCGCCTGCTCTTCGCTCCTCACGCCCTCAAGGAACGCAACATCGGCACCAGCAGCGACCGCAGCCTTCAGTCTCGCCATCGCCTCGTCGAATCCATGTGTCTGTAACGCGTCCGTCCGCGCGATTACGACAATGTCGGAGCCAATTCTCTCGCGTGCCAGCTTCGCAGCTTTGATACGCGAAGCAAACACGTCGACGTCGACAACTTCCTTACCCGTAAGATGACCGCATCGTTTGGTTTGCACTTGATCCTCGATGTGGAGCCCTGCAACGCCGGACTGCGCGTACTGCGTGACTGTGCGAGCGACCTGGTTCGGGCCTCCGTAGCCCGCATCCGCATCAGCGACGAGGGGCACCGAAGTGTCCAGGTTGACCAGCATCTCGGCATGCGAGCGCATGTCGTTGAGGGTCGCGTAGCCGAGATCGGGAAGACCAAGCCTTGAGGCGGACGTACCCGCACCCGTCTGCGTAGTATCAGCACGAAGATCATCGGGGTCCAGTGACGGATTTCTGACGTACCATGTACAAGCCATCGAAGCCGACCTCCAGCGCTATCCGTGCGCTGAAGCCATCATAGACTCCCGGGAGGAGAATCAAGTCGTCTGTTTCCTCAAGGCGGCGACGTAGGCGCGTTGCGGCGGAGATTGGGGCTGATTTGTTGTCCGACGACATTGTAGAGTTAAGACGCTTATGCGATTGTGCTTCGATAATGAGCTATAACGTGATGTATCGTTAAAAGTGACGGTTTTTCCCTCTGTCCGCTGTCCGTTCAAGTTCGAACGAAGTGATTCGATTTGAGGTCCGCGGATGCCGCCAAGATCAGTCCTATTTATACTGATTTACAACCTTCATGACGCAAGCTATGTATAGTTCTTATCCACCGGGTGGACTCTTTTTTTTTCCCTCCCTCTTTCGGGGTCCCTTCGGGAATGTCGGAGAGGCGGGCTGGAGTAGTGTAGTCTATTCCCACTTGCCACGCATGAGCCTCATGTGGTTTTAGTGTGAAAAACTGAAGTGAGGCGACCGTTATTCCCGTCTTGTTCGCCTTGGGCTGCAGTTAGACGGGGAGTGGCTTCCGCGGATAGTCATCGGGTCGAGTCAAGGTGCCCACCGTCCGATGACATATCCACATACTTTGAGATGATGAGCGAGAGCCCGAGCTTCTTTTGTCAGAAACACCCTTTTGAGGGGTCGTCCCGCACTGTCGCTCTGCAGATTCGGTATCAAGGCTGGAGGGCAAGGGCACAACGACGCTTTAGGCTATAGACTTTGAGGCTGGAACACAATGCATGTCACCGGCAATACGCTTAGCGCACCCAATTCAAACCCAACTGTAATGGATAACCCGGCACATTTGTATACGCCAGGCTCGTAGTCGGGGACTCGCTTTCGGCTTGTCTTTGTGCCTTTGCTCTTGATTTCTTATTTGTTTTAAAGTTGGAAGAGGGATGGGGTATATATCCCTCGAAACAAACGATGTGTTCATTGTCGAGGGTTAAGGGTATTTTTCTTGACTCGACGTCTGGGCTTAATGAGATGTGTCTCGGGATACAGAGGACTCAAATATCAGCTGTCCAGTTCAACTTTGTTCCATCTACACTTACATTCCTCCCATCAGGAGGTCGGGCGCTCTTTGTCTATACGATACTTTTGGACACCGGCTTTTATCATGGGCAATTTTACCTTCGCCAGCAAAGATGCCTCAGTTGAGACCGTCGGAAGTGGCCCCTTGGCCGAGCAGCTGCGGTCAAGCAGCACGCCGGGCGAGATAGCAATGGCACAACCCGAATGGCGCGCCGCTGAAAAGAGGCTTGTGAGAAAACTGGACATGTCACTATTACCTATAGTCTGGACTCTCTACATGTTCAACTACCTCGACAGGAATAATTTGGCGTGGGTTATCTGACGAACCTTGCGGTTTAGTGGCCGAGACTGACAGACAGAGAATAGACAGGCGAAGCTGAACGGGTTTGAAAAGGATCTAGGCCTCGTGGGGAACCAGTTCAATACGGCGGTTTCGATCTTCAACGTCGGGTTCGTGGCGGAATGCCTTTTTGGTGATTTCCTGGTGCCATCACTGATATGAAATGCAGGTATATGACTGCACAGTTACCGTCGAACATGCTCATCACCCGCGTTCGGCCGAGCATATATATCCCGTGCTGCGTGATACTATGGTCGTGCGTGTCTGCTTCAACAGCGGCAGCCAAGAACTTTTCCAGTCTCGTCGTCATCAGAGTCATGTTGGGGATCGTAGAGGCTCCTTTCTTCCCAGGTGTAAGTCAACCGCGTATCTCTGCAGTAACTTCGATTGACACGGGACCTCTGTTCCCAGGTTTTTTACGTCCTCTCGTGCTGGTACACCCAAAAAGAACTCGCTCTCCGCACAGCGACCTTGTTCTCAGGCATGCTCATCGCGACCTCTTTCGCAGGCCTAATCGCTGCGGCTGTTTTCTCGCACCTGGACGGCGTCCGAGGGCTGGCGGGGTGGCAGTGGCTCTTCATCATCGAAGGTGCAGGGAGCTTTGCCTCAGCCTTTGCGGCGCTCGCATTTCTGCCGGATTATATTGGCTCTAGGACAGGGGTCTGCTCATGGCTTATGACTGAACGGGAACTGCAAGTCGCAGAGCAGAGGATGGAGGCGGATCGTGTGTCGGTGCCGAAAGAGAAAGCAACTGTGTGGCATGGGCTTCGGCTTGCAGTTAAAGATATACGAACATGGCTTTTCGTAAGTGGTTTCCCAATGGAAAAACCTTGGGTGATATGCTGACGACAACGGCGGTTAGGTCTGTCTCAACGCGTTCTTTCTGTCGTGCCACGGCCTAAGTAGCTTCTTCCCCACGATAGTGAAGGGTTTAGAGCTGGGCTCGAACACAATCACGCTCGTCCTCACTGCACCGCCGTACCTCCTGGCTGCGGTGGTGGCCTTGTGTGTCGCTGTGTCCAGCGACCGCCGCGGCGACCGCGGACTGCACATCGCGGGTACCCTATGCGTGGCAATGACCGGTTACATTATAGCCGCGGCCACGGTGAACAGGCCGGTGCGGTACTTTGCGAGTTTCCTGTTCATCCCTGGGGCATACGCGCCGACGGCATTAATCTTCAGCTGGGCTGCGAGCGCACTCAATGAAACGCCGGAAAAGAGGGCGGCAGCGACGGCGATCGTATGCTTGCTGGCGCAGCTGGGAAATGTTTGGGGGCCGTATTTCTTCAGGCCCCAGGATAGTCCGCGATATCTTCTTGCATTCATACTGATGTTGATGTTTTCGGTGTTGACTATCGGCATGACATTTTTGATGAGGTTTATACTGGGAAGAGCGAACAAAAGGCTCCTTGCCGAGACTGATGGAACGGGAAAGATGCCTAGGCTGTATATTCTGTAAAATAAATAAATAAATAAAAAATACGATTTGTGCTTTGCTAGAAAAGGTGGAAACGGGCGTGTTAAACGCAGACGTGGATGACGGAATGGTGAACGATGGCGCTGCGAATATCATATAATGAGCTTCAAGAAAGGGGTTCATACAGCGACATTCTCGGTGAGCGAGAACAACACTTCGTTGCACTGTGCTCTGGATGGAGTGAAATGGGTATGGGTTTTCCTTGAACAGTAATGACATTAATACCTTCGCATGCGCACTGATGATGATTGTAAGTACATCAAATGTGTTACCACTTGAATGACTAGTAAGACTAACCTAATCCGACTGCCCCTGTTAGTCCTGACTTAGACTAAGTAGTGGTGATTTTTACCCCTACATAGTAATCTTTAGTGAACGATCGATCCGTATAAACCCAATTGCACTTGGAGTTTGAATCCTGATCGACTCTCGATTGCGCGGCTGAGATGATGACCTGCATACAAGATTGGCACCGAAACTAAATCACGAAATCTTGGTGGGAATGTAAGGAATCAACCGTCTTTGTAAAGCAAACGAGTCAAGGCAGTGGTTGGCGTAGAGGGGGAAATCCCAAGACCCAACTACCAGAGAAGGTGTGGAAGACCTGGGCCACAAGCTCTAATCAGGAGTTTGACTTATCGGGCAATGAGGGTGCACATCTGAACATGCGATGCTCGACTCCTTTCCTTGTGCGATCTAGGTGTTTGACTCAGTGTAAGGTTGATGCACGTTGCATAGTAATGCAGAAAAGGATTTTTGACTGCCTTCTTGGCACACTACGCAGGGCCTGCTCGACACGACAAGTGCCCACGTGATCGTTCAGAATCAAGAAAAAACGAAACTCAGGTGGTATTGTATTTAGTCTGCGAACTTTCTTACGGACGGAGGAATCAACACGAAGGGAAACGGCGAAGAAGATAAACACCGCAAACAACCTCCGCTGAAGCATACATAGTACAACCATTGCTTGGATTGCACGCTTGTAGCTTGCCAGTTACACTGTCGAGGAAAAAGACAGATAGCCAAAGGTCGATCCGGGGTTCCCGAGGAGATGGTGTTGCCAGGGTCTCTTTCATGACCAGGAGACCGACTCGAGTCGGTGAAGAGTTCAAAGGAATCATTTGCTGGACCTTCTAGCAGGCCAGGGAGAGCCCGACAGGCTGTAAGCGGAGGGCGTCTCCTTTCTGCCCCGTTTGCTCCGGTCAAGGTTCTAGCCCACATGCAGTTACGAGGATTAGTGCACATAAGGGGCCACTGCCAGTACACTACAGAGTGCGGTTGTGTGGGGCTCCGACTACGGCGGTGTTGTAGAGAGCCATTTGGCAACGGAACCCACCGATCTGGATATTGCGACATTTTCAGGATGCACAAAAGGCAGAAATGAAGTATGTGACAATGCCGGAATTGATATTAGGGCTCATATCGCTTTTTCAGTGCCATCTGCCGGCTCAATGCCTCGTAGTTTTGTCACTGATGCAATGTCGGTCAGAGACAACTGATAAGAACGAGGGCGATAATTCAGGTGGATTGGACGAATCAAATTGGTACACTACGTATTACCTCACGTCAAAGCCCCGCGATAACGAACGACATCGGCGGGCGCGCCTTCCTGGCGGGGCAGGGGAGGTCTCCATTTAGTAGTACTGCGTCGTACACTACTGGCTGTACTTAGAAGATGCCTCAGATGGAGGGTCCTTTTTTACAGGCCCAGTGAGTATCTGGCGAGAGTTTCCCCTGCAGCGACAGCCCCCATTGCCTCTCAGTTTACCCCGTGGCTGGCGTATCACAGCTCTGAGACCCACTGGAACCAGCAAATTTGCTCAAAGGGTCCAATGATAAGCTTTCTAATTTTTCTCAAGCCGCCTCTACTGGCTGTGACCTTGAAAGCCCCGGCCCCGTCCTGGCGGGTTGGGTTGGGACGTGTGTGACTCCGCGCCGGCGCCCGTGCTCTATTTTTCTACCTGACATCTGCCTCCCTTCGCTTTTTCGCTTTTTTCCTCTTCTCCTCATCACCAAAAATCTTCCCGCATCGTGCAACGTCGCAGAATATCTCCGGTCATATTCCCCAACAGCCCCAAAGACTCGTTTCGAGCAGTTTAACTACACCTTCTTCTGATTGTCTCTTTGCAAATCTGCCCTTATGAACGGGCGCCCGTCAGTCTTCACCTCTCAGGTAAGTCACTGCTGCATGCATATTTACTCCATCTCTGTTCGCTCTGTGTGGTTAGGAGCATGAGGTCACAGCTGTGATGATACTTGACCCCGCCACACAAAACTTTGTCTTATGTACCCGTACCGCAACGTCCAGCTGAGGTCATTGGGGTCGGTGCTTGCATTGCTTTGCATTCTTAATTAAAACAACAATTCTGCGAAATCTCGGTTGCTGACTCGTCGTCATTAGGATTATCTTTCAGGTTCGCACGATACCTTCTGCGGTTGACTCACCGCCTCCCTCCCAGCATCAGCTAACCATGGAAACAGACCACTTGTGGAAGGCCTCCAGGTCCTAAGGGTCTCTTGACATAACCAGCAACTTACTCCATACCGACTCTTCCAACCGATAACATCATGTTCTCTCGATTGGCCACTCAATTCTCCAAACCCGCGGCCAAGGGTGCCGCCGGGTTGAACTCTGGTTTCCGAGTTCAGACCCGATTCCTCTCTAAGCAGGCCACTGGCAGCAAGGGCCGTTCCATGCCTTTCAACCAGACCCGTGCCACTGCTCCCGTCGCCAACCTCGACGCTACCTTCACCATCCGAGTACGTTACCTCCGAGCACCGAAAAGTGCATGAAGCTGCATGAGAAAACCGCAGTTGGCTAACAAAGAAACAGGATGGTCCGGTCTTCTCGGGCCGAGCCTTCGGAGCAAACTCTAACATCTCCGGCGAGGCCGTCTTCACCACCTCCCTGGTGGGATACCCCGAGTCCATGACCGACCCCTCCTATCGCGGTCAGATTCTGGTCTTCACCCAGCCCCTCATCGGCAACTATGGTGTGCCCTCGAACCAGCTTGACGAGTGGAAGCTCCTCAAGTACTTCGAGTCTCCTCACATCCAGTGCGCCGGCGTCGTCGTTGCCGATGTTGCTGAGCAGTACAGCCACTGGACTGCTGTTGAGAGCTTGGGCAACTGGTGCGCCCGTGAGGGTGTCCCCGCCATCTCGGGTGTTGACACTCGTGCCATCGTCACCTACCTCCGAGAGCAGGGTTCGTCCCTTGCTAGGATTACCATTGGTGATGAGTACGATGCCGATCAGGACGAGAGCTTCATTGACCCTGGCCAGATCAACCTGGTCAAGCGTGTCAGCACCAAGGCTCCCTTCGTTGTTGAGTCCCCGGGTGCCAAGTACCACGTTGCTTTGATCGACTGCGGTGTCAAGGAGAACATCCTCCGCAGCCTTGTCAGCCGCGGCGCCTCTGTCACCGTCTTCCCCTACAACTACCCCATCCAGAAGGTCGCCTCTAACTTCGACGGTGTCTTCATCTCCAACGGACCCGGTGACCCGACTCATTGCCAGGACACCATCTACAACTTGGGCCGCCTGATGGAGACCTCTCCCGTCCCCATCATGGGCATCTGTCTCGGCCACCAGCTCCTCGCTCTGGCCGTCGGTGCCCGCACCATCAAGCTCAAGTACGGCAACCGTGCTCACAACATCCCCGCCCTCGACTTGACCACTGGCCAGTGCCACATCACCAGCCAGAACCATGGTTACGCCATTGACGCTTCGACCCTGCCCAGCGAATTCAAGGAGTACTTCGTCAACCTGAACGATGGCAGCAACGAGGGTATGATGCACAAGACCCGCCCCATCTTCTCTACTCAGTTCCACCCCGAGGCCAAGGGAGGCCCGATGGACAGCTCCTACCTTTTCGACAAGTACCTCGAGAACGTCGAGCTCTTCAAGAACAGCGAGAAGATCTACAAGGACAACCGCCCCACCCCTCTCATGCTTGACATCCTCAGCAGGGAGCGTGTCGGTGTCGAGCCCACCACCTTGGCTGCGGCTGCTTAGGTCTATTTGTGGTTTCTCTCGTGGTTCGGTCTTGACTTCATGGATTTGCGGTGTCTTGGCAGGTACAGATGGGTTTCTTTGTCTGGGAATCGGACATTATCGAAGGTTTTTCTTTTTCAATAGTTCATAGCGTAGCTCAAAATTAGCTACTACCCAAAATGATACAAAAAGGTCATGATTTGGAAGTATAACTGAAAACGTTTCTCTGAGAGTGAATCTTGCAATCAATCTACAGCAATGAAATTGTTCATCCAGCCAATCATTACCGTCCGGCGCCTATTACATCATTAATCCAGTTTCTACTCCTTTCATATGCCAGCAATTTCCCTCCCGTGCTAACCTGTTATTAATCCACTCCAGCTGTTCCTTAGCTGTATCCATTAGTAGATGGCGTTGTGGACGGAGTCGGTTAGACATGTACACCAATTTCACCGATATCTAAAGTGTTTTTTTTCTCTCTCTTTTTTTTTTTTGGCCGGATTGTCTTCGTCGATATATTTACACAAGGGCGCCGTCACATTGCTGTAGGGTAAGGAGCTTGGAGAATGGGCTTCAGAAGTGCAAGTAACAACGAGTGATGGTCGATTATGTCTACCACGACGCCTGCGACATTGTCAACATGGGGGATGTGAAGCTCGTTTAAGAGTGGATGGCTAATGAATGGTAGAGTGATGATGGCACAGGGCTGTTTCTTGCTTCATGGGGTAAGCTCTAATAAGTTATAGCATCAGTTTACCTGAAGCTAGGTTAAGGATTATGACAGGAGCAGGGGAGAGTGGACTGAGAAAATCAGGGTTGAATAACGATGAGAGTGAGCGGACGGTGGTAACAAACGCTACTTCTATCCAACGTGGCTCTTTCAGGATAACATGTCGAATAGACTAGCGAGTGGATACTTGGACAAGCAGCGGATCACCAGTATTACGAAAATAGTGCATACACATCGCAGAGACTTGGTTCATGTATCTTGAATTATCTACTCCTAAGGAGAGAAGATAGAGAGAAAAAAAAAGGGGGGGAAGAGCCTTCCTGTATGATAAAGCCCGCGGGCAAAGCAGGCGGTGGTATCGCAACGCAGCAGCATATTTCTCTATGGGATGAAAAAAATTTAGGGAATGCAGTCAAAGACCTTCTCGTGCCGCGAGGGTTAAACGGGAGCTAGTAAGAATGTGAAAGGGAAGGATAAAACAAAACGTCATCCAACCAAGCCTAACCGTCCCGAGTTCTCCAGTTTCTCGTCCAACCCATTCATGCTAAGAACTTGTTCTTGGTAATGTTGGTATAACGCCCTTTTCTCTCCCCTTCTTATTTTCAAGTTGTGCGTGTTGGCTGCCAAGTAGGACGAAAGTCGACATTTTTGGTCTACCCTTTCCATTCTTGTACTTTTAAGTACGTAAGGAGCCACTCGTGGCCCCGGTATGACTGTCGTCATCCAACTATTCCTAGCTACTTCCTTATCATAATATCACACCTCAATGGGTGTTTGTCGTACTTTGGCGTAAGTTGCACCGCCTCTACTCCAGAGTGGAGCCGTAGGTCTCGCATATGTCGACCAAGCCTAACCGAGTGCACAGCTCAACGTATCGCACTTAAGCTCGTTTCCATGGTAACTCTAAAACCGTCTGTCACGGTCACCGGCGCGGGATCCGAAGTTTCCGCGGTCGCCTTGCCTGTAAGGACCGCTCTCGTTGATGCCTGGGAGGTATCTATCGCTCAGCGGGCGCGGGCCGCCGCCACGGCGATTACCGTTACGTCTGCCGCGACCGGCGGGAGGTCCGCGAGGCGGTCCACCGCCTCCACCGCCCCTGTCCCGACGTCTCTGGGCTTCTCTGTGAGGAGGCCGTATACCCACGAAGACTTCCTGTCCTCTATCGACAAAACTATCGCCTTGTTCGAAAGTGTAGCGGTTTATATCGGTTTCAGGGCCCATGTCTCGCTTGAGGTCCTGGGTGTAGAACGATCGCATGTTACGAATTCGTCTATTAGCCAGATCCTCAGAGACGGGCTGGAAAGAGATCGGGGGATTCTTGTGCGTGGTTTGAACGGGGCCTCCTGGGAAGCCCGGGATCTGCCGCGGGTTTCTTCCTCCGGGTCCGCGAGGTGCCTCTCCTCGGGGTCCAAGAGGCACGTTATCCGTCCCACGTCCGGCGCGAGGTCCGAGGGGGATATTGTTTACGTCCTTGACTGCGGGTCCAGAAGGAACGGATCTGGTTTGCTCGGGTGCTGCTGTCAGGGCGGGAGGAGGCGCCGTACCGGAATCCAAGCGGGCAACGACAAACCCATCGTCTTCGCGGTCGTAAAGTACCTCCCAGCGAGCCCCTCTCCGACGACTTCCCTGAGCTTCTTCTTCATCGATCCATTCTCTGACCTTCTCTGGTGGGACAAAATCTACCCACAACGGCTTACGTTCACGCTCATCGGGCCAAATGACGTCATGCAGGGCATTGCGAACGCGTGATGCCTGAGCTGTGGTTTTGAAGACAGCGAAAGCATGAGTTCTAATCTGATCCACGAAGAACTCTTCAACGTCGTCTTCGTTGGGGCCTGCGCCGGCGGGAGCTGCTAGTTCAATTAGATGCGCCTGGACCGCGTTCTCGCGCAAGGGCCTCATGAAGTTTTTGATGTAGAGAGCTCTGGTAGCAGGATGGATAGCTGGCTGCACGTCACGTTCCACATCCATCGCGTCGCCCTCGTTGTGACGAGTGGGCTGCTGTGTTTGCTCGGAAGCATCTTGCATGTCCCTGGCCTGGTCTGACTCGTCTTTTGACCTGCGATTGGAATCATTCGAAGTTTCTAGATTCGAACCTTCGACTGAGGATGCACCTGTCGCGGTTCCTTTCGCTTCATCCTCAATCGCTGTCATTGCGATATCTTCAATGCCCCCCTCATTCGCTTCCTGTGCCATTGGCACATCCTCGGGAGGATTAATTGCGTTCTCGGTAATGTCCTTTGCGTCCTTGGCAATATCCTCCACAATACTGGTGTTGTTCTCGAGACTCTCCTTCACTGTCTTAATAACTTCAACCACACCCGATGGCTCCGATGATTGTGCTTCGCGCTCCTGCTCCGCTTTGATCCGCTTGCGGGCGACATCTTCTGAAGACTGAACAGGGCTCTCCGACCGGCGTTTCCTTTTTTGCGCGTCCTGAGTTATCTCGACCGGTGCAAGAGGTGTGGGTTCGGCCGGAGTAATGGTCTCTGAACCAGCAGCCGGAACATCTGGCTTGTCAGATTCGGTGGGTGCCGCAGGCTCGTCGTTAGCCGGGGGGGATGGCTGGATTTCATCGACAGATGTGGATGTCGGCTCGAGCCCGGCACCGTCAGCTTCCTTGGGTAAATCATCGACAGGCGCAGAATCAGTGGTCGGCTCCGCAGCCTCAACAGATTGGTGCTCAGAGCTGTCAGCCGGCTCGGGTTCAGAGGCCTCCGCCTCGTTTTCCGCGACAGCGGCGGCGGCATCATCTTCGGTAAGGCGCGCGACGAGATCTTGCTTGAGACCAGCTTGGCCAAGCCCTCGACGCTTTAACTCAGCCTTGAGTTGGACCACGGTCTGTTTGCTCCAGTCCTTCATCGTGAACAAGTCTTTGTTTGTCGCAAAGGCTGGCGCATAGCTCGAAAATAAAATAATTGAATTCTGTTGCAGGTGCGAGTGTCGCGGTAAAGAAAAATATCTCGTAGAGTGGCTTACGCTTGTTGCGAAGTGCGGCGTCGCTGATGTTAAGTGGTGGTTGCAGGACTTCCAAGGCCAGACGCTAGATCGCTTGAGCGCGTCGTCGCGACCTGGAAAAATTGCCCCGTCATGCAAACCAGAGCCTCCACTAAGCAAGGACGCTAGTTGAGTCGCTAGTGCAGGGGTTGCTCCCACTTCCACTGATTGATCCTGTCTGGGAAGGATGTCATTTCTGCAAACGGCCCCACAACTTTTCGCGCCGGGCAAGTGCTGGGAGGTCAGTCACGTGATAGAAACCGAAGTGTGGCAGGACCCCCATCTCTGTTACCGTCTGTACCTTCCTCTGCAACTTAAATCAATGGCTTCTCAGTGTACTTTAGTATATAACTTTCACATTACCGAATCTAGTCGCCAACATGAAAATGCATACGCTCGCAAATCTCATACTACCTGCCTAATGACGTGAACAGATGACTAAGCGAAACGAGATACATCGGATGATGGAACCGTACAGTGCACGGACCAATAGCTGTCTCTCAATGCTCTGGATTTTTGTCTTGTTCTTGTTGTCTCACCGCGTCGACTTCAACCCAAAAGGTGAAGCTTCAACGGCTTTTTGTTCGGTCGCCGCATTCGTCGCGAACAATGCCAGAGTTTCTTTGCGTCCTTCAATTCTTCTCTTATACAATCAAGCCGCCGGAGGAACTCACAATCTCCTTGCTTCCCTCAAGGGTAAAGTGGGCAGCAGGTGGTCACAATAGAAGTTGCTCTAGATGAAAAGGCGACGAGGGAAGGTTCGACAAAGAAATGCATCTTTACGACTTCCATTCTCGCCAGGAACCTTTGGGAGGTGACAAAAGTGTGACTTCTTAGACTTCAGCAACTATTCATATCCAACTATTAAGCCTTACATTCTGGCTACTCATTCATGATCATTTCCCACAGTCATCCTCTTCAATTGTCACATCTTCAGATGGATCGACCTTCTTCAGGCTCCGTAAGGAGCCCTACACCAGCTGGAACCCCCCAAAAACTTAGCAGGTTGCTTGACCCGAGCTTACGTAGCGCAACGCCGCTCACGGACACGCCGGCAACAAGTGCAAGTATTGGCAGAGAAGGCACGCCAGTGTCAGACAAGGTCTTATCTGGCCGCATCAAGAAGACACCGCGTAAGACACTGCTCAGAAAGGAGGATGTTCTAAGTACGAAAGAAAAGGAAGAAGAATTTCGGCAATTAGAGGAGATGAACGCTGAAAGAAAGCTTTTCCCCGGAAGTGATAATTGGGCCGATGATGAAGTCAGACTCTTCAAGATTCTATTCATGAGACAGTACAGTCCTCTGTTACCGGCAGATTGGCAGATTAGCTTTCGAGGTATACCCATTCCCGACATCCTCTTCGCCAGCTCCGTTGCACACCCACCTGTTATCAACTCGCGGTCTGGCAACGAGTTCAAAGGTATGTCATGATATCCAGCCTTGCCACGATGACAACGCTGACCCCCACTAAGCGACCAAAGCCTTAACGCGTCTTATTGAGTTGACGAAGGAAGTTCGAGGTTTAGCTCAAACCAAACAGAGACATAGAGCAAGTGGGCTCATTAACAGAAGATTGCATGAATATGCGAAATGGGCCGAGCAGGATGGAGGCTATGGCAGTCTCGACTACATGCCAAATATCATTATCGACCTTGTGGATACTTCAAAGACGCCCAGGGAAATCGAAGAGCACATGCAGCAGCGGCTCAGAGCTGCCGCCGCTAATCATCGTGCCCACTGGAGATCTGACGAAATACCTGAAATTGACGAGAGGAGTGAGAAAGAAAAAGAACTTCAGCCAGACTACGATCCAGAAGAAGCAGAACTGGAAGACGACAGAGTTGTTCTTATCCCGGACAAGTATTCAACGCCATCACCGGAGAAGCTTCCTTTGAACCCCCAGCCGACACCTGGAAATGAGGCCAGCAACAGCAATACTCAAAGCCACGAAAGTTCAACCAAGGAAGTTGATAACACGGCCACGTCGATCATATGTCAGGGCGATGAGTACACACGGCGCCCACCAGTCATCTACGGGCTTTTTATTGTCAACACTTCCGTGATGGTGCTCACGATTGATTCTGCAAAGGGAGAAGATGCATATGTGAGTTACCAGGTTGAAGTTGGTTTCAGTAAGCGCGGCCAAGACGTATGGAACGCTATCACTATTGCCACCGTCTTTTGTCTGGCAAGAGATGCCATGATGGAGATGAGAGGCGACTTTGAGGACTCAATTAATAACGAAGAGAGCGACCCTGACGCTTGATACGACGGAACGTATGTTACTGGGGTTAGAGAGAAGCAGCAGCAGCAGCAAACGTTGATGAATTTGTGTTCTTTCTTTGCAGACCGCGGCAGGCAATCCTTTGGAATGCGTATACCCCCTTTTTTTCTTGTTCCTATTCTTGTTCTTCCTCAGAAACACTGGAGATACCCCCTATTATGTAGCATAGATGTTGTAAAGTAGCAGTTAACAGTACATGTCATATCGATCAGCTGTTCTATTCGTTTAAAAGTGTGTTAGGAGCTCAGCTGAGCAAATGGTCTGATAGTAATGGCCAGCGGTGACATCACAAAACAAGGCGATTGGCTCGTCAAGTTGGGAGCTGCCACTCCTCGACTCTAAACTCAGGCATAACGACAGGTGTCCTGAAACTACTGGTCATTATCACCGAAGGAGAGTGCCGAGTCTGGAGGATACTTGGTTCGGATCCGGCACCCAGCTCGTCTCTTGACCGAGCTTCTGATAAATGCTCGGTCTTTCTGTCTCGGATTCCTGTAGTCTGGGAGTCGGCCACCGAAGGTGATAGAAGACAGGAACTAAAGGAGAAAAGAAAACTTATCTCTTTTCGCCTCTTAACACCGAGGGATGGCCCTGTACGACCTCGGGATTACGTATCAGTCTTTTTTTCGAAATGGCCTTTTTTTTTTTCGAAATTGAGGGGCCGGCACATATACCGACTGCCTTATTCGTCACCGCTATCCCCCTTGTACCCCTCTGTTACTTTGTTTCCCTGTCAGCTTATTCAGGTCGCCTGTCACTGGGCCATGGCCCTGTAAGCCCCGCAGGCCTGGTTTCCGGAGCCGGCTTCCGATCCACCACTACAACCTGCAGGTGCCTTTTGGGGGCCTTGTTCTCAGCGAGAGAGAAGAACGAAGAAGCTGGTAGTAGTAACAGCGGTGGTGTGGTGTGGTGTGGTGTGGTGTGGTGTAGGACGGGTTGATAGGCCAAGGGCCCAGCATCCCAAATGAATCGAATTTTCGCAACTTAGCTGCTTGGATGGCTTTATTCTCGTTTCCTATGTCTATGTCCAATACCCGCGCTAGTGATGGCGGTGTGCCATGCATAAGTTGGCGTTCGCTATTATAAGACTGACATTCATGGAAGCACAATAGCATCCCCGGTGCCATTGAGCTTGGCGGAGCGACAGCCATATTCAATAAGGTGTGTTGAATTGCATCACCCACCCAAGAGGGCTTACTACGTCGGCCTTAGGGTGGTACCTGCTAGGGTCCCTCGGTCCCAGAGGGCTGGAGGAGGGCAGGTACGCAAGACCGAACTGGCGGAGACAGCGACGCGCAAGGGTGGATTTGTATTTTTTTTTTTAACCTCGGGGCCTGTACTTTTTTCTGCCTTGGACCCGAATCTCGCTTCGCCGGAGGAACGGTGCCGGCGATGTGAGAGATGATGGTTGCTGATCGATCAATCGAGGTCAGGTGCACGTATCCTGATCTGGCTGTCTACTCTGAAGTACATGTCATTTTGATGCCCAAGAATACACAACCTTTTCAGCATGGCTGGCAGGTCTGTGTCTGATGGAGTTCCTCAGGCAAAATATTTCAGTTGGCGTCACATTCGGTTTAAATCAGATTATTAAAGTTCAAGTTCTTTCCTTAGAGGGTCCAAGGGTCTGGCGTACAATCATATGGAGACAGTGCAGCTCGCCAGCCGTGCCGATTGCTCCATTCTAGAGACAGGCAAATCAGAGCATGCCGGTGCATGGAGCCCATAGTACCTACACGTACTAAGGGGGAGCCGGGCAGGGCCAACCGGGAAAGGCTAATTACGCCGTATTGTTCGGGGTTATGATGTAGATATAAGGACAGATGCCGTGCCATTTGACTGTAGGCGGCTGTGTTGACTTGGTGAAAGCCTTGAGGGTTATTGCCTGTATGACCGGACCAAGCCGGAGACAATAATGCCCATCTAGTTGAAAAGAAGTGAGGGTGAATCCAATGAAGGAAGCATGGAAACTCATGAAAACAGAAGATACTTCCGCACTACCCAAACCGCATTAGTCTCCCCTCCGTGCCATCTATGAATGCCGTGATGATGGACGCAAAAAGGTGGACTTGAGTCGGTGGATTCGCACACCCTGGTCTAGCGACATACCACCCACAGCCAATCAGAAGTCACATGTTGTAATCCGTGACCTCTCAGCCCAGATCACCCAACGAAGGGCTCCGATTTTCCCCCATTCTCGTCCGTCACTCGTCATTGGGAACCCAGCGTGGGCTGTCTGTATTCGGGATTTCTGCCAGCGCTCGCGTTGCACGTTCTCGTCCCTCACCATCACCCTGCGCCGCCCTTGTTGCCTTGCCTGTGTCTTCGCACCACGCAAACCTACGGCACCGCTACCACTCTCCCGCCACTAGACCAACACCTAACGCCCGTCACTCGCCAGGCTTGCCTGTCCCCCTTTGCTACCACCTACCTACCCATAGCGTACCACCATCTGGACCTCTCACCGCCCGGTGAAGTCTCCTAAACAGCCACTGCCGACTACCACTCTCGTCAACGAAGGTGCCCTTACATGTCCGTCATTGCCAGTAACACCTGTTGTTTTCTCCTCAGCATGCACCCGATATTACCGCTCTATCCTTCCTAGGCGTTCATCACTCTTCCAGCTTCTCATCCTATCTTACCCCCTATTCGACTTGGCCCGGACAGAGACCCTTGGCAGTCAGCCCCTCCATCCCTCACACCACACTGTGTTTGTAGAGAGACCCCCCGAACACCACAAAGCCTAGGTGCCCTGGATTAATGGTGGCAACTCTCTGTCCGCCTCAGTCCTCCGGCTTCCGAACCCGCCTCCTGCTCCGTCAGCCGGCTCTCCATATTCTCTTCTACCTCTGTCTTCAACTGTGGACGGGGCAATTCCTCCCCTGACCCTTCTCCGGACTGCCGAGTGTCGAACCACCTCTGCACCGTGGTGGGGTTGTCTAAGGTTTGAAGTGACTCCAACTTCTGATTTCTCCTCCTTTGCGTCCATCAACCGCTTCATCCTTTTGGAAATCGTCTCACATTCGAAGCCGTCATCTTCTCTGGGCTAAGCCTCTACTGCTTACGAAGCCTCCAACTATTCGTGGTCGATACCTTGGTGAAGGCTTCTTACAGCAAATCATCCCGTTTCGAATCTCAACCATCGTCTGTCGTTGCAGTTGATACAACAAACGCACCTTTTGCGAACAACTACACCACACCCCCGTCCGGAGCCACCCTTCTTTCGAATGGCGATGGCCGATGGCATCTCGTCGGCGGCACAGGGCTCGGCCAAGCAGCCTCCCTCAACCATGCGAACCGCCCTTCCGTCGCGGCGGATGTCCCCCAAGGCCCGAGACGGAGGACCGCATGGAGTCGTAGGGCACGCAAGGCTCCCTAGCCAAGGGGCGAAGGGTGGTAATGTTGAGGGTTCGACGAATTTGCGGCCAGAAATGCGACGTAGTCCGTCGAGCGAAGCTACATCAATGTCACAGGCCATGAGCCCAGCCTCTATTTCCAGCGATGGTTCTCCTAAGCAGGTGATGGCAGAACCCAGACCCAGCCCGGCTCCGACAACAGCGAGTTCTGCATCGGGCCAGACCGGCCAGGTTTGCAGGTGAGGAAGCGATAGCCCTTCCCCCCTTTTCCGCTCTGAAGTGCTAATCAACCACAGCAACTGTGGTACGACTCGAACACCACTATGGAGGAGATCACCCCAGGGAACGACAATATGCAATGCCTGCGGCTTGTATCAAAAAGCAAGAAACGCCTCACGGCCAACTAACCTGAAGAAGCCCCCCCATCTTGTTGCCGCCTCCCCAAGAACCGCTCCGCCAAAGATCGCCCCTGCCCCAGGACCTGGCCCGAAATACCTCAGTGCTCCTGCCCCGACTTATGTTACCGAAGAACAGGCTCCTTCAGGAACTTGCCCAGGTGGTGGAAAGTGCAATGGCACTGGTGGTGCTGAGGGTTGCAGCGGCTGTCCCGCTTACAACAACCGCGTGTCAAAATCTGCTCATCTGAATGTAGTCCAAGGGCAAGGTTGCGGCGGCGGCGGCAGCAGTGCCAGTTCTTCGACCCAACCGCAGAGTGAACCGATGGCTGTTGATGATCCCGCGGCGCCGGTTGACATTGCTGCTCTGCAAATTCAAGGGCAAAACCCAAACACAACCGTCGTTATAGCCTGTCAAAATTGCGGTACAACCATCACTCCGCTGTGGCGACGAGATGAAAGTGGGCACACAATTTGCAACGCGTGCGGTATGTGCCGTTTAAATCTGGGGAAAATCTCGATCTCGATGTGCTGACATAAGTAGGCCTCTACTACAAACTTCATGGAGTCCATAGGCCTGTAACCATGAAAAAGTCCATCATCAAGCGACGGAAACGTGTCATCCCCTCTTCATTTGGCGGTGAATGGACAGAAGAGATGCTCGAAGGATCAGACACGGCGAGTCAGGCGCCGGAGGGTAGTCCGGAACGAGGCACGATGAACGAAGACGGATCTATCAATCTTGGCTTTCGGCGTCGTCAAGAAAATCCCGTGACGATGCTACCGGATCCTCATCTGCGGCCTCATCGGCAGGGTTCGCCTCTGCCGGCGACCGATTTGACCGCCTATCAGTCGGCAAATTCACGAACATCGCATCCATTTCAGGGATCTCTCAACGATGACAACCGCCTTGCTCCCATCACATCGCTTACCGGCAACGGGGAACGACAATCATCCCTGTCTCCCGCTTCGTTTCTCTCCCCTTCGCGTAAGCGGTCGCTGTCTGCTGAAGGAAACCCGCCGGGAGATGGTGGCCCCGATACTTCGAAACGATTGTCGTCCATCAAGTCGATTCTGAACCCCACCAGTGGAGATGACAGCCCTTCCTACCATTCCGGAAGCGACGATGCTGCGGAGCACTACGCCCGATCTGCCATGTCTCCTGCCGCCTCGGCGCCCAGTCCAGGATCCTACTCCAACACCCGGTTGACCCCTTTGCCTTCCCCAGGCCCTAGCAGCCAGACGAGCAACCCGGGATACAAGCCGGAGAGTGAGAGGGCTAAGGCCGAGAAGAGGGCGGCTCTAGTTAGGGAAGCGGAACGGATGAGAGAGATGCTGGCAGCGAAGGAGAGAGAGCTAGCAGAATTGAACGACTAAACGAACTTCCACACGATACACACGAAAAACGGGTCGAAATATTGGAATCGCGGGATATCATGCGCACACAATAGGGTTTTTGGAGTTCCTTGTGATTTTAAAGGGCGGCTTCGGTGGTATTTTATTTCGAGCAGGTGTCTTCTGCGTTTACGGGGAGAGGGCGCGGTTTAGAGAGAAAACAAAACGGACAGGACCGGTCTTTGCAAAAGCGAGAGAGGGTGGAGCTGCGCATTCTGGCGCCCGGAAAAGGAATCTGCATCTCATAAGTCCCGGCGGCTCACGGCGCGGCGTTTCTTCGTACGACGACCAAAACTTGCATTGGGCGGATATGGAGGGATTTCGAGGGGAGTTTGATACATCTTGCTTTTCATGGTTAGATATTGGCCATCGACTGGTAATGGGTTGGAGGCTGAAAGAGAAGCCTCGGAGTAAAAGGGGTCACGGCAAAGTCCACGAGAAGACGCCGCCGAGCAGGTAATCGCTTCCGGAGTATGTAAGTCGAATTCAACTCGGGATATGGGGTTTTTCTGTACTTTCGAGGGCAGAAATCAGGTCTGTTAGACTAGCCATTACGGATCCCAAAAAAATACCCTGCTTTTACCGACCTCCCTGTTCTCCTTGCACCCTCTAGAAATAAGTGAAATTCATACACTGCGCCACCACAAAGCTGACACAACCTCATTCCATTGACCAACCCAAAAACAGAAGCCTACAATGCTCTGCCTCCTCCCTACACACCCTCTCCACCAGTCGTGCTTTACAATTCCGAATGCACACAATATACAGCGGGGCCTTGCGGGCCAAAAACCCATCTATAAGAGGGTTTCTTGTCGATTTACAGCGGTTTCCGGCTTTGTCGATCTTACTTAGATCTTCACTCGTTTCGGTTCGTTTCCCCCAGACTTTGTTTTGAGCTGAGGTAGCGGTGGTAGCGTTCCCTCTCTTTTTCAGTATCTTGACAATTCGAAAAATCCTCAGCAAATCCGGTTCAAATCGTAGCGTTTCTTGATTTGGGGAAAACTCCGTGCTTCCGTAACCCAATATTTGAGATTGGGAGGGAAGCATTCGAGATTATTTGGGTGTGGTTGAAGGGGGGCGGCTAGCTTACACCTGCTCTGCTCCCCAGCCACCATCGGCCTCGCGCATGTTGGCTGGCGGCTCGATCTGGGGGACGAACTCGAGGACGACGTAGGCTACGCCGATAATGCCGATAAGGGAGCCAGCAATGATCTTGAAAATGCCGTCGGAGAGGAGGATGGAGCCGATGAAGATGTAGACTAAAGTGGAGGCGCGTTAAAATAGGCTGCTGTGGCACAGGGCTTAGGAGCAGCGCGTTAAGGGAAAGAACTTACAGACACCACGGCCGACGAAGGAGAAGAGGAAGGACGCGTAGCGGGAGACCTGGGGAGGGATTTGGAACTCTATAATGGGATTAGACGGGTTTCGGAGGGGGAGAACAGTTTCAAGTACCGAGCAGAGCGGTGCCTATCCAGAAGATTAGTTGCCATCCAAGCAACGACAGAAGGGTATTTAGAAGAGCGCAACTTACAGAGACCAAAGATGATGACGTAGGCGCCAATAATAATGCCCTGGCTACATACGATAGTCAGTCGAATTGCATATCATATATTCTACTTGCAGATTCAAGAGTTTTCTTCAGTGCGCAGAGCCTTGCCGCCGTAGGATAGATCCCGCGGAACTGGCGAGGGGCGGCTGGGCAAGGAAGTCCGGCGGGGACGGCGAAAAGTGAGAGGGCAACGTACAAGCTAAAGTTGAAGAATTGGGCGATGCCACCCAGGACCATGATGGTCGCGGTGGCAAGGTTAACAATACGGCTGATGAGCGAGTTACGTCAGTACTTGAGTATGCGATCAAATGAGCAGCAGCAGCAGCTGTTGGATTGAGGGACGTACAAGGTATCGGAGAGCTCCATCTTGGGCGGTTTAGCTTTGTGCTGAACTGGGAGTCGCGTTGGGACTTGATGGTAGGGTTATGTAGAAGAGAGAAAAGGAAGAAGCTGACGTGGATGGAAACGCCAGGCAACTGGATATCGCGGGTCTTGTGAGAGATGTGCGTGTGTGTGTGTGGGAAAGCAAGGTGGGTGCGAAAGGTGTGACGTCCGGAGAAGAGACTGACGAGTCAAGGTGCAGCGTTATGTGCGTCTTTGCTCCTGAAGCTGGCAAGCCTGGCAGATTAGATACAAGGAGTGCAGCTGTGGATACTAGGCAGGGGTAGGTACCCGAGACCTTTACCTCACTAAATACCCGACCGACGGGAAGTACACGTAGCACTGCCAATGGGTACCAGCCACTCCCAAGCAGACCAGCCTCTTCCCTCAGACCTGTCTTCACAGGGCGCTAGCACACGCTCTGACAGTTGCGAGTGAAAAGCTGTGTGACCGCCTTCCTGAGTTGGGGTGACAGGAGTTCAATGAAACTTGCGACGTCAATTGGCCGATTGGTGTTGGTACCATTACCTACCCCAGCTCAAGTGTGGTGAGAGCTTCACTGAAACAGTTTTTCCAACCACTTCACTAATGGTCTGATATTTGAGTATTACGGCATCAAGTTTCTGATCGTATTGAATTTTCTTAACTCATTATGATTTGAGCGCGGTCAATCAGCGCTTTCTCCCTCAATATCTGTACAACAATTTTGGTTGATGTTTTCGGCATGTTAGCCCTCAGAGCTTCTGTACCCAGACCGAGCCATGTCGGCCGGCTGCCGGGTCGAGCTTTCTATGTTGGTGTCGTGAATTTTCGGAGGTCGATTCATGTGCCTCCTGCACAGACGAAGCATCATTCGGCAATCAAAGACATCAGAAATATTGGAATTATTGCCCATGTTGATGCCGTGCGTGCCCTATCTGTAAAGCTTTATGGATGAAATTGCTGATCGTTGACAGGGCAAGACAACCACTACTGAGCGCATGTTGTATTATAGCGGTGTGACGCGCCGAGTTGGAGGTATGTCATTATTGATGCAAGCCATTCAAACGCCTTGATTGCAGCTATGTTTGAGCTCTATGAGGCTTGAGGATGAGATGAAGAAAACCCCAGACTGACAATAAGACACAGATGTCGATGCCGGAAATACAGTGACGGACTTTCTCGAGTTGGAACGGGAACGAGGCATCACGATTCAGTCCGCCGCCATAACGTTCAATTGGCCTCTTCCACAAGACTGCCAGCCGGGCACAAACCCCAAAACCATCAACCTCATTGATACACCCGGCCACCAGGACTTCAGATTTGAAGTTGATAGATGTCTGCCCGTCCTTGACGGAGCAGTGTGTATTATTGACTCAGTCAAGGGCGTGGAGGCACATACGGAGAGAGTATGGGCTTCCGCACACGAGCACAAGATCCCGCGCATAGTCTTTGTCAACAAGTTGGATAGGGACGGTGCTTCCTTCCGCAAGTCAGTACTTGAAATCGGTTCTCGATTGAACGGATGGCCATTAGTCTGTCAGATCCCATGGTGGGAGGGCGACCAGTTTGTTGGAGTCATCGACGTTATCGATCGCGTCGGATACCGCTGGAAGACTGAGAAAGAAAAAACAAAGTATGAATTCTTGGAGCTTCAGGAGGTGCTCTCGGGCAACTCTCTGATGGAGGAGATTGAGGTTGCTCGCGAGCGGCTCGTCGAAGGCCTAGCTGATTGGGATGAGGCAATCATGGACCTTTTCGCGGACGACCCAAGCAAGATAACCAGTCAGCTTCTGAAAGAAGGTGTTCGGAGGGTAATCCGCAGTGGTGATGGCACGGTTATTCCTGTTCTTGCCGGCGCTAGCTTCCGGCATATCGGCGTAGAGCCACTGATGGATGCTATCGTCGACTATCTGCCTAGCCCAGACGAGCGTCCAGAACTGGAGGTCCGTATAGGGGCCAATAAACAAGAACTGGTAAAGTTACTGGATAGCCATTCGAGTAAGAAGGCCAGCCATGGCCGTGTGGCAGCCGTGGCGTCCGTGTTCAAGGTTTTCAATCACCCTAAGGAGGGCGTTCTTAGTTTCGTGCGAGTTTACCATGGTGAATTGCACAGAAACTCGTCGACCTGGAATACCCATACTCAACTTTCCGAGAAACCGTTCGGTTTACTGCAGATATCCGCCGAGAAGACGGAAGATGTGCAGCATCTTGCGACAGGTCAGATCGGCGCCATCAAGGGCTTGAAGAAAGCTCGCACCGGCGACACTCTTCTTACGTCCGCTGGGCAAAAGGGGGTTCCTGACAGCCTCAAGCACGTTCAGATTAGGCCACCCGAAATCCCCCCCGCAGTTGCTTTCCTCGCTATTGATCCTCAGGGTAACACGGCTGCGAAGGAACTAGAAATTGCCCTGGAAAACGCATCTCGAGAGGATCCCAGTTTGAGATGGAGTCGAGACGAGAAGACGGAGCAATTCATCCTCCAGGGCATGGGGAAGCTTCATTTGGATATTGCAGTCTACAACCTGAAGCAGAACTCCAAAGTGCAGGCCGATTTTGGTCCCATCGAGGTCGATTATAAGGAGTGCCTGACAGCCCCATTCGGGCCTCACCACGTAATCTTCGACAGAGTTGTAGCAAGCAAATCCGGTAAGGTATCATGCAGTGCAATGCTTGAGCCTCTGGAAGAACATCACCGCCAGGCAGCCCTTGAACCCTCCGTGGAGAGAGACGGCAACATAATCCATATCATAATCAACCTCCCTGAGGATGGCTCCCTTCCCGGCTTCGATCCTGAAGAAGCACGCCAGCAACTTCTAAACGGAGTCGTTGCAGCAGTTGCCCGCGGCCCGCGCCGCGGCTCCCCAGTTCAGGGCTGCCACATCACCATCACCGTCGATGCCTCTGAGGCTGAGAACCCTTCGGGCGGACACTTTACGGGCGCCGCTCACCGTGCCGTTCGTGAGGCCCTCCGTGAGGCCCACACCGCCCGCCAGGCTGTTGGCGTGCTAGAACCCGTTATGCTCGTGAATATCAGCTGCCCCGAGGCGGCGGCAGGAATGGTACAGCACGATATCAGCTCTGGTGCCGGCGGGCACGTGCTCGAAGTCAACGATAAGTCTGCCGAATCAAGCTCGCGGATCGACGTCAGCAGCATTTATGCGCCGCCGGATCCATATGAGAGCGTCGCATCGCTAAGGGGCAAGAAGTCAACAGCGCGGACGGTGGAGATTGTGGCCAAGGTGCCGTTCAAGGAAGTTCTTGATTTTGATGAGCATTTGCGGGGCAAGACTGGTGGTCGACATTCGATGACCATGGCCTTTGATAGCTTTGATCGTGTCGTCGGTACGAGGGAGAAGGCTTTGTGAAAACACTGGGATACGATTGTTGTACGATAGATGTGAAGAATATCTCACGCCAATGGTGGGGAATGACTCGGCTGCAAAGCTTCGGGTACCTTTATACATAAATTTCAAGCATGGCTACGGAATACTGTAAGGTTCAAGATAGAGACCAAGAAATCTCAGATGAGATCTGTTGCGAAAGCCTCTGAAGAGGAAGGCTTGCAGTCTGTTGACTGCGACAACAAAGGTATACTGCCAAAAAGCAGAAAAGAAAAAAGCTTTCTTTTGCTGGGTACCACAGAGACAATATAAAGCAAGTTAATTAAGAGAAGATGAGAGAAAAATCGAAAAAAGAAAGATAGCACGACCTGGTTTCGATCCAGGGACCTCTGGGTTATGAGCCCAGCGCTCTACCCCTGAGCTACCGTGCTAATGCTTCTTGTTGAAAACTCTGGTAAATTTCAGACCTATGTAGCTTGATTAAAGGTGGGGCATGACTCATCTGCAAGCACCTTTGTCACTCAGGCGCCTTTATACAGGTGCAACATCCTCTTATTCCTGTTCTTGGTCGTTTTTTCTATAAAAAAGAATAAAATAAAATAAAAAGACGCATATCAATTTTAGATTGTTGGCTAGGAAGGCTTCGAAAGCTAATTCTAAGAGGACGAGCGAGCTATAATTGCGATGGCCCGCTGCCGTCATAGTAGCCATTTGGGCCTAAGGCAAATCCTTTGTATCACAACAATTGAACAATCAACGTTTGACATCAGACAGTTCGTATGTTACGAGTTGTACCAGTACCAGTATTTATCTGGCAAAGCATCGCGGACTAGATCTTGCTTCGGTGCCTATGGCGGAGAGTCAACTTTTCGCTAAACTTCCAATGTCCAGTTAAACCAATGAACCCAAACATGCGGGCGCACCTTCGGTGTAATGCAACGGGACTTTATATTGGTAGGGAGACATTCATGGGGTGCTAATTTGTCCTCAATATACTTGATATTACTTTAACGACCGAGAGGCCATGCGCATGTGAGGCGTTGGCAATGATGTGTGGTCCAGCCTGTTTCTTGGGCCCTGGTTTGAGCAGCACACTTCTTCTGGCAACGTTCCAGGATCTCGTCACCCAAAACTATTAAGACCAAGCATTTAGAGTCTCCAAAACGGCAGCAAAGGTATCCGTATGGGAGGAACTGGACGTATACGAGTGTCGAAAGGTGTACCCTGACAAGACCTTTGTCAGGTTGAGAGACTATCAAAACCTCGTAATGATGACTGAGGGCCCTGGTCTGAGATGTGGAACTATTCCACCATCACCGAAGAACTATGAGACACTATCGTTCCACGAGACGAGGTGATTACTTCGTGATTTGCCACGCAATTTAGAATAAGCAGCGTTGTATTATATCCGAAATGACAGCCTGCTGAAGTGTTTGTAGTTTGTTATTTTATGGTGCGTTGTCTGAGACTGCGGGGCCCATGTGGCCCATGGCACCTCTATCTTCAGATATGATATTCAGATCACCACTATATTGAACACCCCTCAAATCAGTAGAACATTACTCTATAATCGGCATCAGGAAACACATCCGAGGTCGGGAGTCGATTGAATACAAGTGGCTTTGAAATCCCATATTGTCTGACGGAACTGAGGGATTTTGCTTGTTCTGTTGTTCTTTCAAAGCCTCTATTCCTCGCTGTAACTTGTTGATGTTCTTCAAGGTATTTATCTGTATTCTGATGATGTGTGTTCTCGGAAAAGTCGTCGGTAACTCTCGGAGGCGCCCTTGCCCCCTTTACTTCTGTGCAAATTGGACCATCATTTGCATCAGAGCTCGTGACACTAGATTTCGTCTGACAACGAGTAAAGAGAAAGCAAAAGAATAAGAAGGCAATCTATGACCCACTAGGCTCAAAAATTGATATAGAAACGATATCGAAGAGTTTCGGCTGTTCCCAGACAAATGGATCACGACCTACAGTCTCTTGCTCCTCGGTGCGACCACAATGATGGCTTGTCTAGGGATCTAGCTCCAGAGTGCCGTGATTTAAAGACTATGCAATAAAGTCCCCAACCGTATCTTGTATTTCTTCTTTTGATATCTGGCATAAATTACATTATTAGTCAACTGAAACGCGCTGGGAGTGAGATATGTTCTCGGCTGGACGTCGCTTGTTCCGCTGTACTCGGCCAAAGTAAGACTTCCGCGATTCCATCAATTTATGAGAAGCTAATCCTAGGCTCAAAGAGGAAAACAAATTGCAACTCACTGTCTTCAGCTGCTATGAAAGACCATCTCTTTCTTTCTTTCTTTTCCTTTTTTATGACTCAATCACTTTGACATACTAGTAGCATTCTAGCATTCTCTGCAACTGATTCGCAATAGGGCAAGCCCACCCTGTCATAGCAGCTCGTCAACTCCCCTCTAAAAATTCCTTGGTGTCAGACTATTGACAAACCTGGACTGGCGACTTTGTGGAAGATCCAGTAAGTCTCCCTACGGAATCTGTGGTTGGTATCGGCATCTCGTCATTATCCCTGTTGGTTCTGCTCATACTCGCTTCAGTATTACTCCTTGTTTCAGCCGTAATGTCGATGAAGATTCTTTGCGGCTACATGCCAGTTGTGTGCTATAACTCTCTGGCAATGCCGGCAGCATGCCAGGTCTCGCCAATGGCGAATTTTCCCGCAGACCTCAACAACAGAGCCGACGAACAAAATGTCGAGCTAGAAGAGCTTGCTCTATCATCTATCGAGGACATGGTTATGGAGCACACCTAAAATGAGAAGAATATAGTGTTTCACCGTCTGAAATTGGGCGAAGTCGAGATGCCCAAAGACAGGTATCGCATCAAGTAGGTCATCTCAGTTTTGGGGCTATTCTAGATAATCCCTAGTCTGCGACTGAAGGCCGCCGGTGTGGGCAGTTTCATGTGTGTATTTACGGTGCATCCAATTCAAGATACCTCATGCAGTGCCGCTAATATCAGCTCTCATATAGCTAATTAACTCAAATTCGTGACGTCCATGCACACCTGACAAATTCAGAGGCAGTGGATAACACAACGCCATACTGCTTCGGGATTGGAGGCTGATGCCATGTCGAAAGACATGTAGAGGGCCAGCCAGGCCAGTCTATCAAAGGCGAGCTTGTGGGTGATAGCAAACATCAACTCAATTGACGGCAAGTCGCTCTTTCTCGGGAAGGCGAGAAGCTTGCCCGAGGATGAACAGTGTCCCCGATCTTGCATTAGATGCAGATGCTTGCTTTGTCATGTGGTCTTGGAGATGCCCGTGGGCGGCTTTTGTTATGAAGCAATCGACACGCCAGGATGAGATTCCTGCAAAAACAATGTCGGCGATTTCGTGAGCACTACCTGTAGTTTAGGGCTAGTGCTCACTTAACCAGGTTGATAGATTGGGCCATTGGAGTGGGAAACGCTCGCTCAATGGATCACTGTGAACTACAAGGTCAGGGGTGGCTCGAGGTATCAACTCCGCCTGTCAGACTGCAGTCATTTCACCAGCTAGCACACGGCTTGGTCATTCTTTATGCCGAAATAAAGCCAACCTTCACAGATGAGAGCCATGAAGCCAAGCAAGCACTGTCATGTTGGTAAGTCTAGATAACCGGTCCCACCGTGTCAGCCGAGACAGTTTGGACAAATCGCTGGCTGACATTCCCCTAACTACCACAGGCTAGGGAGTAGAGACCTTTACGTATGGCGAATCCTGTTATACACCCCATGTGCCGCTGTCCTTGCGGGGAAAATCGTGCAGGTGGGCGGTGTAAGTGTGTAAGATTCAACTATGGATGCTGGGCGTCAGATTCTAGTGCAGTGGGCCAAAACGATAGCCTAATTCCCTACTGCCTAGATTCAACCCTTGCTTTGTCATTGCCAGCCGATGGATGTAAGAAGAAAATGATGCGGAGTTTTGAGTGATTGGTAGTTTCGTAACAACTTCGCCCCGCGTCGTTTCCAAGAAGAAGTGGCTAGGTTTGAAGCTGCATCTCTAGGGTGACCGGAAGGTTAGGTTGACAGATAGAACAATGCCGCGCACGTATGGCCTCGTGGCAGCGGTGTAAGGCCAGCCGATGGTTCCAGTTTGTGCGCGCTTAACATTGGTTGAACCCGACATGGGTCGTGCTCATGAATTTCAGGCAGCGAGATTTGATTTCGCTCCTTTGCCGCCAGTTTTGGTGATATATGTCATCCACCAATGCCACGAGTCGGCGCACGGCAATCCTACGGGCCACGAAGTCCAGTCGGCGCTGGGCACACTCGTACTAGCAGTTGTATTATGGTTATGTCCTACTCAGTGTACTTTCACATGGCCATGATCGTGGAATCCGGAGTGACGACGATCCGCGAGGCTTTGATGGTCATAAGAGGAACGGCAAAATAAAATCAAAATAAAGGTTGGCTGGGTTGCGGCCCATGTGGATGGAATTGTTCTAAAACCACAACGCCAAGCTTCGTTTCGATCGTCAGAAGCGGAGTTGGGATGAACAAACGGTCGCTTACTGTTATTTTTAGGCGGCAAAAACAAAACAAGCGCGCTGAGGGTGGTGTACCGCGGCCCTGCATTGGCCCCGGACTGCACAGCCACTACGTACCTACTTTGAAAGACGCTCTATTGGAGCCATACAGCCAATCAGAGAGTGGTCACAACCCAGCCTGCTGCTCCTGTTCTAAGACAGTGTACCTTATTTTCCTCCCAAGCCTCTTTCCAAGAAAAAACCGGCCAATCTGAGGAGAGGTATCCCCCGAACGAACCTATCATGTCACTTGAAGACTTCAATTCCCGAAGAGGAACAGACTAAGGAAATCGAGCTAGTGTCTGGCGGAGAGCACAAGCTAGGCTTCCGTCCTTTCGGACTGCACCATACCCGAGTGCAATCTCACGGCTTCAGACAGTGGTAGGGATGGTAGAATGGCATGCGGCGTAGCTATCAAATTCGCCCTTCGGGTAAGTTGGCTGCCGTTGTCAGGTCGGCCTCAGCCATGCTTGGGAGGCCGGGGCCATGTTGACGATGGATGACTTACTTTGAAGGATCCAAAATAGACTACACCACCAAGAATATCTAATAGCCTAGCATTGATACATATCAGCGTCGATGGAATTCTTTGTATATAATAGAGCGTTTCGTCCCGTCTTCATCATGACTTTCCTCTTGCATCTCATCACACAACAAACAAGCTTAGCAACAATTTCCTATCAGTCTTATTTCCTTATTTCCTAGAGTCTCTCACCTTTGGGTTTCTCCTGCATCATCAGCCTTGATCGCTTTTAATCGAACATCCCAACACACCAAACAGACAAAATGCTCTTCACTCCTGCCGTCGCCGCTACCGTCTTGGCCTTCGCCTCTTCGGCCCTTGCCGGCCCCGTCCGTGCTCGCGGCGATTCTACTCCGGCTTTGAGCTTGACCCAGCAGCTCTTCCTCGCTGAAACGTGAGTCTTCTACTGCCTGAACAGCTTCAAAAACATTTTACCAACACATTCACAGTGCTGCCGACCGATTCAAGCTTCTCCCCGACAACAAGCAATTCATCTTTGACTTCAACAAGAAGCAGGAGAACCCTGGCAATGGCGGCGAGCTCATCGCTGCCAACCGCAAGACTTTCCCCGCCCTCGTTGGTACCGGCGCCGGCATGGTAAGTAGTACTCTACATTGTCTCACATGACTATACATACTAATGCCCAACAGGCAGTGGGACGTGTCAATGGATGCGGCATGAACACCTTTCATGTTCACCCCCGATCGGTCGAGCTCCAGATCGTCACCCAGGGCCGTCTCATCACCGAGATGACTCCCGAGAACGGCGTCTTCGAGGCTGATGGCAAGACCCGTCGCGTCATCCGCACCGAGATCGGTCCCTACCAGATGACTCCCTTCTACCAGGGTTCCCTCCACACCCAATTCAACCCGGACTGTGAGCCCGCCACCTTCGTCGCCGCCTTTACCTCTGAGGACTTTGGCACTGGCCAAGTCGCCGATAGCACTTTCGCCTTGAGTGACGACGTCATTGCCGCTACATTCGGCCAGAGCATTGATGGTGAGGACATCGAGATGGTCCGCGCCGCCATTCCCAAGAGCATCGCCAAGGGCGTCGATGAGTGCCTGAAGCGCTGCGAGAAGAAGAAGCGTACGATCTAAGTAACAGGATATCGATGTACCTTATGTGCTATAGATAGAATTTGGGATCATTGAGGCGTGGCGTGAAATCATGGGCGGTATTCTATATGATGGCATCGGTTGGCAAGCGGGCATTTTGAGGGGATTGGTTCAAAGGCATTGGGCAGGCGTTTTGGTTTAGTCTTCACTTCGTATCCATTCTTCCGTAGCATAAAGCCATACAAGAATACTTTAGAAAACCCCGTACATACTTAAGAAAAGACCCGACTCTTCTTGGAAAGAAAAGCTTCCGCACACGTCTCTTCATGATCTTTCACCGATTCCTTTCCTTTACCAGGTCTGCAAGTTGAGCAGCACCCCAGTATTAGGGTATTCACAATCGCATAATAGCAGAAAAGTTGGCGAATAGGTTGTTTGCGCGATGAGAATTCGATTTAGATGATTAAGACAGATGCTGTTAAGGGGCGGCCCAGGTTTTGGGATGGGACACAGACACTGTTGACCTTGATGACTTCTAAAGTAAAACTGCCTCGCTGACCCATCAGTTTACTCCATCCTACTGCCCTGATCAAAACTGCGGTTCCATAAGAACAGACAAGCATGCTGAATATTCGAAACCAAAAACAAGACTCGTACCGGCTATTGGGAAGGTACATCCGTGATCTGATGGTAAATATAAACTTTTTGTCACCCAGGGGCTGCAGCCACCATCCTGCGAGGGTAATCACAAAGACGTCCAATCACCATCGTCGACTTCTATCTGGTCTCATTCAGGGAGATGACTCGGAAAAGGGTTATTACGGTAATATGATAATTAGAGACTTGGGCGAAGACAGATTGAGAATCGAGACCAACAGAATGAAAACTTGGTGTATACATCCTTGCATCTTCAACATGATAGTGTCTGCTTTTAAATGCCAAAGCTCTTCTCATAGTGGAATATTAAACTGTATCCTAGGACCCAACTCAAGCTCCGGAATGCAGTATAGCCTGGGATAAGTTCGTATCTGATTTGTGCGGTCCTCTGCCCTGGCGATTACAGACGAACGTTTTCAGGGAACAACAACTAGTTTAACCAAGAATCGGCACTATTGGACGGCAGCAAGCGATGAATGTACAACGACAAGGGCAGCACTCGCTACCAATAAATTACTTTGGGTATCTTATGATGAATGATCGTGGTCTTCCGCGTGATTAAACAATGATGCTGGCGCACGAAGAATTGGCTTTCCCAATCTTGCAATACATGGCTTGAACTGAACAGATGCGTATGTCACCTTGCAGGAGGACGCTAAGTAACCCATCGTTACAGGTAGAGAGCCTTACCTACGTCGTTGCCGGCCGTTTCTTTAGGGTCACCGTCACCGCCAGTCCTGGCGCTGCGTAGCAGTTGGGGCGTTGGGAAGGCAATGCTCTTTTTATGATTGAGCACAAAGTGCCAGTAAACAACGTAGTGTTAGAGCAAACTGTCAGATTGAGCCCGCAATGCCAGGTGATCCCGAGGAGATCGGACGCCCCCATCTCATTTAAGGGAATGAGGTTGACAGCAAGGAGAGAGATGGTGTGGGCATGACATGACCTGGCCTAGCTTTGCTCACGGCCCTCGCTTGAGTGGTTTGAAAGCATAGTGCGCTGACCACCCTCACTGAAAACTGCAAATGATCGACAAATAAGAAGTTGCGCCAGCCAGCTGTGGTATGCAAATTTTTATTCATGCCATCCGCAAGAAAAAACGTCGACAGTTACAAGCTCCAGTATAGTTTTAAGTGCTGCTGAACCATCAACGTTTGCCATACGACAAGAGCGGGCGTCACTTAGTGGAAGTGCTGTACATGATTTGAGTTGTCTGTGGTTGCTGACAGGTTAGCCTCACGCTACCATTGAAACGGGTGTTGTGGAGGCGTGACTAGCTAGGCCAACTCGGGCACAGTCTGATGGGCTGCAATCTCCTGGCTCTGGTGACAACGCCCTGATGAGGATGATGGCACATACCTCCCCCTCGATCGCTCGCACAGGCGACAAAAACGATAGGTCGCAAGCGACGCTTGCCGACAATTGTTCTGCCGTTGGCTCGTTCACCCTGTTCGAGTCGGAGACACTGGGGCTGGGAATTTGCCGGAGAGAAAGAAAGCTCGGTCTCTTTCCTGGGCGAAGGGCACGTGGGTTGAGGATAGTTGAAAAATTACTTGGAACAGGAAGCTCAGGCGAGAAATCCACCTTGCCAGGGTTTACACCTTCCCATGTAAAATATGATATCGTGCTTGACAAGGCTCACGCAAAGGGAAGCAAAAGCCGGCCACATCGGGGGGGGAGCATCCGGGTAGGTGAGGAGGCAGTAAGTGCGTTTCGGTCTGTGGTGCGAGGCAAGCGGTACAGCGCGGACGACGTTTCCGTGGCTGCTGTCTTCATAGGGGAAATGGCCCACTAGGAGGCGCTGTCCAGGCCTTGGGAAGGTGGAGCTTGTTCCAGATATCGTGAGTTGTTCTTCCAGAAGCAGAAGGCAAGACCGCCAAATCGTGGCGTTGGTGCTGAAGAAGGCGTCTCCCGCATTCCAAGGAGGTAGTAGGCCCCGTACCGCTCCTCTATCGAGGCGATGTGTTCATGCGACTTTGTGACCCTGTTGTCGCACTATCCGTGTCGTCCTTGGTTGACTTGTGATCCAGCTTCAGGAGGTTGCAGCGACAACGGAGTCAGGGGACAGCAAAAAATTCGTCAGTTTAGCGAGTCTGATTTGGGCGACTGACCTTGAGGACAATTTTGCTGATGCTCGCACGTGGAAATAAGCTTGACGATTAGGATTGGATGACAGACGCGCATGCGACATTACGACCGGCATTTTTTCATCAACACATTCATGGGCGATGGGCAATTTGTCAAACGATGCCACGCCTTCCCTTCTAAAAACGACGGTGCAAGGAGCCTCATCTGGACGATCGTTCAAAGTGGAAACCTCTCTCGCCGGCCAACGAGGGGCGCCATTTTCTCCCCTGGTTGTGGTGTGGTTGTTGTGGTGGTGCCTGGTTGTTTAGCCAGTTCCAACGGCGAGATAGTGGCAGAGGTTCGGCCAAGACGTACCAATCAGATTGGAGGACAGGCGGCAAGTTATGCATGACCTCACAGGTAATATGCGGGATATGCACACTTATGCAGGTACTGGCCAGCCATCAGCCTGCCGTTGAGTTGGGCCCGTGCTCTCATTTCATTTGGCCCAAACGGCTTAATCGCGCGGCGCCTTTCATTGGCTCCTTCGCAGAACAAGTCAAGCTTTGCCGAGATGAGGCCCAAGTCTGATTGGCGAGCTCGTCCAAGGCTGATTGCCCCTGTCATTTTCATTTCCCCCGGGTAGACCATCCCTGGGCTCCTATCGTTCTAATCCTCCTCCTTGAGGCTTGCCTACAGCCCGTCTTTTCCTCTACCCCGGCCCAGCCATGCACCATCACCCAATGTCGCCATGGCTAGCCAGAAGTATCCTGGACTCGCCCCTCAAGGGCCTGGTCAAACCAGTGGCTTCGTCTCCCTCTTCCGGCCAAGCAGGGGGCAGATCGCGCAAGGTTCTGTTCTCTACTTTGCCCAAAAGCCCCAAGAATGATTCCCACCCCAGATGATTGTTGCCCGCTCATTTCATCGTCGGCCCATCCTGCCACCTCCACCCTCGCTCATTCTCCTCTTGCTTTCTCTTGTCCTTGCTCGCATCCTTACGCCTTGTCCAGTCTCCATTTTGGAGACGTTCCGCTCTTTTCACCGACATTCGCTTTTGCAATTCGCTTTCTACCGACTCACATTCGCTACCGAAACAACACGCGCGCGTGCGCTGACGCTGCTCAACTCGCTGTCTCGATGTTATAGCACTGGACCAGGACACCTCACTCAACTGCTGCTGTTCATCACGTAACGCGACGCGCCGTTCTCCCCGACGACTTCGCTTTTGAACCGCTGGAGGATTTCACGAAACTTCACGACGACACCCCGCTTCCCAGATGAAGCTCTCTACTATTCATGCCGCTGTCGGCTCGGCCTTGGTGCTGCTGTCCGCACAACCCGCCGTCGCACACGATTCTACTCACCGCCATCTTCACAAGCTGAGGCCCGGCCTTGACCCCGTTGGGGAGATTGAGCAACTCGCTGAGAGGGAGTTGATTAAGAGGACATCTGACGGCAAGGCCATTTGCAGTTTGCCTAGCGATGGCGACTTGGTGAAAGTACCCGGGGCCTCTAACAATGGCTTCGCCATGAGCCCTGATCAGACGTGTGTTGAGGGAACCTACTGCCCTATCGCCTGCAAGCCTGGCAAGGTCATGGCACAGTGGGATCCAAAGTCGTCCTACACTTACCCTTCATCTATGGTGAGAAAGTTTTGGGCTTTTTTTCTTTCTATTTTTTTCTCTCTCCATTATATAAAGTTTGAAGTCTCAGTGACTGACCGATATAGAACGGCGGCCTTTACTGCAACTCTGACGGCAAGGCGACGAAGCCAATCAAGGATTCTCCTTACTGCGTCGATGGTGCTGGAACTGTTGAAGTCTACAACAAGTGCGGCAGGACCCTGTCGTTCTGCCAGACCGTCTTGCCTGGCAATGAGGCTATGCTTATCCCAAGTGTTATTGATAAGTCAATTACCCTCGCGGTCCCCGATCCTAGTTATTGGTGCAGCACCGCTGCTCAGTAAGTGACCTGTCCTTCATTGAATGCTGATTGATACTAACTACCCACAGCTACTACATCAACCCGCCTGGTGTAACTGATGAAGGTTGCATCTGGGGTGATGAGTCCAAGGCAGTTGGTAACTGGGCTGCCTATGTCGCCGGAGCCAACCAAGACGCCCAGGGCCGGACTTTCGTAACTCTTGGTTATAACCCCATCTGGGAAGGTTCCGCCTTGAGGAACACGAAGCCCACCTACGGCGTCAAGATTGAATGTTCTGAGGGTGGCTGCAACGGCACCCCTTGCTCTATCGATCCTTCTACCAATGCGATTGGTGAGGTCACCAGCAACTTGGCCGGTACTGGCGCTGGCAACTCCAAGTACTGTGTCGTCACTGTTCCTAAGGGAAAGAAAGCTCGCATTATTGTCTTCCCTCTGGATGGCTCCGGTGGTGACGATTCAGACGACAAGAAGAATGATGACAAGGTGGAAATCAAGGTAGCCAAGCCTACACCAACCCCGACTCCGACTCCCACTCCTACTCCCACGCCGACGCCTACGCCGACACCGTCCTCTTCTGCTGCCCCTAGTTCAAGCAGCTCCGTTCAACAGTCCAGTTCCTCTTCTTCTTCCTCCTCAATTCCTACCCCCACTGTCATCCCCGGCATGTTCCACGAGAACGATACGGCTACGACGTCATCTGAGAACTCCAAGGTGACGACCCTTGAGCCTACCACTGCCTCTAAGACCGAAGAGGCTGCCCCTGCGACAACCTCAAAGGAGAATGAAGGCACTAAGCAAGGCGGTGGGGCCATTGCTGGACTCATCATTGCCTTTGTTGCCGCCACGTTCCTGTACTGAGTGTTTCTGAACACAAGTAGCATCTCTTCGTTTCGAACCAGTCAGCAGCAGCTTGTTTTTCCATTCAACGTCTATGCTTGTCAACACGACGCACCGCCGTCCTTTTGCTGCTATCGTTCGGCCTCGATGCCTTGGATCCAGCCCGCTTGGTCGGATGTATCTTCCCGCCCAATAGCAAGCACGCTTGCCATGTATCTTTCTTGCTGCTGGCTTTTCTTCGCTTCAACCCGCCGCTTACGAACATGTGGTAACTTTTGCACATACGCCGATAGCATATGGCACTTTCATCTTTTGCATAACTTATCTGGACGTATATACCGGACCCCCCGCAATTTCACTGCGGCAGTTTAGTGTTTATTGTTTTAGCAATCTCGTGGCTATGACACGAGCTGGCAAAGCATTCTTCCGGGCTCTTAAACCCGGCCCACCGTCAAAGGGGGCATTTACAACATTTATGGATCGGCTTGCTTTTCGTCAATACCCATTTACGAACGAATTTTTTTCTTTAGTTTTGTTTATTATTGAGGACACGTGGAGGAAGACAATGTGGAAATGGGAACATCAGTCATGACATGAAGGGGTAGGCAAGCCTTGGACCAGAACATGTGTCGTCTGAAGATGTGGGTATTCTGTTGGAGAGGTGGCTCGGGATCCAGGCGTCCGCGTGGTATGCTGGATCAGACAAACATCGACGAAGACGTGAAGATGGCTTCATAGAATGAGGCACATGGACTTGTATATCAAACAATCTCACTTGAGCCCTATCGTCTGGCCGACACTTAAGTCATTCGATTGGACTTAGTCGCTGCCCTGTCACGAGACGGGCAGGCATGAAATAAAAGATCTACAGTCAATCATTTCTAACTGGGATGGGGCCTTACATTCATATATCCCCACACAGCTTTAAGTACTCTACATCCACTGTCACACCCTATGCCTCTTGTAAAATAGATGGTTGTTCTCAATTCCAGGTGGAAAGCAGCATGAGTGATGAACTGGGTATCATTTTTTTTTTCCATTCTACATCTAGTAACCTTCGTCATAATTTGAGCAATTTTAGACGTCTCCGTCTCAACCCTTCACCCACCCAGGTACATGGTCCAGATCAATGTCTTCTTCATACTGCCTCTCCCTGATAGCAGTCCATGGAGTCGGCCACCCCGCGAGCAGCGGGCTCTTCTTCGTCGCTCCCATAACCGCAAAACGACCCTGGGAGTGGGCAATGTATCCATGCATGAACCCAAGCTGGATCAGCACGGCAACGTTCATCTCAACGTCGTCCATCTCCACGGGGCTATTGCCCCACACCAACCCCTCGTTCGGGCGCAGCTTCTTGGGGCCCCCGGGTGGAGGCACGAGGGTCGATGCCGCGTCGTGCGATACCGCTTTGATGAAGGCCGGCGTCGCGTTCGAAGGTCTCTGGTGCTTTGTGGAGGGGATGTAGCCTTCCAGTCTGCGCTGGAGGTAGGTTGCTGCCGTGTGTAGGTCGGTCAAATCTAGTGTCGCTGCACGACGGGAGGGGGCTGCTGCTGCGGCGGCGGGGTTGGTGTCATCTGGTCCAGGGGAGTATGTCAGGAGGAAGGTCTTGCGGGATAGTGAGCGCCAGAGGAGGGGGCGAAGGCGATGTGTTAACACCAGTAACAGCCCCTTGTCGAAAAGCCACTTCTCATGCTGGGCGAGAGCATTCTGTAGCAAGACGAAGTCCCCCTTCCGAATTGCTTGTGCCAGGGGATGAAAGATGGGTGCCAGGGAGGCGGATTCCGGGCGGGATAGTAGTAGTTGAGATGGAAGGCGACCGAGTAAGAGGTTGCAGGGGATGAGATAGCTTAGCACCAGGGAACGGTGGGATTGTAAGGCGGGAGGGATCTGGAGGTAGGCTTCCTCAAGGCAGAGCGCGGCACGGAGGAAGTGGCAGTTTGCGAGGTTGAAGCGGCCTAGGTAGTAGAGGAATGTGACACGCTGGGAAGCTGGGTAAAGTGATAAGGGAGGCGAGTTGGTGGAGATGTTTGTGAAGATTTGCTTTGCGAGATGCGTTCTTCGGCACTGGCGATGGTCAGCAATTTTTATAGTCTTGTACAATCAAGGCATGACGATGATGCGTTTGGAAAGGGCGACCCACGGCAAAAAGAAGCTTCAAGACGAGGTTGGCAAACATGTAGACGCCTACTTTCTTTCCTTCAGGCTTGCTGTAGCGGGCACTGGAGCGGTCCGTGAGGCAGGTGGTGAAAATCTTTTGGATGATTTCGGCCGAGGTTTCAGCGATGGACTTACGGTCGTCGGCGTCCACATTGCGAATCTTGCTGGTGAGATCGGGGCGGCGACTAAGCATCATTGTGAGGCGTGAGAGTGACTCGCAAAGGGACATTGCTGTCTTGAGAAGCATGCCGCCGTACGTCGGATGGGCGAAGGCGGTACTGCAAGAACTGCGTAGTGTCAGCTTCATTCATTTTCAATTGACCTCCATCGTCTCCATTCGACCTGATAATAATACAACGGCAGGATAGATGAGAACGAAGTGCGAGAGCTTACTTGACGAGTCCGCTAAGCAAGGTATGTGCGCCGAGCAAATCGTCATAATCGACGTCGCGCCAAAAAACCATGTAGTCCTTCATGAAGGTTACAAATCCCGGCCAGGGCGAACCCTGACCCTCGGGTACATCGTCCTCCTCAGGGAGACATTTCTCAATCGTGTTTTCAATGCCACTGCCGGAGCGGAACTGAGTGCGTAACTCGGCCGCGAGCTGATGGTACTGCTGGCTGGCGTTGGGCTCAACGAGAAGCCAGTTGCGAAGCTCGTCGCTGTTTTGAGCGCGCACAAAAGAGCGTATCTGAGTGAGGAATTGAATTAGGAGTGACATTGTACTGCCTCGCGTGCGTATTTACGCGAACGCGACAGTGGAGGTTGCGGACGGATGGTGTGAGCCAGTGAGAGCTATGATATTCGATGAGACCTGAAGGTGAAGGTTGAGGTAAGATAGAGGTGGGTTCTTCGGTGAGCGGGAGCAGGGGTGTGGCGCTGGGGAAGAGGCTGGCTTTGCCCCGCCAGCACCCGATGAGGATGCCGTGTCTGATTTCATCATCATTTCCATCGATATTCTTGTTGCGGGTTTCATAGGTGATGAAGTAAATTAACAGCACATTTCAGCTGAGTTTAATCCAATTTTGTCTCAATTTTGTGTTTCCCGTATGGGCTCATTCATGTATGGATCAGATGTACGCCTTCCAACACCCTGCGCCAAAGATCTAGCCATTTCACCGCGTCTGAGCGGCAAGCGGCTTAAAGTCCCATCAAGCTAAGTATGCAGCCTCCGTTATGAACACCGACTGTAAATAGCCAGCGCTAAGGTAATGGCGTCAAATCTTCGTTATTTATACAGACTCAATGCGCTGCACAACCACGGCGGTAGCTGCACCACCTCCGTTGCAGATCGCAGCAACGCCGTACTCTCCGGGCTTCAGCTGGTGCAGCAGTGTAACAAGAATTCTCGATCCAGAGCTTCCGAGGGCATGGCCAAGGGAGATGGCACCTCCAAGCGGGTTGACGCGAGCACCTTCCAGTCCGAGGATCTAGTCAGCAGTGGTTAGCATGAATACTAGAGCTGCATGACCAAGCATTTACCTTCTCGTTGGCCTTAATTACAGCAGCGAACGCCTCGTTGAACTCCCAAACGGCCACTTGATCCTTGGTGATGCCCGCTCTCTCGAGTGCAATGGGAACCGCCTTAGCTGGGGCAATCGGGAAGTCCACAGGGTCAACCGCAGCATCAGCCGAGCCGCAAATCTTGGCCAGAACCCGGGAACCAGATCCATATTGTTGCGCAATCTCCTTACTTCCCAAAACCAGGGCGCTGGCACCGTCATTCAACGTAGATGAGTTGGCGGCGGTGACTGTACCCGTACCGTCACGCACGAAAGCAGGTTTAAGGGTGGGAACTTTGTCAAACTTCACATCAAGGTATCCTTCATCCGCCTCGATAACAGTATCGCCCTTCTTGCCCGGGACGGTAACAGGTGCAATTTCCTCGGCGAAAGCCTTTGCCTTCCACGCAGCCTGAGCGCGCTCGTAGGACTGGATGGCGTACTTGTCTTGCATCTCACGGGTGATCTCGTACTTCTTGGCCGTGTTCTCGGCGCAGTTGCCCATGTGGAACTGGTCATAGACATCAGTCAGGCCGTCCTTGATCAGACCATCTTCCATCTTGACGTGTCCAAAGGGGGGTAGGCTGGAAGAACGGGGCACGTAGTATGGCACTCTGGTCATGTTCTCCATGCCTCCGGCGATCTGGGCGTCTGCCAAACCCAGCTGTATGTTTTGCGCGGCAAAAACAACAGCCTTCAGGCCTGATGCGCACACCTTGTTGATGGTGATGGCCTCAACATTTGATGGAAGACCAGCAAAGATCAAAGCCTGGCGAGCCGGTGCCTGTCCGACTGATCCTTGCAGTACATTGCCCATGTAGACGTCGGAAATCTTGGAAACGGGAACCTTGGACTTCTCGAGCGCAGATTTGATAGCGACGGCACCAAGTTTCGGTGCAGAGACGTTCGTGAACGACCCATTGAACTGCCTGTGTGTAAGCAATTGATCCGAAACCGTGGACTTACGAGATGATCTACCTTTGCTGTCGGCGTTCTGGAAGCACTGAGAATATACGCATCGCGAATCTCTTGCCGAAGAGCTGCTCTCGTCGAGAACTGGCGGGTTGCAGCTTGTTTAGCAAGTAGGCTCGGAAGCCTTGAGGACTGTCTCAAATACATGATGACACTGGGACAATTAGACTAGATGAGGACTGGAGACAACAACAGCTTGGAACGATCTAAGGTAAGGCACAGAAATAGATGGGATGGCGGGAACTATTTTACAGAGGGATGGGAGGCGACGAACATGTGGAAGTGCGCGGGCGGTAACTAGAGGAAGCCACTACCCCAGGTATGCTGCGGTCTTCCTCGGCTTAAGGAGGGGGAACACACAGGCGGGGCCGAGCTTCGAAAGTGACCTCACCCCCCAAACCACCCCCAAACCCCAGGTCAGAATGGCCCCCTGAGGAGCCGAGTCCCCCACCCCGGGCCGTGGGAATATGGGCGTGGTTCGTTGCCTCCCGTCAGGTTCTGCAGTGGTTCCGTCGCCTGCATCCTAACTACTCCCCCGGAACATCGCGGCATGTGCTTTTGTCGATTCCGATTCCGACGTCTACAGTCGTTAAAAGATACGTAGTTTCCCTGCCCAGAGAGCCCGACGCAACGGCTCATGCATGCAGGAGAAAGGCTTCCGTCGCTTCCTACCTGCCTGTTCGGCACTTGATAGCTAAACTACAACCAATTTCAAGTTTCTGGTCATAAGTTCATTTGCCAGAATCATAAAAGCCATCAACAATGTCTATCTCGAGACTCTCGAAGTATCACCCAAAGACCAAAGAGGTGTTCGAGTCGTGGGCGGGGGATTCACTTTTGGTGTTGGTTTGGTCTCGTCTGATTCGCGTTTAATCGCACTAGCACTGATTGGCTGCAGCCAGGGGCTCCACCGACTGGCCTAAGCGGCAGGCGGTGGTGAAGTGCTTCCCGCGCCATCCTCCGGAGACAGTGAGGTGAGTGTTTCCACGCCCTTCTTCCATCACCACTTCTTTGCCTTTGCAGAATCTTTGAACCGCAGCGCAGCATTCCAGAAATCTGTCACAGAATTCCAACCCAGATCACCACGTTTGGAACCTTTTATCCGGTTCTGATCCATCGCTTCCGCGACAGTCATCGTTGACTTGCGACCCCTCAGGCTTGGTAATCAGTTACCGACCGCCACCATGTCTACCGCCGCCCGTCGCCGCTTGATGCGTGACTTCAAGGTAGGATTTTGTGTTCACGAATCATTCCTCAAGCATCACCACTGACAGTATGGACAGCGTATGCAAACCGATCCTCCTGCCGGCGTGTCTGCATCTCCCGTCCCGGATAACGTCATGACCTGGTATGCCCCATTACTACCTAATTCAACTTTGCCATGTGCATGTCATGGACTGACAGAAGAAACTTTCCAGGAACGCTGTCATCATCGGACCCGCCGACACCCCTTTCGAAGATGGAACATTCAGACTTGTAATGCAGTTCGAAGAGCAGTACCCCAACAAGCCACCCGCGGTCAAGTTTATCAGTCAAATGTTCCACCCCAACGTCTATGCCACAGGAGAACTTTGCTTGGATATTTTGCAAAATAGATGGAGTCCCACATATGACGTCGCCGCAGTTCTGACGAGCATCCAGAGGTGAGGCGAATTCCAGAATTCCAACCAGAATTTCCGTTTGCAGCTGGATACGTGCGACTAACATGCAGCTCAAGCTTGCTTAACGACCCGAACACCGGCTCTCCAGCGAACGTGGAGGCTTCGAACCTGTACAAGGACAACCGGAAGGAGTACACCAAGCGTGTCAGGGAGACAGTTGAGAAGAGCTGGGAAGACTAGACTGCAATGATACCACACACAACAAGCACACGACTGTTATGAACAACTTTCATCACCTTGCTGCAGCAGGATATGGCCCAAACCGAATAAAAACGGCAGGCCTACGTCCGGCGCCGAACGACACCACTCGGGAGGAGATTTACCTACGGCGAGACCCAAGGCTAACCAGACATTCCTCAGCCTGCCTTGCATTAAGCAGCTGGGGTATCCGATGAGGTTGGAGTGGGGGTTTTGGCGTTTCGGCTCGTGCTGTCCTCTCAATGACTTTTTTTGGGGTGACCCCATGTTGCGGTTGGCGTTTCGTGGTCGAACTTCTCTATGGTGACGTTCATCTTCATCTGTCATTTTACAGGGGAGTTCGTGGGAGGCGCATTTGGGTAGCGAAATACCAAATCTATTGACTGTGATGCGGCCCGATGCTTGTTTATTTTTGTTTATACGTTGTGATTAACCACTGCGAAAGCGGAGCAGCCCACCCAAAACTCACAGGAATCAACCGTGCAAAGTCGCCAACTTTCGCCAGGAGCCTGTCGCGTGCCCTGCCGGTGCCTTTAGTGCGCAATGCGCCAGGCCGTCTGTTGTGCGAAATTCAGGGAATGGTGCTTGTGGCGGGCACTGTTTGGCCAGTAGAACGGCGTCCTGTGCGCTGTGCCTTCAGCGGACAGACAGGGGACCTCTTTCTCCTGGGACGGACCCTTCGGTTGCGTAGTGGTGAAGTGGGGATGAAACCACGAGTGGGTGACCTCGACGCTATTTCTTTGACCGACTTGGAAGGGAATGACTGGGCAGAGCCTGTGACTGGTACAGTGCCGGTGTACCTTCCCTCTATGCCGTGACTGTCTTGCTGCAATCAAATATTCTACGCGAATTCTAGCGCGTCCCGTCATTTGCATCCAAAACCCCCCCATCCAAACAATCTCAGACTCCTTTCTACTCGCTTTCTGCTCCTCGACCAACTGCCTGGCTGGCTGCAAACTGCTGCTGGTTTGTGCTGCCGTTACCCTTCCTATTTTGCCTATCGCCCTGCAAATACCTGCGATATGTCATTCTAGCAGTCCTCACATTCTGCACACCGTCATTTCATCCCACCCGCCTAATTTGTGTGGCCTCTTTCAACAGACGCCCCCCGTTGCCGTGCTGCGACCGCCTCGTGCCTCGCAACCGCAACCCCCCCATCTCGCAACATTTGCACTCCGATCGGAATCCATGACCTTGCCCGCGACGGCTTTTGGTCTTCAATACCGTCACCATGTCTAGCGCAAACAGCATCAAGGTGGTGGCTCGATTCCGCCCCCAGAACAAGGTGGAACTGGAGTCGGGCGGCCAGCCCATTGTCGCCTTCAATGGCGAGGATACCTGTACCCTCGACGTAAGTTGCATTACCCTCCACGGCCAAGTGCTGACGGCGCGCATTCTTGCGGGCACCCGACTAACAATGTGCCTCGCAGTCCAAGGAGGCTCAGGGCAGCTTCACTTTCGATCGAGTCTTCGATATGAACTGCAAGCAATCCGATATCTTCGATTTCTCCATCCGATCTACTGTCGACGACATCCTTAACGGTTACAATGGAACAGTCTTCGCCTATGGTCAAACCGGTGCTGGAAAGTCCTATACCATGATGGGCTCCAGCATCGATGATGAGGTTGGCCGAGGTGTCATCCCCCGCATTGTCGAGCAGATCTTCGCCAGCATCATGTCTAGTCCTAGCACTATCGAGTACACGGTGCGAGTCAGTTATATGGAAATTTACATGGAGAGAATCCGTGACTTGCTCGCACCCCAGAACGACAATCTTCCCGTCCACGAAGAGAAGAACCGCGGTGTCTACGTTAAGGGACTCTTGGAGGTCTACGTCTCGAGCGTTCAAGAGGTCTTCGAAGTCATGAGAAGAGGTGGAAATGCCCGTGCCGTCGCTGCTACCAATATGAACCAAGAATCTTCCCGTTCACATTCCATTTTCGTCATCACTATCACGCAGAAGAACGTTGAGACCGGTTCGGCCAAGAGCGGTCAGCTTTTCTTGGTCGATTTGGCCGGTAGTGAAAAGGTCGGCAAGACAGGTGCCAGTGGTCAGACGCTGGAGGAAGCCAAGAAGATCAACAAGAGTTTGAGTGCTCTCGGAATGGTCATCAACGCCTTGACTGACGGCAGATCATCCCATGTCCCCTACCGAGACTCCAAGTTGACTCGTATCCTGCAAGAGTCCCTGGGAGGTAACAGTCGGACAACCCTCATCATCAACTGTTCTCCCAGTAGTTACAACGATGCCGAGACTCTCAGCACCCTGCGATTTGGTACGCGTGCAAAGGCAATCAAGAACAAGGCCAAGGTCAATGCAGAACTTAGTCCCGCCGAGCTTAAAGCTTTGCTTGGAAAGGCGAGAGGCCAAATCTCAACCTTCGAAGGCTACATTACGAATCTTGAAGGAGAAATTCAGCTCTGGCGTTCCGGAGAGGCTGTGCCGAAAGATAAGTGGGTGCCGCCCATGTCCGCAGATGGCGTTGCGGGAGCCAAGGCCGAAGCTAAAGCCCCCCGCCCGTCAACGCCCTCCCGCCTACTTCCCGACAGCAGGGCCGAGACACCAGCCATCTCAGAGCGGTCCGGAACACCAAGCCTGCCTCTCGACAAGGACGAGCGAGACGAGTTTCTGCGCCGCGAGAACGAGCTCCAGGACCAGCTTGCGGAGAAGGAATCTCAGTATAACACGACTGAGAAGGCGCTCCGAGAGACCAAGGAGGAACTTACCTATCTCAAGGAGCATGATAGCAAGACTGGCAAGGAGAATGAGAAGCTCCATGCTGAGGTCAACGAGGTCAAGATGCAGCTTGAACGGCTGAACTTTGAGGGCAAGGAGGCTCAGATTACGATGGATGCCCTCAAGGAACAGAACGCTGAGTTGACGACTGAGCTTGATGAGGTCAAGCAGCAGCTTCTTGATGTTAAGATGAGTGCTAAAGAGACGAGCGCGGTTCTCGACGAGAAGGAGAAGAAGAAGGCTGAGAAGATGGCTAAGATGATGGCTGGCTTCGATCTTGGCGCCGATGTATTCAGCGACAACGAAAAGGCTATTGCAGAGGCTATTGCTCAGCTGGAAGCTCTGCATGAAGTCAGCTCCACCGGCGAAGTCGTCAATCCCGATGAGCTTAAGTCGCTGAAGTCCCGGTTCGTCGAAATACAAGGAATCATCCGACAAGCGGAGTTGTCCGTGTACAGCGCTTCTTCGAGCGAGACGGACGCTCGCCGCCGTGCCGAGTTGGAGGACCGCCTCCAATCTCTTCAGCAGGAGTATGAAGAGCTGCTTACTCGTAACCTTGGAGAGACCGACGTTGAGGAAATTAAGTCTCGCCTGGAAAGTGCCTATGCCGATAAGCAGACCACGTCCCTGCAGCTCGTTGATGAGCTTAAGGCTGAAATCGCCCAGAAGGCGGCCGAGAACTCCAAGATGAAGGCCCTTATCGAAGATCTCCAGCAGAGAGTCAAGGCAGGCACTGCTGCCCCCATGGCCAACGGCAAGTCCATCCAGCAACAGATTGCTGAGTTCGATATCATGAAGAAGAGCCTCATGCGCGACCTTCAAAACCGCTGCGAGCGCGTGGTTGAGCTCGAGATCTCGCTCGACGAGACGAGAGAGCAGTACAACAATGTGCTCCGGTCATCCAACAACCGGGCCCAGCAGAAGAAGATGGCCTTCCTCGAGAGGAACCTTGAGCAGCTTACTCAGGTTCAGCGCCAGCTTGTCGAGCAGAACTCGGCCCTCAAAAAGGAGGTCGCTATTGCCGAGCGCAAGCTCATCGCTCGTAACGAGCGCATTCAGAGCCTCGAAAGCCTGCTACAGGATAGCCAGGAGAAGATGGCTTCCGCCAACCACAAGTATGAGACCCAGTCCACCACCTCTACAGTCAATTCAGTCAATGTCCCGCACATTTTATTTCCAATCTCCATTTTACGTTTCTCGCTAATTGGTGCACTACAGATTCGAAGTACAGCTCGCCGCCGTCAAAGAACGGCTGGAGGCTGCCAAGGCTGGCAGTACTCGTGGCCTGAACTCACCTCCGCTCGGTGGATTCAGCTTCTCAGGAGGAGGCAGCCGCATCGCGAAGCCTCTCCGTGGCGGTGGTGGTGACAACCAAGGACCATCAATCCCCGTCATTTCCAGTATCCAGCAGAATGAGGGCGGCTCCGGAAAGCGTAGCAGCTGGTTCTTCTCCCAGAAGTCTTAAAACTGTTCCTCCCTACTAACTCTCAGTCCTATCATCTCGAGATGAGGGGATGTTTTGGGACTTGCCCACCCATAGAAATGACAAAGCATGCGATTAGACAACAGCTCGGTGCGGACTAGACCGCTATACCCCCGCTGCGTTCACTGGCGGTGGCTCTTCTTTTATCCTCTATGCTACTGCCCTGCCTCGCAGACTCATTTTTCTGTTGGTCATTATACTGGACGAGAAATTGGTTAGACGAGCAAGATTCACACACATGGGACCAAATGGATAGGGAGAGGTATTTTATCGTTTCTTCATCCTTTGACCGGTCGGGTTCACAAGATTTGGATTTTGCACGAGACAGGCAGTTCTGGGCGGTCTTTGTCTTTTTTTCGGTCAGGGGTGTTGATAAATCGGGAGTGGACAAACAGGGCGTATATGGCACGCTATTGAGCTGTGTTAATGGAGAAGGGAGTTAGACATCGAGGTAGAGAGGTGCAAAGACGGGGAAGGAAACAAGCAGAGGATGATGATGGATGAAAAAGACGGCCGAGACGGCGAGTGTGCCGCTGCTGCATAGTCTGGGGGACTTGGTGTTATGACACGACAGACCTCACTTACGAACCCAAAGAAATTTGACGGCTAATGACACTAGAAGACTCTACTCCAGCATGTACCTTATGCTTTGTGACTGATCGTGTGTGATTCGCTGTCGATGTGATATTTCAAGTCAACCCTACGGAGATGATACAAGAAAGCAACCAGCTCTGGATGGAGTCTCCAAATATGAGGGGGGATATTTCAGGAGATAAATATGACTAAACTATTGAAACAATTTTCTAGAGCATCGAATTCATCCGACTTCAAGACCAGAAAGTCCAGCAGGTTGCTATGCTGAGGAAACCTGACACAAGACCGCAAAAGTCAATCTACGTCTGACCGCAGCTGATGCCACGTTCTCGACAATTCTTGAGTCATGGACCTCGGGCCTGGCAACCACGACACTAGCAGGCAACAAAAACAACCACAGCTTAGTTCTTGGGAGTGGACTTGCTAGTCAGGAGTATGATCTCAGGAATAATGACAGCAGCCATGATGAAGAAGCCGGCAGTGGTGACAGCAATGATCTTGGCGTAGAGGATAACAAGACGACGCCACGCGGCGCGAGAGAAGCTAGCCCAGGCCTGGCTCATGGTGGCGTAGCCCTTGCCGCCCACAACGCGAGGCTCAACCTTGCCCTCGAAAGAGCGGTCGAAGGGAATGATGGTGTCAGCCTCCTCGGGGAGCAGCGAAGCCTGAACGCGGACAAGGACGACCTCGGCGGGGATCACAACCAGAACGTGGAAGGCGATGCTAAGAAGCGTAATAACAACGCTCTTCCAGGCGTCATTGGGACGGGGCTCGGTGCCGGGAACGGTAGTAGTGGGCGCGCCAAAGCGGAAGTTGGGAAGGTCGAGACCCAGAGCCCAGCCAACAGCAATAGGAACCCAGGTCGCGAATTGCGTGGCCAGCCAGTAGGCAGCCACAGGGCGGGCGGTAGCTTCGAAGGTGCGCTTGAAAGGTGGGAGGCGAGACCAGAAGTGCAAGGGGGAGCGAGGAGTGATCACGATGTGAACCCAGGCAGTGCTGAGCTGGACGAGAGAAAGAGAGGCAAGGAGCGTGGCCAGAGAGGCGAGGATGGAGGGGAGGAAGGCGGAGAAGACGCCATATAGGATGCCGGTAGCGATAGCCTGGGCGATGATGCAAAAGAAGCCACGGAAGTTTGCACGCCAGCCACCATTGGCCATCAGAAGGCGGTTGATGGAGCGGAGGGAGGAGGTGACGGTGGTGGGTCGGCCGCCGGTGACCTTTGGCGGGATGGGACCAACGCCCGGGACGGCATCGGCATTGGCGTCATCATCGTTCAGGTTGACGGGGTCGTAGGCTGGAGGGTTCTCATCTTCGACGATGGCAAAGATGGGGTAGACTGTTTCGATGGTGTAGGTCAACTTGGAAATGTCAGCATGCAGAGCTTCGTGAAGTCAACCAGGGGGGCTTACGATAATGATGATGGGGAGGAAGACGATGGCATCGGCAAGTATAACAACCCAGGCCCAAGGCGGGAGCTCATATTGGGGCGATGAGCCTTCGACGGCCCTCTTGTAGACCGCGCTGGCAATGTGGTGCAGCATGTTTACGGTTGCCAAAAATCAAAATAAGAAATGTAGCAAAAAAATGGAATACTTGATGATAAACTAGTTTATTGAAGATGGGAAAGGGATCAAAAGTGAATGGAAGGGGTGTCGGATGTCAAAAGACGAGGCGACCTGGGCGCTAGGATTCCTTTTTAATGAGTTGTTGGCCACTGCGCTGCTTCATGAGAGAAAGTCTATGAGTGGTCGGTTCAGCGTGTGTCCCATTTCCCTCACCTTACTTAGTGCCGTGTGGTGCGCTGGGACGGCGGCAACAGGAGCAGGCAGCAGGCTGACACAGCCACGCCGTGCCCCCCGCCCACAGATCCTTCCTTGCCTGGCGATGACCAGAGGGACTGAAAACGGGGAAGACGCGTTATGCTGCCTTGGGCAAGACTGGGTGGGCGCTAGGCAGGTTAGGCATAGCTGCCATGTTACTTGAAGATATCGCACCCAGACACTGGAGCAACGTTCTTGAAATGTGACGTTGGGCTAGCAAAGTCGATTTGTTGACAAGGCTGTCACTCCATCTGTTTGTCTAAGGCTTTTTCCACTTGTAGGCGTGTGTGTCAATACGGCGTTTGCATCAATGCACAGGTATTCGTATCGTTTGTTAGAGGTACGAAACCTCGTATTACGGCCTTCAACCGTACCAGGCGAACCCAGAGAGTTCTCGAACAAGTCTGGCATTCGTATCTTCCTGGTCTACGATGTCGTATGAATTTTTTTTCTTGAAAAGCCTCCAAAGTCATTTTTTTCATCCCATGTATGGGGCACTCTGGACTGCCTACGTCCGTACTGTGATGATGCCCGGTCTGTTCAGCTTAGTTTTTTTACTAGGAGATGCAGAAGAACGCCGCCTGACTTTCCTGGTGCTTAGCCTGCCGGGCGCGAACTAAAAAGTACCGTTCATCAGTAAACTCCGACGTAGCCGAGAGAATCTGGGCCTCAACGTGCGAGTGCTGACCACTGGCATCAGGATCCGCGCCAGGGGCTCTGCTTGGCCATTGTAGCTGACTTGCCTGGTCCCAAAGTGCATCTTTGGGCTTCTCACCCTTTGATAAGATGTAGCCCAATTATCAACGATAATGCTACATTCTTGTTGGTGACGCTCGACAAGACCCCTCCAGGTCAACCACACTCTGTGGCAGGAAACCGGTTACACCGTTTCAAGCCTCCCGATCAATCATTCAGGGTCCAGTGCGAGTGTTTTGAAGTAGACACATCTGCCGAGAGACAGTCGGTAGGGTCTCAGTCAACACACAGCGAGGTGGACTGTGCGTTAAAACGTGGTGGCATGGAGGCCCCAGTTACGATTTTGATTGTAACCCCCCCAGCCAATCTGCCCCCCACCTTGACATTCCCATCCTACGTCACCCACATCGATCGCTCGCAATAACTTCCACTACAGCTCTTCTCTTGACTGAACCATAATAACCCATGTCTGGCAACTCGATCCCAAATTTGCTATCTCTTAGGGGGCCAAGAGGCGGTCGAGGCGGTCGTGGACGCGGAAGAGGTGGCCGTGGCGATGGGCCTTCCTCTGCTGGCCCTACTCACGATCAGACGATCCAGGGCACCGACGATGATGCCGCCGGCTCACGTCTGAGTGCCATCAACGTTGGGTACCTCAACGATCCGTATGCGCAGTTTTTTGTTGATGGCATGGCCGGTCCCCTGCCCAGGAGGCTTCCCATTATCAACCGAGGTCCGTGTCCAGGGTCTGCTTCCGTCGAGCATGGAGGCTGACCTCTATCCCAGGCACTTACACGAGAACCGTTGCTCTCGACACTCTCATCGACAGCTTCCTGTCACAAGCTGAAGATGCAGGCGCTAGGCCCAACCACAAGCAAATCATCTCTCTTGGTGCCGGTACTGACACCCGTCCATTTCGGTTATTTCCCAGAACCAACCGACCCGGACTAGTCTATCATGAGCTCGACTTTCCGGTTACGGTCCGGAAGAAGGCTCGCATAGTTCAGGGCGTCCCACCTCTGCGTCACATCCTTGGGGATCCATTGGCTGACGAAGATGGCTCATGGTACTCTCGGCCGTCTGAATCAGACAGCTACTATTGCCATGCTCGCGATCTCCGAGAGCTCGTGCAGGGGGGCACTTCAACGCTCAAGGGGCTTCGAACGGATATTCCGACGCTTCTTATCTCGGAATGCTGTCTATGTTATCTTGAGACGTCCACAACCAAAGACCTAGTGGCGTGGTTTGAGCAAAAGATTCCCAATCTCGCCATTATCATCTACGAGCCCGTCAAGCCCGACGACCCATTTGGCAAGATGATGACGTCCAATCTGGCGGCAAGAAGGATTCGAATGCCAACTCTAGAAAGTTACAAACTTCCCCAAGACCAGGAACAACGTCTTCGAGATGCTGGTTTCGAGCACGTAAATGCATTGACGGTCGAGCGTATCTGGGAACGCTGGGTGCCGTCCGAGGAGAAGGAGAGAGTTGACCGACTGGAGGGACTCGATGAAGTGGAGGAATGGAAGCTGCTTGCCGACCACTACATCGTGGCGTGGGGGTGGAGAGGTTCAGGATTTGAGCTGTTTGATGCTACTAGACAATAGACATAGTGAGTCATCAAGGATGATACCCCCTTGAAATCCACCCAGCACACCAGATATAATTTTCGCTACGAAAAGACGCGTGACAAGCAGCGGTGCCTGTCATAACCCGAGCGAGTTTTGGTTCCAAACATACGCCTTGGTTGGCCTTCGGCGCGATTTCAGTGCGCATGGCTTGGCTTGAGTACTCCAGCTGCTTTTTGCTCCCTATTCCTCTTGCAATGACTTATTAAACCAGCCTATGCAACCACTTAGTCGCAAGGGCTCAATTCAGACTCAAACAGCTACAAATCAACATAAAAGTGAGACTTGTTGATCCCACAGTGGCTGATATCTATCAACAACAGACGAGGAGATGTAGTCTCTTACTTCCACCATGCCTATTCAACACACCAGACACCTGCTACTCGTCGAAATAATATCTTTGTCGAAATGGCTAGTAAAACCCCTGAATCCCTTCCGGTTGAAGCCTTCGTCAATATCGCTCCATGCGTCGATGACTCTTCAGAGCCGTATCTTTCATCCTTCGCCCTCGCTAGCAATGCTTGCGACAACACTGTTGCAGCTTAGTAATTGTTTTTAGACATCTACGTTAATCTGACGGTGCCCAAAAACGAGCCTAGTGTTATCAAATAATAGGTGCGAAATTCTGAATAAACGATCTATGCGAGGCCCGTCCGTACTCCGGAAGTATATTTTGACCTAATGAAGAAAACGACCGGCCACACGCAGTAGCAGTTCAATGGACAACTTGAATACGAAGTGCGGCTACTATTCAATGCATCCTGAAAATGTTGGCCCCTGTTCGATTTACCAGAAACTTTATCACGCCTGTTACCACTGTTTATTGACCATGATACAAGACTCTTACCAACTCCCTGAGACGCTTAGAAATCACCGTCCGAAGTGTTTTCTGCACGTCAAACTGCTTCCTGTGCTAGTCCTGTACCATTCTCCAGGAGTCAAATCTCTCTTTGATCCGCACGATGCTACTCTTCTTTTTTTACCCCAATTCCACGGCATTACTGTTGGCGAATAGAGGTCCAAAGATCATGTGCCCCCTGATGTTAACGAAAATGACTTACTTGACCTCCACTATACTCTCCCACGCAGCCTTAGATCGGTAATTATATATCCCAGATAGGTTCCGGCCGAACTTGAGGACAAGCTTCTGTCGATGAAGTTTGATGGGAGCCAGTTCCGGGCACTCCTATCCCAAGCAACCAGTGTCAGACCAGCCCAATACTTGGCAAGCCAGGCCTGAGAGGGCTTTATTATTTCTCCAAACATACATTGTACGGCCGTTGAAGCACTAGAAGCCTGGTTGGATGTGGCTGGTCTAGCCTGTCTCCGTCGCCTGAAGCTGTTCATATATTTCAAGGGTTCTGTGCAAAGATTCCCTTCTTTCGATGAGCTTGATATCCGATTCAGCTCCCGAAGTGAACCCAGCAGAGCAGCAAAGTGAAAATTTCCATGAGCGCCCTTTCACCGTTAGTACCATTATATACGTTATTAATCGGCCACGTTATCCCGGAAATGTTCTCTCTCATTTTTCTCAATTTTGGTGGATCAATACGATGGCTCAGACCAAAGCCAAACACCCCGATACCCTTTGTTGTATCGCATTCAACCGGCAAAAACCCAACGGATCATGAATTTCACACTAACATCTTGGCCTTTCTTTCTCAATCGTACCTAATACTTGAGGCTTTTGACGGTCGAGAACTACATCTTAGGTGGCGGTGTTGACTGCAGGTCAGGCCAGGTGCCGGGGCAGATAAGAAAACTTCGACTTCACATGTAGCTCGCCAGTTGGAGGAATAGCCAATACCTAGCTATTACCCTGGGGTGACATCTGCCAAAAAGTGCCCAAGGGAGTATTTGCTGGTAAACAACGTCATGGAGGTTCAGAGAGGGGGCGCTGATGATGGCCAACGAATACCAGTGTGATACAGGCGGCCGAGAAAACTATAGAATGGCAAACATGTTCTCCAAGCGCTGAAGGACATGGAAACTGCGGTTCCATATGACTCGGTGTGTTGTCCTTTTGAATGTGCAGCGTAGGAATGCCCGCTTAGATTCGAGGACGGCGCGAATGCAGCCAGTGGAGACACATTGAAGAGGCATAAATGCGACACATATTGAACTCGAAGCTAAGTCGGAGTCGAAGTCATTATCAAAGCTAAAGTAAAACAATCACAGTAACTATCCTGTCAATACTGGATATCTCAAGGTAGTCGCAAGAAATGATACCTGGAGCACAGGCAAAAATCACGGAAAGGGAAGGAAGTTACGGGGGAAAAAAAAAAGAAAAAAAAAGACGTACAATGTAAGGCCATCAATCCTTGCAGCCTCTACAGAACTTTCAAAGTATGACAAAATATAAGCGTAGGACGAGGACAAGATATGGTGTTTCTCTCTGGTACCAGGTGCCAGGAATGGTAGAGTTGACCAGGAACAGATCCTTGTAACTTAAACCTCGGAGCGTTGTATGAAAACTCTGCAAGTCGTTGTTTTTTGTTTCTAAAAAAAATGGGAAAGGCGAGACAGTTGAAAGCTTGGCTGAGTGACTATGATATGGCTGATTGCTTATTCCTGTTTCCGCACTCTCCTCGAACCTCTCCATGACAGCGTCATTGCCACTCAAAATCAACAGTCGTTGAACAAACTGCTTTCCGCCGGTGACCCTAGAAACCCAAACTCGATTTGCCACGAGATGCCTGTCCCAAGTGTACTTAGCCAGTTTGGGTTGGTTGCTGTCAAAGTCCGTACCACATGTCGAGCAATTTGAATCAGGTAGCTGCGCCCTCGAGCTAATGTTTTACTGACCAAGTTCGATTCAGGCGGAAATCGATAAAAACGGCCTATAAAATGTTACTAACAAAACTTAAGATCAGCCAAAGCGAGCAGATAGATTACATGACAGTAATCAAAGTATTCAAGGGATAACAGCATCATGAATTCACATAACCAAGCGGCAATCATCACTCAGTCCCCTCCCGTGGAAACATGCGTTATGGATTTACGCGTTGGGAGCCTTCTTCACCACGACCCAACGTAGGGGCCGCAAGCAATGAAAGCAAAGAAAATTTCTCCATCCAGAAGATTGAAAGTGTTCCAAAAATTCCCTAGCCAGCCGAAGCCAACTAGGAGTGGTCATAGTTATAGTTTTCAACTAGCAAAAACACGATCTCGGACGAATCCTCACTGATACGCGTAATGCCCTTGCACTCGGATGGAGAAGAAAGGAAGAAAAGAAGTGTGAAAATGCTGGGGCCTGGAAGAGATTTTATAGCTGCGTCTCGCCAGCGAAAGTGGGGCGCAATCAGCCACGATACGTACTTCAAATTGACCCTGACGGGCACTTCCATAAATGCACTAGCGCCCAGAGCTGTGAGGTGTTCGGGTGAGGCCAGAGAAGGAGCCCCACTCGGACCGCTCACGCCTGCCCAGGGGAAACTGAACTGAAGGCAGGTGCCGATGGGTAAGCCGGTACGTACCGACCGTACGCTCCGAGCTCCGTGTCCGTCGACTTCATATCTCAAACCTCAGCGAAGCGTGGGGTGAAGCCAGCACGTTGCAAGGTTACTGGAACTTGCGACTGCCTCAACTGCGAATATGTTGTCATTTATTTTGATTCAGAATCGCCAGTCCGTCCTGCCTCTCAATCGTCACTCTGCGAGAAAATGATCACTGACAGTCGCATTCAGGGGCAAAACCCGTTTGGCAAAGTGGTACGCACCATACAGCGACGACGAGAAGATCAAGCTGAAGGGCGAGGTAAGCAAGCTTTCACCCATCTCCAGCCGCCCCGAGTCTTCCTATGTACTTCATAACCACGCAACAGCAGTGACTGACTCTTTCTCTGGATAGGTCCACCGCCTTGTCGCACCTCGAGACCAGAAGTATCAATCCAACTTTGTCGAGTTCCGCAACAACAAGATCGTTTACCGCCGATACGCGGGTCTCTTTTTTTGTGCCTGCGTCGATACTAACGACAACGAGCTCGCTTACCTGGAAGCCATCCACTTCTTTGTCGAAGTTCTCGACGCATTCTTCGGCAATGTTTGCGAACTTGACCTCGTCTTCAACTTCTACAAGGTCTACGCCATCCTCGACGAGGTGTTCTTGGCCGGAGAAATTGAAGAAACAAGTAAACAAGTTGTGTTAACGCGGCTGGAGCATCTGGATAAGTTGGAATAGCGTGTGGTACGATTGTAAAAGTTCAGGTGAGGTTCTCGGAAGAGAATGGAAGGGAATTTGGAGATACAGGGGGCATCCTCTCAGGCGGAGACCGGTGGCCTTCTGTTGGAGGTTATTCGTGATGCATAGGAGTACGGATGGGCTGGAGTCTGGAGTTCTGTCGAGATTGGCATGCACAAAATCGATCTCGTCGTAATTATGGCAACTATTTAATTTTGGAAGTTCTCGGCCATGAATCAATGCCTCGAGGAGGCCCTATTTAGTAGCGGAAGAAGGAAAAAATTGTATCCCCTCATGTCCATATTAGGGTTCGGTGATGTTCAAGTGCTATTCACCTATACCCTTGAACACTCAGTTGCTCTAGTCATCAGGAAATATGGCTAATGAAGACTAATTTCCCTGTCTTGCTCGATTTGGGTACCGTAAGCGCGGTTTCGTTAGCCTCATCTCTGGAAATTGTTGAAAGTTGCTCAGCTTCCACAGATGATTTTGCCCCTTTTATCCAACGTTCTGGTTCAAATTCCCATTAAGGACTTAAAAGCCAAGACGCGCAGAGAAACTGACTAAAAAAGAAGAACTCAGCTTGCCATTGTGCAGTAAGATGTTTGATGAAATTGCACAGCATCATCTCCCGGTGATACGAGTACTGCAAGGTTCTGTATCATAATAGGAAGCATATACGGCCTAGACTCCAGCCGCAAGTTGAAGGTTGAGGGTTCCCAAACGAAACCCAAATTATACGCCAAATACCTCCTGATGATCCTGAAGAATGAAATGGTAACCAATGACAGTCACCATTACACTGCTAGGTTCGACATTTGGCCGGCTTTGCTTGTCTCCTCGTCATCTTTATACATGCCAATGGCTGTACTGCGGTGAATAATGTTGACGTACACGTTTGTATGTTCGCGGCCGCGAAAAAGATCCAAAACCCAGCGATCATACGGAGGATCTCTCCATAAAGGTTTTAGGGTATGATATGGTTTGATGAATTGGCTGTAGCAGGCTTGATCACGGCCAATCTCACATATGTCGCGAGGGTACTCAAATGTACTCGGAGGAGCTCCCTCCATGCAATCACCGTCTCCACTTCCGTCCGATGGACGCGCTGCGGGAGAGGATAAAAGTTCACTGCAGTTGCCTGAAGAGAGCGATGGAGAGAAGGCATTGCCGTTGTTCCTTTTGTTTGCTTTAGAATCTTCTGGGGCGTTCAGTATTTGACTGTCTGGGTAGTAGGCCAGCTCCCTTCCAAATCTTTCGAGGAACGAGTCCGCTTCAAAAAATGACTTTTCGATTTCCTCTGGATACTCGAGTGTGATGGCCTTTTCCTCCATCTTCTTTTCACCAGCCAGCTTCATCGTAGCGCTTTGGATGGAATTGTCGTAAAACGAAGAGAGATTGTTGGGAGCTGAAACGTCGACATAATTTCGGGGGCGTATCTCGGGTGGTACTTCAATGTCGTCCCAAGGTAGACCTCGATCAGCAGCAGAAGATTCTCGCCGTCGCTTTTTCAATGGGGGTTGTATATCATCCCAAGGTGAGAGCCTGCCATCTGTATCTTTCTTGGTGGGCTTACTAGATAGCACTGGTTTTGTCACGTTAATTCTCTTCTTTCTGTTAGTCACTTTGTCCTGCTTGGTTGATTCTTTTTTGATCCGGGTCTCAGGGCGATATGAATCAAACCGGCGGCGGCCTCCGATTGGATCGTTATTGCTACCAGACCGCATAGGACCTCCCCCTACTTTGTGAATTGGGCTAGGAGAAACTGGGCTGTATCTATCCGTATGATGTTGAATGTACCGGGCTCGCTCCTCATTTAGGTAATTTTGAGTGCTCGAAGGCTTCACTGTGGCAGAATTGGTTTTATTTCTTTCCTTTGAGGTGTCATCTGCCCCGAAAGCAGCCAAGGTTCTTAGCTCAGGAGAGCAGCCTCTCAAGTAGCCAGTCAAAATGCCCTCTGTATCGTCTTGCGGTCCCGAGTTTTCAGTCGCATATGATCGAAGCAGATGTTCAACTGATGATAGATTTCTAGGCACGCCCTTCGAAGATGTTGACTGAAGATGAGTTTGTCTCTCAGTAGAACTAGCAAGGCTGGATGGTGGCAACCTTGGGCAGGCAGTGATGAAATGAGTCTCAACCTCATGACAAATACGGCAAACATAGCCCTTCGGAGGCGGGCCGTCGAAAGAGGGGTTGCCGTTCGTTTTGCAATTCTGGATGAAATGGCCTAGAGTTGTTTTGGTATTGTAAGTCGATCAATGCCATCACACCATGATTGAATCATATACCTGGTACTTTGCAACGCTTGCATAGATAAGTGGAAGGAGGCGCTTCTTTTGAAGGCATGGGCGGCTTGAAATTGTTGTCGGTTGGTGTGTTCTGAGTCTTAGTCTGGTAGACGCGTTCGGGTGTTAATGGTGGATTAACCTGCTTAGATCCTTCAATCTTAGTGTGATGGCCTCTCAGTTCGAGACAGATAAGGGAACAAGAGCATACTTTTGAATTGATACCTTTGTCGGCCTCTGTCAAAAGGATTCCCGATCTGGTCACCGGCGCACGTGAACTTGTCGTCGGGGGCAGATTAGGGATCTTCTTGTAGTTGATCTCTATGTCCCGCTTCGCCAAATTGTATTCACGTTTACCGTTTGGGCGTTCTTTGAGGTAGACGTCTTTGTGTCTCCAGAAGGCGTCGATTACAACTCCCTTTTCGTAGTTTCTGGAGCCCAAGAACTCGCAACAGTTACGCACCGTTTTGGTAGTGTCGATGGATGATCTATACTCAAGGCGAGGTACTTGAAGCGAAAGCCACCTTGTGTAGATGTCAAGAAGGTTGTGATCATCGATATATCGAGGAAAAGACTTATCAAGCTTTTCTTCCAGTAGATGCTGGCTCAATTTGGAAAATTCTTCAGGCGTAACGCCTATGGAGCCCAGTTTCTCACTCCACATGATGAGGATGCCTCTGCTGATAGGATGAATTAGTTTGGTCGCAGAAAGAAAGATGTCCCGGCTTTGTGATGGAAGTGAGGTGGAGTTAAACGAGTATCTCGAATGCATCAGATCCAGGGCAGGCGAAAGGGTGAAAATAGCAGGGCGCCGAGGTTTACCTGGACGATATCGCATATAGAAGGGGCTATTGCGCTTCTTTCAAGTACAACAGATCTGAAATGCCATGCTGTGCGTTTTGGCGGATCAATGATAAAAGGAAGGTAGAGCTCGGTGAAGAGCCAGCCAGATTCTCCTTCCTGAACTAAATTTAAAAGATCAATTTCATTCAGTACTAAGAACTGTCTGATAGAGAAGATTCGTTTACCTTTTTCCATTGACATGGGCAAATAGCAGGTAGGCGGCGCACTGAACCTGCTCCCTGACTGCGACATGATCTACATTCACTCTGCACCTCCTCTTGCAGATGTTAGCAGGTATTCACCCTATATGCCTTTGGCACCTAGAAGGTGAACTGGCCATGAATCAAACAACATGTCCTACGCGAATGAAATATCTTGTTGAGGAAGATTATATCTAGCGTAAGACGAAAAACATGCTCATGAGAAAGTTCGTGGTACGCATCCAATTCACGCCATGCCTAGACCGTTCTAATAAAATATGCATGCCCTACAAATCCACGTGTAACCCCCCAAATCAGACTGCCGAATCCCTGCGCAAATTGGTATCCTCTTATCTCTTCAAAGCTGCAAATCTTCTTTCCAACTCAGTAATATCAGGCACATTGCCCCCAGGTCCCTTGCCATCCGACTTCTTCTGTGCCGCCGCATTCATCTTGCTGTTCGGCTTCAGCTCCAGAGAATTGAGTGTCACCTTTGGGTGAATATTATCCGTCGTCATCCTTGGTGGAGTGACAGTCAACGGGCTGCTAGGGCCCCCAATTGTCCTCGGCGGTGTCGCCTTGCTAAGCTCCTCCTGTTCCTTGGCCGCTTTGGAGGGGGTGCCTAGCGGACCACCAGGTATCCTTACGCCGATACCACCGCTCGGGTTATCATCCTCATCGTCATCCAGCAGCTCAGGAGGGTCCTCCGCTAAGGGCCGCTTCGGCCAGTCGACGTTGTACGCCTTGGCAATCTCCTCCAAATAACCGATAACAAGCTCCTCTTTCGGCGGCGTGACACTTAGCTTCTTTACCACCTTATCCGAGACCTTCCCATCGGAGTTCTCCATGGCCGTCATTACAAACTCCTTGCCGTATTTCTCGCCCAGAAGCGTCCGCACGACCTGCAGCTCCTTGATCTCTGTCTTGGGCGCCGCGTAGATGATGCTCTTGACCGCCTCTTCCAGGCCTGGGTCGCACGTAGAGCCCTCGAGTAGTCCTGCACGTGCGATCAACAGCTCACAGTACAGCTCCAATATCTCATGCAGCTCGGTCGTAATGTCGGATCGAATGATGTTCTCAACGCGGATGCGTGCTGAATCGATTTTGCCCACCTCGAGTAGTTGCGCCATTGCGCGTCGTTGAGTCTTGGACATCTGATCATCGCGCTGTTGAACCATGCGCAGGCGTGCGATGGCCAGCTTCAGCTGGACCTTGAGCTTTGTCTGGTTGGGAAGAGGAGCGGCTAGTTAGCAAATGCCATGTCGTCATCGCGCCTACGCGGGGGGGTGTACACAAGGCGGGCGGGGAACGACTCACTACGACATTTGCTGGAGGTGCCATGGTGTTGCGCTCGTCGCTGTAATATGAGAGAAGGTTATGACACGAGGAACTATTGAATGCGAAAGATACCGCTCTGAGTAACGCAAGGCAGACAAATTGAAGCAGGATAGTGGACAAGTCCGGAAGGGGCCTGTCTGTCTTATCTAATCGCTACAGGTTGGTGGGATGGCTGGAGCTCGCGCCTCACTGCGGGGTACAATTCGTGCCCAAGTTGGCATTGACCAGGATACGATCTGCATGGCCGGGGTACGTACAAAATTAGGGGACCAGGGGACTGCCAGGAAGTGAGTACTGGCAATCAAGATCGCATCAACTCATCATCGGTTGACTCATGATATTCCAAACAGTTTCACGAAGGCTGGATCAGTATGAAAACTTGAAAATAAATAAGTTCGTCTGTTTCTTGAATGGCATGTGAAGACTGCCTGATTTGGCCAGCCTGTCCAACGACGTCCAGCTTAGAAATTTATGAAGACAATCTTCCAACGCCAAAGTCATTTGCCCATCCGTGGGTATCTTTACATCGTGTCATAGAAAAGGCCGATTGTAGAATGGAGTGACAAAGAGAAAAAGAAAATCCATCCGCATGACAGCTCTTGTACAGAAGCGTACGTAGAGAAATCAGAACTGGACAATGGTTAGTCATAGTAATAGATACCAATCGCTGGTCGACTTACAATGTTAAGAGCGGTATGCTGAGGCAGTCTCGTGCCATTGAGCATGGCTCGTGTCTTCTTGGGGCGCTGCTGCAGGCGTCTGAAGGCCTCTTGAACATGGCGCGGCTCAATTGGGCTTCTACCTTCGCTGGGGGGATCGAAAAGACCAGTCGCTACTTTGCGCTTTTTTGAGCCTGCATTATCACCTCCATTCAATGCCTTAAATAAGTCCTCCTGCTCCTTGACCTTGAGCGCGTGTTCGGTAAGGGTCTGAACCATCTCAAAAGTCAAGAAGCCAAGGATGTCGACAATATCATCGGAAGGCTTGCTGTCTGTGACAATGCCGAAACCGGCCCACTCGCGGAACCGCTTGCCCTTGCGGTACGTGAATGACGCTTGACGATACTCAGACCAAGTCACGTACTCCTCCTTAGTCATGGCCTTGGTACGCTCATCGGCCTTGCGGAGACGCTGCAGAGTGATGAAGTTCATCTCCTCCTCTTCTTCGTCCTCTTCATCGTCGCGTTCAGGGACCTCCTGACTGTAGAACGAGGAGGGCTCCCAGGGAAGGCCGACTTTGGCCTTTTTGTTCTTCTTGGCAGCATCATCGACTGGACCTCCTGGAACCACTCCGCCAACGGGATCTTCGCCGGCACCAAGATCAGCCTCACCTCCCTTGTCGTCCGAGTCCTTCACGTTCTTTCTGACATCTTTCCATGACAAGAATGTGCGAAGACGGGAGACCTTGGCTTGATCGTGACGGATCTGGAAAATGAGATCATTAATGGTGATAGACCGAGAGCCGCGACGGGCCGCCAAGTCGGTGCAGTTTCTGAGCTACAAGTAGTTTAGTAAATGTGAGAACCACGAAACTGACGGCTTAGACTCACCAGCTCAATGACCTGCTGACGAACGATGTCTTCGATCATGCTTGTGGTTTCAACAGATGGCTCAGCAGTTTCGCCAGAGACGTACATCATCTTTTTCAGGACGTCAGCAAGTCGATCGTAAAATCCATGTAGTATTTTTTGGCCATTCTTCGGCTTGGGCAAGGCAGTGGGGAGCGTGTTATTCTGCTTAGGCGTCCCAGAGCGCTTGCCCTTGGTCTTCCGAAGAAAAGCACGCTCTTCTGTAGTTACTGGGATATCGTATATGGATTTGTAGCCAGATGGGTGAACAACACCAACAGCTTGGTCAAAGGCGGACTGGAAGAGCTCCTTGGCTTCGCGCTGTACGCGCGCAGCAACTGCCTTGGCAGCTCTGGAAGGACGACGGCTCTTGGGCTTTTCCATGGAAACGTCGAAGTCGCTGTCGTCATCTTCGCTAGTCAGCTGCTCGATGATTCCGACAACCATTTTGAGACTTCCAATGAGATCTCTTAAATGGCACCCAACATCCGGTCGATCGTCAGGGGAGCCAAAAGGCGATTGACGCTCCATGATGATTGATCGATCGCTTTTCAGATATTGTCGGCTGCTGGTGTTTGATCTAGCCTTACTATTGACATATTCCCAGATAGAAACCAGAAGGCGCCGGAATTTCAAGAAAGAGCCCATTGTCGTGTTTGACCAGTCGAGGAAAGCGCTGTCTCTGTGATTTGGCAAGATGTTGAACCGTCGACCAGCCGACTGAGCGGGTCAGCTGCACGATACAGCCTGCACTTGCATTTGGGAAACACTGGTGTCCAATTTCTGATGCAAGCTGTGTAGCGAGTCGTCATTTACTCTGGAAGTTGAGCTTCCTGAACATGACAATGGCCTCACCTCACACTCATTAACTGGGCTCTTGGAGCGTATATGCTACCGGGTGCACAAGAGAGCAACACGGCAAGAAAATAGTCAAAAAGAAAGGAAACGGAAAGACAAAAAAAGAAAATCAACAGGTAGAGTATAATACGCCAGCATCATCCAGAACTCACCTGACTGATCTCTTGGCGATATTTGTACGCCTTGTCATTCTTCGAGTCCGCCATCTTAGGTCTGGTGATGGACTTCGACTAGGTGAATTATTGTAGTTGGAGGCGATGAAGAAGATCCTCAGTTACTGGAAATTTTGATATGAATGTGCTCCGACGATAGTCGGGGTAGGTACGATATCAAAGAATAAAGTCCAAGGATGAGGATGAGGATAAGGATGAATGGGGATGGAGAATGGCTCTGAGGTGGCTGAGACAGGTGAAAGTGAGAGTTGTAACCGTGGGAGTGTATTGGTTGGTTGAACGGACCCACTTCGGATCACCGAACAAGGTGACAGAAACGTCGAGGTTGGTGCCGGAAAATATGTAAACCCGAGACTTGGAACACTGAGTCCCCTAAAACTCCCTTTTAATCTCCAGGTATTACTGCACTAGACCTCAGTACAATATCCTCCAACCTTTCAATCCCTCAGCGACTTACTTCATCTGCTAATGTTTCCTTCACTCCACAATTAAAAGGTGTATTGTCTTCAGTTATCCAGATGCGTAATAATATTATTTTTGTGTGAAGTTTTGGTAGCCAGTAGTTACAAGCTTCTGCGATAGCGCTCCATATTTCTCTTTGAATAACCACAAAGGGAATATGTCCTTGTTCCCCCATCTCATCTGGCTTGCTTGAAACAGATGCTGTATCCCTATTACGTTTGAGACCGATGGTACTTTCCGTTCAATTCGGTACCCCAAACTTCTATCACTTTACGTATCTCTGACTGGTCAGATTATTATGCTTGGAAGATTGGCACTCAAACTGAACTAGTAGTCTTGCATTGCGATATCTCGACCCCTAACTCCAAAAACAGGAGTATGGTTATCCACACGCATTCGGATGGCATACTAGGGGCAGAAACCAAAGCGATGAGAAGGATCCACGCGCGCCGAAGAGTTGAAAAATGTAAGGAATGAGAGCATACAGAGACCCCCACGTGGAGTCTCAAGGGTATTAAACGAAAATTACAAGAGAAAAAGGAAAAGCTACAACCATGGGACCTTATCTTCTTGAGAGATCCCAACAGCTTCCTTTTCATACATGTATATACAAGACGCCAGCTAGATGCTGTCCTCATGGCCGTGCATGCGCCCATGCCCTTGAATCCCTCAGCCTTGCCTTGTCCATAATATCCCTTAGGTATGCCATTGCCTCCCCGCCAATTCATACATAAATGAACAATAAAATGAAATAAAAGAAGAGAGCCCCAACATAGTAAACACCGAGCCAGAGAGTACACCAGCCCGTCATTGACATTGGGAAATCGTCTTTCCAGAGTCGTAAGTGAGGTTGTAAAGTTTGGTTCGTTCAAGTGGTTAAATAGCCGGGTGCTCCTCGACTATCTCGGCATCTTCAGTATTGGCAAGAACTCCATCAGGGCCCTCGCCCTCGAAAACCTTGCCTCCCTCGTACGTCTTTCTCCTCCAGCCACACGGCTCCGCGGGGTCTTTCAGCCACTCCATAGTTGGGAAGTAATGCTCGTTCTTCTTCATGGTGATGACCCATGGAACGCTGTCGAATGTGACGGCCTTCAGGCGGAAGTCTAGAGAGATATTTAGTTGCGTGTTTGTGTGGGCAATAGCGAGCTACTTACAAGTGTTATCAGGAATCTTCTGAACGGTAGCAAGGAAAGATTCCAGGTCGGGTGTCGGCTTTCCGTTCACATGAGTGACGAAGTTGGTGGGCGCAAGACCGTACTGGTAAGAAGGCGAACCTCGAGTACGGGCGGAGACATAAACCTCACTATGCAGCTTGCTAATCTGCTGCCTCACGGCATGGTGCGGTCGGTGCAGAATGGCGCCGCAGAAGGATATAGCATGATCAGTCTCAAGGTCGTCGGCGGCGACAGTGTGAGCCTGAATATGAAGCTCTTGGCAGTCACGGACAATCACGGCATCGAGAACTTCATGCGAGTACATGACATCCAGTTCCGAAACCTTGGTGATGACCTTACCGTTGAGGGTAAGCAAAATGTCACCTTCCAGCAGGGCACCGGATTGTTGGCCACGTTCGAATGTTCGTTTGCTAACCATGAACAGCTGATGGTGGGTTTTGTTGGCCTCAGTAACCTTGTGAATCCACTCATCAGAAACACCCATGACTCTAGCTTGAGCCATGGCAATAGCCCGGAACTCGACGGACAGCATCCTCAGCTTCGGGACAAGCCCCTGTTGAATTTGAGAAACGACAGAGAGAAGGGTTGGTGTAGCGAGACCGAGGTGGTATTCCTCATCTCGGTTGGAGCAAGGCGAGCGCTCACCCAAGTACGTGAGCCAGAGAGCTTGAACGGTACCATCATCCGCAACAAGAACACCGCTACCGCACTGGTTGCTCAAGCTCGTGTCAACAGTGATGGCATCGACATTGATGGCGCGGTATCTAGGTGCACCAGAATTGGCAGGAATTGCTACCGCAGTGACCTCAGTGACCGTTGTCGACGCGTGAACAATCTTTCCGATTCTGTTGTATCCCATAAAGTTGGTTGAAGCGCCCTGTGAAATGTTTTCGGTGCTCAACTTTGCACTCTGGACAGGGGCGTCAACCAACTTCGGGTCATACTGGACAATGGCATAGTTTTGCAGAGGGTGAAGGAAAACAACCTTGCCCTCAACAATGATCGAGTCGGCAATGGTAATGGTCACATCACACAGATCATAAGGCACGATGGCTCTTGAGATCACGACGAGACCTTTCTCAGCATCAATAACCAGACCCATACCCCACTTCCTGTTCTTGGGGAAGCCATCAAGCTTAACGGGCATGGTGCAGTTAACGTGAACGAAGCTGCGCACCAGATCAGCAATAGCAGGATGCTTCACGTTCTCAAGCTGGATGAAAGATGCAGAGCGAGGAACTGGGGGGATGGGAGGCAGAGGGTCCGCGAGATCAGTGAAGTCCCACAAACCAGTCTCATCGTTTCTGACGGCCATCTTCATTTTGGCCGACCAATGCCTGTCGACGTAAATGACTGTTGTGTTGAGAGTATGTAAATCGCGGAGATGTTTGTGTGTCACAACCACCCTCGACTTGTCCGGGATGGCCTTCATAACTTCGATGAAGGACTCCAAGTCGGGTGTTTTTTTGTGGTCAACACTTTGAATGAGCCAGCCATTGTCAGAGTTATCAAATCTGAAGGAGCCAGTGGCCTCGCAAACAAAGACTCCTTGGCAAGCGACGCCGTACAGGCGAGCTTGTTGGTAAGACAAGCTATGGAAGCTGGCCCCAGCGACAGATACAAAACGGTCGGGAGTGATCTGGTGCAGATCACCGACTTCGATCTCGACCTCAATGTCCTCACCACCACGCTGAAGCTGGAGGTGGATCGTCTTGCCGACATTTGAGTCCAATAGGTCGTCCAACCGGATGAATTGAGTCACCATCTCCCCGTTGAATTTGATGAGGATATCGCCCTCCTCAATCTTTTGGTCAGATTGTCCCTTGGGAAGCACAATCTCTGCAACAAGCATGTTGTTCTCCTTGGGGAAAGCTCGTCGTGCAGCAGCCTCCATTTCTGGGGTGAGACCCAGACGTCTGCACTCATCGAAAGGCTTCAGCAGAAACTGGCACTGAATATCGCCTCTGGTGACGGGCTTGCCTTGCTGGATGCACTGTAAAGCTCTCAATGGCCGGTCAAGCGGGAGGAAATAGTCTGTCGAAGCACCGTCAGAACGTCCGCCTGCTTGCAAGGCAATTGCGAAACCATCGATGTTGACCACTGGACTGCCAGAACTGCCACCACTCGCGGCCGCATTGGCTTGGTAGTAACATGTGTTGAAATCGCTGTATCCATCACCATACTCGGGTGCATTTCGGTCGAGGCGGCTGATAAAACCAGACAAGATACTGAGCTTCTCTCCAGCATCGTTACCTACAACCCTGATCTCGACGCCAACTGCAAATACGTCAGCGCCCCCACTTTAAAAATATGTTACCCATAGAGGTGTCTGCTCACCCTTTGCGAGATCCGGCCGGAGCTGTAACGCGTTCAATTTCATGTATTTGACGGCCTTGGGGTCGAATCGCAAGATACCGAAGTCATGAACAGGATCGCGGTAGACGGGGTACGCATCGACCTCCTCGTGGTTGTCAAAGACAACGTAACCCCAGAAGGGGCCTGCTCCAACAACATGTCGGTTTGTCAGGATGTATCTGTTATATGACCGAACCGTCAGCACTCCGTTCGCCTTCACAATTGTAGAAACCGGGCCTTAGCCGCACCCTTTCTGAGCGTCCACCACAAAACCAGTCGCCTCGCTCGTTAACGCCGGGTCCGTATCGAAGGAGCAGGTCTGGCAGAAACGGATGGAGACAACGTTGCTCACAACATTCTCAATTGTCTTCTGCCAAACCTCGGGTTCCTGGGTGATGGGGAACATGCTGTTCAGCATCGAAGTGTCCTCTAGCTCGGATCCGTCTTCCTCGACGAAGGACGGGTGGTCAATCTCGATTTCGGGAGTATTGTCGCCAGCAGACAGCTTGCCATTAAGGGCGCGGTGCTGTTTATGCGGTCGCAGGCTCTCGGGGCTCGTCGGGGCCTTGCGCTTGGAGCGCGGCGACGTGTTGTTGCCGTTCATGTCTGCGGTCGTCGTTGTGGTAGTTGACGGATTAGAAGATTGAGTTTGCGGCGCTATCAATGGGTCCTCAGAAGCGACTGCGTCGGCGAGTAACGGGGAGGAGGAGAAGAAACGATGATGGGTTGGGTCAAGGGCCGTTCGTCGCGTGGTCTTATAGTAATCGCCTCTGAAAGTGAGGGCTGGAGGAATGCGGTAGCAGCCGCGTCTGGCGACCAGGAGCTGGTGCTGTTGTCTGAGAAGCTGGGGAGAAGTGAGGGTGGTAAACGTTCTCCAAGGTGTGACTAGGGTGGTAGTGGTGGTGGTGAATGCAAGGCTCAAGGAAGTCACAGTCCCTTTGCGAACGGAGACGGAGCGCATCCAGCGATGGGAAAGATGGTGGCAACCCTCCACAAGCGTTAGTCCTAGGACTATGAACAACCAGCGATCAAAATAGCCTCTTGCCTCTTAGGATAATAATAACAAAGAGAGCTATTCCTGACGCTGCGACGCATGTGAATCCTCTGTTTAGGACCAATACACGACAACAACCAACTGTCTTGTTGGACGTCAAAAAATTTCAGGTTGCGGAAAACGGAAGCAGACACAAACAGGATGTGGCCAGCAGTATGGGGGCCACCCAGACCAGATCACCAGGCTAGGTGCATAAGAGCCCGCTTATATGGGTGGGTGTCCCAAGCGGGTGTCTATCCCTGCTTCTAGTTCCCACTATGGCCCCGGCTGCTGATGTAATGTGACACTAGCGTCCCTCACAGAACCAGTAGCCTTCGCTAGGCAAGAGAGGCAGCACGGCAACGTCCCGCCTAACAGTCATGACAGGCAGACGTCAACGGGTGTGCCTGGCCGCAGGACTACATGGGACGGCGAGAGATCATGCTCTACAACGCGCACACCACCAGGGCAGCTTCAAGACTGGATGAATATGCAGGTCTCACATTGTACTTGCGCGAATGATCAGCTGGGGTGCACCTTGATTTGGAGTCTGCGTTCGACTCTATGATTCGTCTGAAGCAGACTTCATTACCATCTAGGTATAACCATCACCCACCACTGCAACTCGTGGAATACGAATGTAGAAATCATTAGCCGTGATCGAAGGAAGCCTTATGGGCCATGTGCTTCAGAAAACTTCTGGTTTGATTCATTGATGATCAAACTGAATGTTTTGGACGCTCACAGGCATTCCGGAGACTACCACGACAAAGCCACAGCCTATCATTCTGGTTGTCGGTACTGCCACCAAATCCTGATGTGTCTGTAGCAGCGACTTTGTATGGTAAAGCCTTCAACCTTCTCCGCTTGGATTGGTCAAGTTTTGCTCCATTATACGAGCGACAAGACAAGATTTTTGATTTGCCTCCAGATGTGAAACCCTCCGTTTGCCTTTTCCCTCCGACTTTTCCGTAACCTATGTCAGTGGGAAACGGCGTAACGCCATTTGTAGACAGGCATTAATGCTGATAGACCATAGACTATCGACGTAGCTAATCAGAATACACGAGGTGCTTTGGCTACGTAGCCATCGAATTCCACTATCGCTTCGAATATCTCAAGCTGGATGACAATCTTTACAGGGGGCGCAAACCACAGCGTCTGGACTTTCGCATGTTCCTGAACGAGTCGACCAGATTGAAAGGCGTCATTCTTTGGGATTTGAAGAATTTGAAGTCTAAGCGCTCTCTGTTGCCAAATTGAGCTGACTTTGGCTACGCATCAAGGAGCATTTCACAACCAGTGTCAATCGCATCATTTTGTGTAATTTAATCTCAGTTGTATTGCTCGGAATCCCGAAAGTACTGAATACCACAGCGTCGGTGTCCTGCGTAAACCAAGGCAGTGCGAAATCATCGTTCCAATTCCAAACCGAAGAGCCATGTTATTGCAGTGGAACCAGATCATAAGTTTTAGGAGTGTTCTTTGATCCATTCCTCAAAGATTCGCCATCAAAAATGTGGGTGGCAGGCCTCGCCGGCCCGTCACGTGGGCTGACGGCCGCCACCACTGGTCTTAGCCAGCCTCCACAGCCCTCTAGCCAGTTAGTTAGTTCTTCCAACCAACAACACCACTTTTCCCATTCTGAGCGTTCTGTGCTGGTTTCGCCCACAGGTTATGAGCCCAGCGTTATTCTTTCGGAATAACGTCGTTTTACCCATTATTCTACTCGTCTGTCAATTTTCTATTGATTCACGAATTTTTGCGATTTTATTCGCTTTATTTACCCTTCTGTGCGATTTTCTCGCTTTCTTTCCTTCCTCTTCGCTGACGAATTTCACTTTCTGACGCGACATTGGCTGCCTGGCGCGCACGAATATCACGTGGCACGCGACCGACCACCACAACCCACTGGTTTTCACGAACACCACGGTCAACAACAGACTTTTCAGTCACAACTACAACTTTTACTTCGATTCCTCGTTTTTCACGAGAATTCAACCATTTCAGCTTCGGTTTTTCGAACCAGCCCATCAGTTTCTCGTATCTTCTACGAGTATTCATTCTTCCCTTCGATTCACCGTATTTCTACGGTCGGATCTCACAATTCCACCCATTTCTCGTGTTCTTACGCAAGATTCTCCCTCCTACACAATCCAACAGCACGCGTAGGTGGCAGCGAAAGTAAGCCATCTAACGTACAGACACGCCTCCAAAGCTGCGGCCTCGGAGAAACGCCTGTGATCGAGGTGCGACTATAAGTCTGTCCCGCACTGTTGTGATACCCTCACTTTCACTTCAAGATGTCTCAAAACGACTTCAAGACCGTCTTCACGCCTCTTCCTCGCCTGAAAGGTGAATCCAACTGGAACACATGGCGCATGCTTGTTACAGCGACCCTGCGAGGATACGACTTCGAGATATTCCTCGAGACTGACGTCCCTCGCCCTGCTGACCCTATCGCTGCAGAGGAATGGAGAAAGAACCGTAACGTCACGAATGGTCTCCTCATGAACGCCAGCGAATCGGTTCTTGACAGACTCTGCACAGCGGGTTGGGTTGACGATGGAAACCCTTACGAATTGTGGCAGGCGCTCGAGAAGCACATTCCGAGAATCTCACAAGACGCCACAGCTGCCCTTGTTGACGAGTTTGCCAAGACCACCGCCAACGATCACAAGACTCTTCACGATGCCCTCAATCGCTGTCACCACCTCAGAAAGCGTATTGAGACCATTCACGGTCGTCTGCCAGACTCCTTCCTCGCTGTTTTCCTCCTTAACTTCTTTAAGGACCGACTTCCCGATACGTACAAGCATTTCACATCGAAGGGCGCCACCCATCCCACGTGGAATGAGGTGGCTGATACGATTTACACGCTTGCCCAAGACGAGGATCAAAAGCGCAGTTATGCCACTATTCGCAACACACCTGGAGGCAAGTCTGCTGGCAGTGGGGGTCCTGCCTCTCCAGCCGTCACCACCACCGTCACCTCCACTGTCACTGCCTCCAAGGAAAAGAAGAAGTGCGACCACTGCAACTGTGATCACGAGACCACAAAGTGCTATGTCGCCCACCCCAATCTCATCCCTCTACACTACGTCAACCGGGATAAGTTGATTGAAAAAGCGAGAAAGCACGTGTGTGGCGATCGCTGCCGCTGGGATCAGCCTACTTATGTTGATGGCACCCGCCAGACTGTTGTCAGAGCGTCACCTGCCATCTTGGGTCAGTCTGCCCTTGCCTCCATCGCCAGCCCAGCAGTTTTCACTGCTGCCCGCGATGACCTCATCACCCGAGACGATATCGTTCTCGATTCTGGTTGTACTACTTCAACCTTCAACAACTTGCGATATTTCGTCAAGTACGCTGAAAAGAGCGATTTGACACCTTCCACTTCTGCCTCCGGCGCCCCAGTCCGGTCACTTGGCGTGGGCACCGTCTTCTTCCAGACCCAAGACCCCACCAACCCTGACGTTATTCACGATTGGACACTTCACAACGTTGAGTACAACCCTTCCAGCCTAGCCAACTTACTGAGCCCTGGAAAACTTCGTCGTGATCACGTGGAATATGATTGGCAGACCTCAAGCCTCATACACGTGACACAGCGCACTTCCCTTGCCAAAGTTCATTGGGTTTCTGACGTCTGCGTCGTTGAGACTCATGATACTGGAAATCACGTGCCTCGAGATATTGCTGTCAGCCTCGCCGCCTTCCGGGCTACCCAGCGACCGTCTCTTGAACTGATGCACCGCCGGCTGGTTCACGCCCACCCATCACGTGTTGTGGAGGCTTGCCGCCGTGTTGGCATTCGGTTCACAACGTCAGAAATTGACGCTTTCTTCTGTGAGTCTTGCCATCTCAGCAAATCCACTGAACGGATTAGTCGAGACCACCCACTTCCACTTACGAGTATTGGCGATGAAATTCACCTTGATCTCGTTGGTGTTCTTCCCCTATCAACAAAAGGGAACCGTCAGGTTCTACACCTCATGGATAAGTATAGTGGTTACCACTGGGTTGTTTTTCTGCCCAACCACAAGTTTGCCACCATCCTGGCAGCTATCAAGAAATGGGATACTGAATTCTACAGTCTCACCGGCCTCAAGCCCAAGGTTTGGGTTTCTGACAATGCTCCCGAGCTAATCAAGGTTTTCAACGACCCCTACTTCGAGGGTACTCGCCACAACACGACTATTGCCTACACGCCTTCCATGAACGGTACTATTGAGCGTGCTGGTCGTACCATCGTCGAAGGCGCCCGGACACAGCTGATTGACATGTCCCTTCCAGAGGAACTGTGGGATTACAGCATCGATTCGGTGACTCAGATTCTCAACCTCTTGCCCACACCCTCCAAGGGTAACTTGAGCCCTCACGAGATCATGGCGAGAGAGCTGAACTTGGCTGCTGAACGTGAGGCCCCCCACATTGAACATCTCCGAACGTTTGGCTGTGCTGCCTACGTACACAAGAAGGGCCCTCGACGCCCTATGCGCTCTGCCAAGATGGAACCACGAGCAATCAAGGGATTCCTCGTCGGTTACGGTTCTCTTCGTGGCCACATTTACTACGTTTACCTGCCTGATCGAAAGGAGGTTATTCGCTGCAGAGATGTTCGATTTCGTGAGGAACCGCACAAGACAGTGTTGCCTCCAACTACTGGCACACCTAACATTGATGAAATTGAACATGATGCTGCGTTTGTCGAACCAGATATCATCATCCAGTACACCATCCGTCAGAAGCCTATTGAAGGTGAAAAACCCGTGACTGGTGATCCCAAACCAGATGAGACCATCGTTGAAAAAGCGATGGCACCCACTGATACACATCTCATGTCTCCGCCACCAGAGAACCTGTTGGAGACCACTGCTACACCTCGTGACAGCATTACTAACGAATTGAATGATGACGAATTCGTCGCTTCCGTGGAAACAATGGAAACTGATCACCAGGACCCTGATTCCCTCTCCACGATTGTTGAGGAAGCAACGAGTCAACCGGCAGAGTCCTCTCGACCTCGCCGCGCCTCAGCCCAGCGACCACCTGGTCACTACCGAGCCGCCAGTGGCGTACGCTCCTATGCTAAAAAGACTTTTCTATCTGCTGACATTCCAGCTTCACTAACTTCTCGTCAATTCTCTCTCAGCGTGCTTTCTGCTACTGCCCTTTCGAAAGTCCTACCCGACGGCGTGGTGATCCCGAAGTCCTACCGTGAGGCGCAGAAGAGCCCACAGTGGCCCCAGTGGGAACAAGCCTTCGAACGAGAGATGACTCAATTCACGGAAAAGGGGGTTTACGAAGTCGTTTACCCACCACGTGACGCTAAAGTCCTGCCCGGCAAGTGGGTATGTGACATCAAAACCAACAAAAACAACGAAATCGTGCGCTACAAGGCCCGATATGTGGTTTGTGGAAACCACGAGAAAGGTGACTGGTCATCGCAAGAGGTTTACGCTGCAGTTGCCTCTGCCACCGCAACCCGCCTTTTCTTCGCAGTTTTCGCACTTCTCGATCTTGAATACGAAGTATATGATTTCGACACTGCTTTCCTAGCCGCCTCGATTCCAGAGGGGGTTAAGGTGTACGTCCGGCCCCCCGCTGGCTACGCCACTGCAGACAACAAGGTTTGGCTGCTCCACAAGGCACTCTATGGATTGAGAAAATCACCACTTTGGTGGTTTCGACTTATCAAGGGTGAAATGGAACGAATTGGCTTCACTGCTGTTGATGGGGAGGTTTGTCTCTTCGTCAATCACAAGATTAAAGCGTACGTTCTTATGTACGTCGACGACAACGCCATCGCCGCTCCCAACAAGCAAGTCATGATGGAAGTTCGTCGTCTCCTCGAGAAGGTCTGTTCTCTTAAAGACCTCGGCGAGGCTACCGATTTTCTCGGTTTCCAGATTGAACGCGACAGAGCTGCCGGTAAGATTTTCGTTTCCCAAGCCAAGTACGCAAAAGCAGTGCTTCAACGATTCGACTTTGATGGTTTGAGTGCTGTCAAGACGCCTATGGCGACCACTGACGATCTGCCCGTCACCTGGGACAAGAACGAGTGCTCGCTTGACGAACAACAACTTTACATCGAACAAACCGGCTGCCTTAACTTCCTGGTGGCTGGAACTCGCGTTGACATGGCCTACACCGTCAGTAAATTGTCACAGGCGAATTCAGGGCCTTCTAAGGCCCATCTTCGTGCTATTAAGCACTTATTCCGATACCTCAAGGGCACCGTTTATCTCGGTATTGTACTTGGAGGCATCCCCACGATCAACGAGTTGGGGCTCTACGCTGCTGCAGATGCCTCTTTCGCTGACAACAAGCCATCACGAGTCTCGACAGGTGGTTACGTCGTCTTCCTCGCTGGTGCGCCGATTGCTTGGAAGTCAAAGAAACAGACTTTCGTGACTTTGAGCACCACGGAGGCTGAATTCATCAATCTCACACCTACGGCAATTGCTGTGAAGTGGATCAGACGTTGCCTCTCCCAACTGCTCGGCAAACCCATCACCACGCCTACTATCATGTTCACTGACAGTGCCAACGGCTACGACAACGTCATGAACCCACTCAACGAGGCACGAACCCGCCACATCGACGTCCGATACAAATGGATCATACAGGAGGTTCACACTGCGAAAAGCATCGAACTCCGACTCATCAAGGGCGCTGATATGGCCGCCGATGGACTCACGAAGCCACTGGTTGCGGTCAAACACAAGGAATTCGTTCGTTTGTTGGGCATGGCGGAGGGATTGGATTGAGAGGGGGATTTTGAGACTATGGGACTATTGATATTGAGACTTCGGGATTCGGAGGATTTCACGGCCTCCTATTGGCCAGGTTTAACCGGTAATTGACCGAGTTTTCTAATAGTTGAGAACTCCTCGGATTTGGAGGATTTGGGACTTTTCCTGTATTTCCTATTATTCTACTGCTTTTTCGCTGAGGAGTCTGAGAGGGGGTGTGGGTGGCAGGCCTCGCCGGCCCGTCACGTGGGCTGACGGCCGCCACCACTGGTCTTAGCCAGCCTCCACAGCCCTCTAGCCAGTTAGTTAGTTCTTCCAACCAACAACACCACTTTTCCCATTCTGAGCGTTCTGTGCTGGTTTCGCCCACAAAAAATGAAAGAAAGACTGCGGCCAGAGCATCATGATCTAGTTATCCTGCTCATCAGTTTTTTCCTTAGGCTTGACCTCATCGTCAGTCTTATCAGCTTCGACCTTAACGGGGGTCTTCTTGGCAGGAGTGCGGCGCTTCTTAACAGATCCCTCTGCCCAACATGTTAGCATTTCAAGTTAGTGGAGATGAGTTTTTCAACCTACCGCCGGCAATGGTGGAAGCGCCACGCTTCTTGGGAGTGTTGGGCTTCTTAGGGGTATCGTCGCTGATGTCGTCAGCATTCTTGCTCTCAGCAGCGGCCACTGCCTTCTTGGGCATGTTCTTCTTCTGCGCTACATGTAAAATTAGTAGACAATACAAAACTTGACAAAATGGACTCACAAGCCCGGGGCTTAGAAGGCGAACTCTCGTCGCCGCCCATGTTCAGCTCGCGCATTTGAGCCAGGATGGTGGTCCATTGGTTCTGCATGGCCTTGACAGTGCGACCAGGCATATTGATATTTTTCCACTCAACGCCCTTCCCATCAGGGAGCAGGCTAGCGAGTATGCGCATCATGAGATGATTCTGGTTGCAGCCATTAGTATTTGGTTTGATAATCGAGGCTCGATCCAAGTGTTACTTACTCTCTCGGTGTCGGTCCAAGCACCTGCCCGAAGGGAACTGGGTCCCTCGCCGGCATTGGTAGCAGAAGGCGTGTTTCCCTGAGAGTCAGCCATAGCGGAAGGACGGTATTGGTGAGTAAATGGTACTGAAGAAGTATGAATGTTGTCTAATTGAAAATATTAAAATGGGAAGCAGTGGTGCCGTTGAAGTGGCAGCTGGGCTGGTGGTGTTAAGACAACTTGGAATAGTTTGTTGGGGCCGGTCTTCAGCCTGCCTAATTACGTCTGCAGAAATTGAAGAAGGTGCCTGCCTTCCGCCTAAAGACTCGGAAGGAAGCTACGGAAAGGAAGGTGTTCTTTCTGGGTGCCGGGCTAAACTCCTTCCCTCTCCAGCTAAAAAGTCCTAGCAACTTCCCACAGCCAGATAAGACTTTCTTTTACTGCCCATCCTTACAGATTCACGTAAATGCCCTACCGCACGAATGGAAAGATAATATACTGTTGAAAAGGCAGTTCCGAAGGAAGGCAGGTAGTAGTTTTCATCAGGTGCCAGTGGGGTCATAATATTAAAGCGGCTTAAACGCTAAGAGGCAACAGACGTCGGGTATATTAGATAGTGATTACTCTGGTTCTCTTGAGAAGAGGTATTTCACCGGCTGCATGTAACAACCAACGTAGGTACCTATTGGTGATGCTTCCATTATGATCGGGTTGAGATAGATCAAGAGGAAGTTACTTCACTCCCCAGTCGCTAAACTAGAGATCGGGTTCTTGTAGTCCATTCTACAGAGACATTCCATTCAACTGGTATTCGTGAGAAGCAGTCCTCTCTCAACCTTCACTTTGACCGGTCTATGGCAACCTTCCGTCCATCGCCGTAAGCAACCAAGTCGAAATCGCCATAGATTTGAGCATAAGATTCTTGATTTAGTGGCATTTATTGTCTATGTCTCGTGCGAATGCCAAAGAACACCATCCCTGGTCCCAAAATCCTTCAAAAAGACCAAGTAAGTGTGTCTAGCAAATATTATACAACCTTTCCCATGTTAGCCAAGGCCACAAAAAGTACAGCCAGGGCCTAGTCCGCAGTGGAACGAAAAGAGTCTCCAGAGAAAAGGCAATCGTTATCGTCGATTAAGCTCGGGCACCCCAGAAAACAATGCGAAAGAAAACGCAATATGTAACGCAAATACGAGGTGTACACAAAATACTACCCCTCCGTTCGTGTCGCAGGGTAATGTCCCCGTATGTCGACGGTTGAACTATATTTGGAATGCGGATTGATCAGCTGCAGGTAGTGAGAGACAAGTTGAAGCGTGAATTAATATCCTCCCAAATGCCGGGTATCGTTTCGTGTCGTTTCCCATCAGTCTAAGCTGTCGTCAAAGTCGAAATTACCCCTCCTCAGGTGAGAAACATGAATACAAGAAATGCTAAGCCCCTTGTCGATGTATGCGTCATCGGTGAAAGCTTTCCTCTACGCCATCTTGCCCTTGTACACCATGAACTCTCGAATGCGTGTCTCGTGTTCCTCGCACGCCATAGTCCATTTCCTCCGTACCTCCTTGTCCTGTTGCATCCAGTCAAGATACTCTTGAAGTTCGTCGTTGCCACGAGAGGCTAGAAAGGCGTATCCCTTACGAGCTCGGAGATCGGCAATGTTCGTTTTACGAGCGTTAAAGTGCTCGATTACCTGGGCGTTGAAGATCTCCCATCTCAAAACATAGCTTTGGAAGTCTTGGATATACTTTTGCCAGGCGCCACCGGTAGGCTTCAGGTTTGGTACCGCAAAGGTGGGCGGAGGACGAGGTGCCATGGGGACTACCGGAAATTCGAGTACTGGTTTGCTCTTCTCTTTCTCGATGGGGATTCTGCTTGATGGTTGACTCTCAAATGGCAGGTTCATCTTGAGGTCGCCCAAAGAGCCTAGGCCAGAAGGACTCTGTGAGAATGGCGCAACATTCTTAAGCTCAGCAAAGCTCGCTCTAAACTCTTCGCTGTCCTCGGAACCTGCAGCATTAGGGTTGAACTCCGGCTTCGGAACAGTAGGTCTGGCAGCAGTTTCCTTCACACCATTCACATTGCCAGGCCTCCACTCCGGACGAGATGGCTCCACCGGGATGTTTCTTGCACTGTTCGATTGAGCAGCGGCGGTGGGTGCAGCTCCAGTGTGTGGAGGATCAATATCCATGGCGTTCGGACTCTTTGCATCAACTGGCTCGGCGGCGGTCTTGCGACCTCGCCAATCTCCTTCCTCGTCGCTATCATAGTCGTCATTCACAAGGCCTGCACTGCCTGCGGTTGATTTAACCTTCGCCTTACGGGAGTTCGATCGAGTCGCGCGAGTCGGAGACGTGGACATAGGCTGATTTGACTGAGGAACAAAGTTCTGTGCCCCAATCTGGGTCGTCCAATCCTGTGCATCAAATTTACCTTCAGCTGAGGGCGATTCTGCAGTTTGGCCAGCAAAGTCGTTTTGGTGTCGTAGGGTCGGGCGCTTGATCGGTGATCGACGGCCTACGCGGCTTCCAGACTGAGACCTGCCACTCGAGTCTTGGACAGGGCTTCCGGCACTAAATTGATAGGCCCCAGAACCGTCGTTGTTAACAAACCTAGTATTAATATCGTCCGTACTCCTTCGACTGAATGATGGTTGCCGCGGCTCGGTACGTGTGAATGTCTCGTCATCAATGGGGAAATTGAAACTATCGTAATGTTTGCTGTCAGCATGATCAAGTGAACTGTGATAATGTTTTAAGGTATTTTTATGGCGTTTTTCACGACCAATCGGCGTCAGTTCTGGAGTTTGCCTCTCAACAAGCCGGCTCAGAAGTTCGCCTTGTTTGCGCTCAAATGGTGTGAGGGAATGACTTCTTGTACTATCTCCACTGGGAGATGAGGAATTGGAGGACGACGAGTCTTTCGTCGGGTCCAGTTTCTGACCCTGCTGCATCGGCTCCTCCCAAATCACAGGTGAAGGGTTTTTGCCGTAATTAAATCTGGGCTTAAGAAATGAAGCAAAAAAAGACGACGAGGAATGAAAGTTGTCGTACATTGAAGATCCTTTGGGTGTTCCTGCGGTCTTAGTATTTCCGTCTTCTGGCACTAAGGTCAGCGTGATCTCGGGAGGCGTTTGAGTTCTAGACGAACCATCGGTTGAAGTTGCTGGTTTGGGATGACCACTGCCCTGAGCGAAACCAGCGGCCACATTCGGAGGCGTGTATCTTGCACTAGCCTTGGATCTGAATGGATCTTTGGGCGATTCGGCGGCAGTGGCACTGGCTGTATTTGGCCGGTCATCATATGGTGTCGTGGACGTCCGAGGGCTTGAAGGCTCCGTCTTTGCCTGGCGTGGAACGCTCTGCGCACGCTGACGAGCGCTTCCTGGGGAGAGGTGGGGGCCATAGCTTTCCTGGGGCGGCCGAGGACTTTCCCGAGTGCTCTTCGCGCGTCCTATAGGCACTCCGTCGAAAGGATTAGTTTTTTCACCGCCATGGGAAGAGTAAGGTGTACTCTGTCGCGTGTCTGTGAACCCTTCGCGAAATTGAGCCAAGGGGTCCGGTACGCCTTGTCGGCGAGCATTGTCGGCAAAGATATTAGAATGCCGATTGGTTGTAGAGTAGTTGGAGGCAGCCACTGGAGGCTCGTCCCCAGGAGCAGGTGAGTGAGGTACATAACCACCTTTGCGTGCTCCGAATGCTGCTTCCGCCCTTTGTCTTTGGGAGGGTGTCCGCGGCACAGGTCGCTTGGGCGGCTCAGGAGGTTCATTCTTGGCTTTCGACTGAGACTGGCTAGCTTTGCCCTTCATATTTTCAAAGGCATGCCAGGCATTCCGTTTCGCCTCCGAGTCACTCTGTTGCTGGGCCTTGGCAGTGGGAGCAGCACCTGAGGCAAAGTTGCGATATCTATTAGCACCAGAGGAGGAGGGTGGGTTGCGAGCTGTTGCATTACGACGGGGCGGGGGCGGGAAATTTGAGCCAGCATTCTGCCACGGGTTCCCTTTCACTCCGGACGCAGTAGGGTATCTTGATCGCGTCCTCCCAGCATCGTACTTGGCTCTTTGGTCGGGATCGGTTAGGACTTCGTGGGCTGATTGGATCATCTGGAACTTGGAGTTGACCTCGGCTTCCCTACCCGGGTTGCGATCGGGATGGTACTTGAGAGCTGCCAGAGAGTCAGCTTGCTAGGTCAATGCATAAACGAAGAGTACCGTCTCACCAAGTTTCCGGAATTGCTTCTTGATCTCGTTGACATCGGCATTCGCTGGGATCTCCAGGTCCGCGTAGTAGTCGCGGCTCATGTCGACGCCTCCCATCTTGACGGTGGATTGAGGTGATCAACTAGTGGCAAGGTGTAAGAGCTGATCAAATTTGCTCAAGATGCATTCCAAGATTGAATACTCTGTGCGTATACGGTATGTGTGGCGACGATGTAAAAGTGTCAAAGCGGGTGTGATTCGGAGCTTCTCCCGTCGCCCGACGTTTATCCAGCTTGTTCGGTCGAGTAATTTTGGTCAGGAGTTTGTCGTTGGTAGCCTTGAGGCGGAGTCTCCTGCGTTGAGATGGCGAGGTTGTAGGTGTGAAGTTATCGTTTGTAGGTAGCTCCTCCTCGTGGCTCAGAGTAGCGCAACTGCAAGCGCGTATTCGGTGGGTTGGAAGGAGGCGGTGCACTTCTTGGAGACGAAGGGGACTTGGCCTTGAACAAGTTTCGAGTGCGATCGCGCTCGCGTTGACGAATGAGAGAAGGTGCAAAAGAGTGGAAGACTAATATGGTGAACGTGTCAGCCGCTGTGTCACGAGGCAAGTTGCAAAAGGCAGGAATCATGTATCCACGATTGGGAATACCGCGGAAGACACAATAATGACAGTGGTGTCAGACGAGCGTAAGCAGTCGGACAGCCTACGGACAACGCTTGCCAGACAAAGACCGAGAGCAGGATGGAAGCCAGCAGCAGCCGACACAGCGATAGTGAATTTTCGCTGTGTTTTGCAGCGACAGGATCGTCGAGCAGGCGAATACCGCATATCACAGGGATTGGTATCGATGCTAGATGACGGAACCAGGAATCGCGGAGGAGCGCAGATAGCAACCCGGCGATATAGGCTGGATAGGACCGCCGATTTAAAATCCAGCGAGCGGCAGCCAGCCAGAAAAAAGAGACGGAAGGATATTAGCTCTCCAGGAGTGGTGCTTCGCCGTCTTTCCCTTGGTCATGGCAAAGGGGAAATGCAAAAGTGATTGAATAGATGGGCATGCGACCTGAGGAACAACTCACCAAATGACGTCAAAAATGACCAGCAGATGCAAAGTCGGAGGGATCTATTATGCGACCGGATGAGCAAAGGAATCGCAAGATAGCATCCAGACGTGATGCAACGCTGAGTCGCCGTCCTCCAAAGAAGAAAGGAGTTTGCAGGTTGTCAAAATAGGAGGAGCGTTGCGAGCCGCATTTGCTGGGCGTGGTATTTGCGAAAATGAACAGCAGAAGCAAATATTACATAGTACAGTATCTGCTGTCTTGTTGACGGACCACCCATCCTTCGTGTCCGTTCGGTTGCGCGGGCAGCAGAGGGTTAACTGGGCAGGGGTCTAAATTTTTAGCAGGGACCTCAGGGACTCCCCGGCGACATTCAACCGCTGTTCGTGCTGCACCCAACTGCCCCTCCATTACAGGCTGCCTCAGCTCTGCTACCCCTCTCACCTGCCCTCCCTTCTTGTACGTAGTACATGCATTGATACATTAGTAGCCTCGTGGGCCTACCTTTCTCTCTTAGCTGTCTTCCTCACCTGAACCTCTAAATGTGGATACCTCAGCTGCCTAAAATGTCCAAGTGCCTCCCCCCAGTCATTCTATTTGGGCTAAGCCACCGTTTGAGTGGGGAGCTCCCGGGAGGCGTGATAAACAGCGCCTCGATCATCACGACTGGTCAAGCCACCCGCTAAGACTTATGGCTACGTAAACCACGAACACCGCCCCAATTTGACATGCTGACGTCGACTTATCCCAGCGTGGTTATTGACGAAGAGTAAAATCTCAGCCTGATGTTGGGCAGCTTTGCTCCAGTGCTCGCGACGACAACAACTTCGCGTTTACCTTAGAAAATGTATTAGCTTTGTAGGTGCACGTCACCGAAACATGTTGTCAACGACGCCTCTTCCCCGTCGCTCTGTCATGTTTGACATGTCTTATACCTGCACATCTGCAAATTTGCGCGTTTATTCTAATCTTTATCTCTCTTTGACCCTCAGCGCCGTAGCGATTGCTTGTAGACATACTAGTCCTTCTACCGGCATCATTGCACCTAGTGAGCTCTTGTAGCCAATGCTAGGAAACTGTAGCGAAGCTACGTTATGAAACACATGGATGCTTTCAGCCAAAGCTTCTTTAAATAGTGGTCCTTTGAGAACTCTCAACTCTTGCAGTAATCGACACCAGCCATGATGATGCAACTAGTTTCGCTCATATAGCCTAACCCTATCTCGCCATCCCCCACATTAGCTACATGAGGTAAATCTGAGCGAGACTCGGATTAGGTAGATGTCTACATCTACTGTTGAAGCCCAGTATGGCGGAATGCTTTTCTTTGTCGCTTCAAAACTCGACCGCAAGGCCATCAATTTGGATAATGTTGGTTGCTTCGTTATGAACACCCTTGCCACAACCATCACTTTTGTATTCCTTGTTTTGGGCAAAGGAAAATCATTTTATATATGCTAAACCCTCGCAATATGGTTTACTATATTGCGATTTTTGTGACCGCAATGCTACTACCATGCAGCCGGAAGCACTCGGCAATTTGTTACAGACCATCGGCATATAAGACTGCAACTTCCCACGAGACATAGAGGAGATTTGAAAGTCTCTCACGACATATCAGATGCGACAAGGGTCATTGATGCATGTCCCCTTTCAGGTTGGGCCTAAAACTGCACCCTTTGAGTAAGTAACCCAGATAAGTCTAGCACAAAATTTTCGGATTCACGAGACTTAATAACAAGCATTGAAAGAACAATTGTCAACATCTCTGCGAAGATAAGTTTATCAAAACTCGCCGGCCGCTGAAATAAATGGAACAGGCCCGCCTTGTTGCCAGTCACAAACCAAGTCGTTTTACAACAGGATGCATGATACTATGATTGTAATGAGAAAACTAACAGCCGCACGATTAAGCCTGGACCCTCGTATTTTTCTGCTTGTGATCTTGGAGATATCCGTAGGGGGGTATTGAGCTATTATTGTGATTTCCGGGATCTCCTTCACCATGTTATTGACCATGCACATCTGCCCTAGGCGTGGCACCAAGAAATTAAATGAAATGAGGATTGGCTCATTGTCGCAAAGAGGTCACTCTCTCAGCACTTTCTTCCGCCAGAAAAGGGTTAGAAGCGCTGGAACGGTGCAGGCTTAACTAGAGGTATGAAACTATATCAGGGCAAGGAACCTAGACATCATCAAACCCTCATGGTACACTATTTACCACCCTCGTGTAGCACAGTTCTCGGCGCTTTTTCTTGTCGGACCTAGATTCGAGCTGTTTATAGAAGCAGGCGACCAACTTCAGACGACGTCAGATTTGCCCCGCCCCCGCTGACTCTTTGACCAAAACGCGTGGATACGCGCCCGTTGCCCCGGCAACATCTGGAACATCCCGGCAACGATACAGGCCATGACACATCCGGGGGTGTGAATAGAAACTCGGCAGATGTAACTTGAGTGCCCAGAAAAACTCATTTGTTTTATCATTTTGCAAAAACTATTGCATTTGTAAACCAATGTCTTATGCTACCGTCCAACGCCCGCAATCAATACAATTCCAAACAAAAGTTTGCCTCCACGGCAGTGATTAATACACGCGCAATGCTTTAGCCGTGTAGCCATCCCCTAGCGCCCATCCAGCCCTGCAGATTGATATCCTCATGAGCGCATTCGCATGTGTGTCCAACACAGCTGTATCCCTGACACACAATAACAACGCCGTAAACCACACTTGGCACTCAAGCCAAATCTTTGCTCATTTCGTACGACCAACCGCCCTCTCTACGCAGCCTGTCTCGGGCCGCAAGATCCTTTCGGATTTCGTCCTCCGTCAGACGGTCTGATCCGCTCCAGTTTGCGCTAGACGTCCGCGCTCGGAACTTGTGCCATCTCTCCTTACTGTTGTTGAACACTTCTTCCATGTTCAAAGCACGTGGAGCACCGAAGATATCTGAGGGATCCGTATTCTCTTGTCGCATAAGAGCTCGCCGCAAATCGGGCGAGTCGGCCCAGGCTGCCACGAACCCTTCTTCCTCATCTTCATCTTCAGGGTCTGTGTCAATTTCAGGAAGCTCAATCTTGTCGCCATCCTGGAATCGAGGTGATGATCGCGTGGCCGATTTCTTGATCGTCGTTGTCTTGGCACTCGCGGCACCCATAGCTCGCGCCGGCGTCTTATGCGCTGGACCAGCGGGATTGGGATTAGGAGTAAAAGGGATTTCTCCCTTGGCAAACTGATTGATGTCCAGCTGCTTGGTTGCTTTGACTGTGCTATTGTGCTGGGCCGTGACAACACCCTTGAACAAATCCCTTGATGCACTTTGGGGTACGTTGCCGTATCCACTCGAGTACATCGGCTTTGTAGGCATCTCCTGATGGTGCGTGTTAGCAGCGGTTGGGATTTGGTATAGAGACCTGTGGGGAGAACGAACCTTCTTGAAGCCGACTGAGGGGGGTCGAACAGGAGGCCCCTTAATATTCGGGGGCTGAATGTCCATGTCAAGCTCATCAGCAAAGTCGTCGCTAGTACGCCGACGCTTGGCTTCCTTAGTTTGGTAGGATGGTCCATGGCGAGCTGGGTTGCGTGAACTGCGGTCATCGCCACCGTCTTGCGGGAGAGGCCTCTTAGAGCCAGCCTTGGAGGCATTGGAAAGAATTGCATTGACCGGTCGATCCTCTTGAGACCGAGGGATAGTCGATTGCAGACGGGAGGGTGGCCGAGAGGGCTGGCCGTCACTTCGTTGGCTTGCTGTGTAATCGGGCGGGCCATTAGGTTGAGATCGGACGGCAGGCGGCGGAGCTCGAGTCTGTTTCGCACGCTCAATGGCGGCCTGCCTCTTCTTCGCCTCGGCTTGTTGATCTCTCTCTCTCTCCCTTTCTCGTTGTCTTTCCGCCTCTTGCCGCCGTTGCAACTCTTGCTTGCGCTCTTCCTCTTGAATAGCAGCGCGCTTGCGTTCAAGCTCAAGCTTGGCATCCTTTCTCTTCTGGATATCTCTCTCCTCTTGTTCTTTTCGCTTAGCAGCAAGTTCAAGGGCTTTCGGCCGACCCGTGGACCCAGCGGAACTCTTGAAACTATTGACCGATGCCTGCTTGCTGTGAGAACTCGGCTGGGACTTAGGCTTCACCGATGAACCTTCTAGGTTCGAAGACAGTTGGCTGTTTGACGGATGGTACTGGGAGTGCTGGGAAGTAGTGTTGACACGGATAACGGTCGGCTGCTGCTTTGTTCTTGTGGCAGTTTCTTTCGTTGGCTTCGTAGGACGACGGAGTTCTCTGTTCCTTGCTGCCTGGCTCGGGCCAGCGGATCGAGTGGCCGAAGGTGGTGGTACCGGGACTGGCGCCTCGGTCATGTCCACATCTGGTTTCTCCTTCTCGGAATGAGAAGCGGCAACAGGAGCTTCGGTCTCGACTTGGCCCTTGACCTTGCGCGGGCTCGTCCTAGTCGGTTTTGATGGCTCCTTTGGTGCCGGGGTTCTCGCAGCTCTCTCCTTTTCCTTCTCTTCCTTCTCCCGCTCTCTCTCTCTCTCCCTCTCCCCTTCTCTCTCTCTCTCTCTCTCCCTTCTCTCTCTCTCTCCCTCTCCCTCTCCTTCTGCGCCGCGATCTTCTTTTCCATGGCAGCAATCCTTTCTTGTTCTTCGCTGAAAACTCGAGCCTTTTCACGTTCCTCGGCACGAGCCCTATCCAACTTGCTCATTTGATCAGCCATCAGCCGGGCTTCCTTCTCCTTACGCTTGTCCTCCTTTTCCTTTTCAACAGATGCCCTTGTTCTCCGCGCAACAGGCCGCTCGGGACTTCCCGTAGCCGCAGTACCTTGAGTGTCGACCGACTTGTGCTTGGACAAGTCCGGGTACAATGGCTCGGCAAAGACCGATTGCGGAACAATGGAATCTGTAGATGATTCGGAATGGAAGCCAAGTCGTGTGGATGAAGGCGACATCAAAGATTTGCCCTCAGCGCTAATTGCCGCACTACTAGCAAGAAGACCTTTGGATGTCTTTAGAATAGAAGACAATTTGTTCTTAACCTGCTTCAATGGACTATCACGGAAGCTTCTTGTTGGGGACTTCGGGGACTCCGGCCGTCCATCCTCTAGGACTGCAGACAGAGGGTTGGAAACAGAGATGTGCTTCTGGGACAAAGCCAGATCGTCGGCCATCTTCTCTTTTGATAGGTCAGGCAAGACGGACACAGAGGCAGACTTGCCATGACCATGTGTGCTAGTGGTACGTTCAGGGACAACAGGCGCTCGTTTCGGAGAGCCTTTTCGGCCAGGTTGTTGTCGCTGTTTAGGTAGAGCAAACTCAGAGCCACTGACAGTATCGGCCTCAATGCCTTCCATGACATCTGCAGTATGACTCTTAGGCAAATGCGGCCGCGGAGGAGAAGCGGGTACATCTTTCGCAGGTACTGGAGGTGCAATCCAGTCTTCTTCGTCATCCTCATCGTCTTGTGGGAACGCCCCAGGAGTTGGTGGTGGTACAGATTTCTTAACTGGTGATGCTGCCCTCGTCTCTGGTTCAGGCTGCGATGGAGGAGCCTGGACGATCTGTTGAACGACTGCAGAATTCGGTATCGACTTTGAAGGTCGGCTTGCGTTCGGCTGAGATTTACCAAGCATGTTAATCTGATCTTGTAACCGCTGAGTGTAGGCCTTGTTGTGTGTAGAAGCATAGCTGTCGGCATCGTTAATCGTATTGGTTACGGTATCGATGTCCATATCATCGTTGTCCTCGTCATCTGAAGCCCCGAGAACCTCCACATTGTTGCCCAAACTCTTGCCGCCTGTGTTTCTGCCGTAGTAACTCGTACGGTGGTTGTCCAAGTGACTTGTTCTCGATACACGAGGTCCGAGGCTCTTATTCTTCAAGGGCTCTCTGGCAGGCAGCGAGGCGAAGTTGAGACTGCTCTTCCTAACTGGCCGAATCGGGCTAGAGTCTACGGACGGTGACCGTGTATCTTCATCAAGGTGGACATCGACGTCTTCCTGTGATTCGGCGGCCGGCGTAGGTTGGGGAGGCGGAGACGGAGCAGCTCCAAGCGACGGCGAAGGCGATGCCTGCTTAACTGGGGAGCGCCTACTGGGCGATGCCTTGAGTGGTGATACACGCTTTGGCGACTGCGGCTTGGGGGATAAGACGGGTGATGAGGGAACCAAGACCTCTTTCGTGGGGCTACGGGAAGCTGGTGACTCGAGAATCTGCGCGGGAGCTTCCACAGTTACATCCTTCATTACACGTGTCGTCTGGTCTTCCTTTGCCGTCTGGAATGTAACCTCAGGTGAGCGCATGGTCCTTGTGACAGCCGGACTTTGAGAGGTATTCTCTTCATCGTCGGTATGGAATGCAACATGACCACTCCGTTCCGTGCTCTTTGGAGGACTAGATCGTGGCTCGGTTACCTGTGTCTCGTCCTCGACAAGGTCAACATCCATGTTGTCCATATCCTGACTGCCATAGTAGCCAGAATCAGCTAGGGCAACAGTTTGTTTCGAAGTGGCCGCCCTGGGAGATGCAGCCATTTTGTGTGGTGAGGCAGTTCTGCTGAGACTGGGGGACGAAGTTGTTTGCGCGACGTTGAGCTTTGGCGTTGATGTTCGGGCAAGCTGTTGTGTGAAGGCGTTCGGCGCGCCTTGAGGGGTTGCGGAGAATACATCTGACAATGGCTGCTTACCGTTAGCCAGAAGTTGATGACGCGGGTTAAAATCAACAAACTTACCACACGAGGCTCGCCGTTATCGACTTTACGCGCTGTTCGCGGTGTTTTGCCGCGAAGCTTTCCTGGAGTTTTGAAAATCTCGGCCACATTTCTGCACATCATGTTAGCAATTGATTTTAAGTTGGCTACAAGGATAAACGTGCACTTCATTCTCGTTGAAGATCCCGGCCATATGCTCGTTAAGCCAGTCCAGCTCGTTTCTTGCGGCAAACGAAAATTCCTCGGCTTCAGCTTGGACGATGCTGAGTGCTGTGGTCCTCTCCTCGGCGATCCATGACGCGGAGCCAAGTGGCACACGCGTGCCTCGCATTGTAGCCATTGTGTGTGGGAAGTCGCGACGAGCGCAATAGTGTCGCTTTGAAGAGAAGAAGAAATGCTAGCTTGTCATCGAGTTCTTAAGGGAGTCGGGCTGTGGTAAAGGAGCTGCTTGGGGGAAAAGAGGATAGCAAAAGTGGGAAACAGAAGCTCTATGTGTGTGTGTGCGGTGGTGTTGATGGGCCTTCATCATTTGCCTTTGCGAACCGAATGTTTTGGTCGAGTCCGGATCCGGTTTAGCGCGGCTGAGAGTCGTGGGTCCCCTGGCTCTGGGCAATGACAATGGCGCTTGCGGCAAGACCGCGGTTGCTACAAGCGATAAGGGCCTTATCGGGCGGGACAGGTGGGTGAGGGTTGCATGAAGAGGGAGGAGTGGAAACGCGACCGAGCCAAAGTAAACAAAAAGTCTCGACACTGGCAAGAGCTCTCCTCAGCAACAACATCACCAGGTACTAACCACTGCAGCATGAGGGTCATAGAAGTGATCATAGACGTATGCGATTTGTTTTCTCTTGTCTTTGCTACCCAGAACTAACATTTCACAGGGCTTCAAGTCGTATGCCGTGCGAACGGTGATTTCGGGATGGTAAACAAACAATGCATCTGATTTTCATAGGGGGACGCAGGCTCACACAGCACAGGGACGAGAGTTTCAACTCGATCACCGGCCTCAACGGCTCTGGTAAATCTAATATTCTAGACGCCATCTGCTTCGTTTTGGGCATTACGAATATGACCACAGTCCGAGCGCAAAACCTCCAAGTACATAACCCATTTCGAGTGACAATCGATGTTTTGCTTCAAGCTGATGCGATGCGTGATAGGATCTTATCTACAAGCGTGGTCAGGCCGGTGTTACGAAAGCGAGCGTCACAATTGTCTTCGACAACAGAGACAAGAAGAAGTCGCCCATTGGATTCGAGGAGTATGCGACGATCAGTGTTACTCGACAAATCGTTCTCGGCGGCACTTCCAAATACCTCATCAACGGACACCGCGCCCAACAACAAACAGTGCAGAACCTGTTCCAGTCTGTCCAGCTCAATATCAACAACCCAAATTTCCTCATTATGCAGGGCCGAATCACTAAGGTCCTCAACATGAAGCCAGTCGAAATCCTCGCTATGATTGAGGAAGCAGCAGGAACCAGGATGTTCGAGGATAGGAGAGACAAAGCGTTAAAGACAATGGCCAAGAAAGAAATGAAACTCCAAGAAATTACAGGTCTGTTGACAGAAGAAATCGAGCCGAAGCTCGAGAAGTTACGGACAGAGAAGCGCGCATTTCTAGACTTCCAGCAAACTCAGAACGATCTAGAGCGCCTGACGAGAGTGGTTGTGGCACATGACTATGTACGGTATCAAGAGAAGCTCGAACAGTCTGCGGCAGATCTCGAGGGCAAGAAGCAGCGACAAAATAACCTCGAGGAGTCTGCGTTGCGGCTGAAGAGTGAAATCTCCCATCTTGAAGAAGATGTCAAACGAGTGCGCGCACAACGCGACAAAGAACTCAAGAAGGGAGGGAAAGCACAAGCTCTGGAGGATGCTGTCAAGAAGCATTCCAATGAGATTGTTAGACTTGCGACGGTCATGGACTTGAAGAACTCCAGTATGGCTGAGGAAAAGGAGAAGAAGACAGCCGTTGAAAAGACTGTGTCCGAATTGGAAGCGACATTACAAAGCAAAACACAGGCATACGAAGAGATTAAATCCAAGTTTGACGCTGTCAAGGATGACCTAGAGAAGCAAAGTCAAGACGCCGAATCCAAAGAGGAGCTGTTGCAAACTCTACAGACTGGTGTTGCATCCAAGGATGGCCAAGAAAGTGGTTACCAAGGCCAACTTCAAGACGCCAGGAACCGCGCAACCGCCGCCGTCACCGAACAAGAACAAGCGAAAATGAAGATTGCTCATCTCGAGAAGCGCATCAAGGAGGAGGAGCCGCGGGCAAGAAAGGCAAAAGAGCAGAATGCTGGCCTCCTCCAGGATCTTGAGGGTCTCAAGTCTCAAGCACAGAGGCTTGAAAAGGAACTGGGCAAACTGGGTTTCCAACCCGGCCAAGAGGAAGAGCTCTACAAGCAGCAATCTTCTCTTCAGCAACAAATTCGGGGTCTCCGCCAGGAAGCCGATGGCTTGAGGCGTAAGGTCGCGAACATTGACTTTAACTATGCTGACCCTGTACCCAACTTTGACAGGTCTAAGGTCAAGGGTCTGGTTGCTCAGCTCTTTACCCTCGACAAGCAAAACACCCAAGCCGGTACAGCGCTTGAGATTTGCGCTGGTGGCCGCCTCTACAACGTTGTGGTCGATACCGAAGTCACTGGTACTCAGCTGCTCCAGGGAGGAAAGCTTCGCAAGCGCGTTACCATCATTCCTCTCAACAAGATTGCTGCTTTCAAGGCCTCTGCTCAAGCCATTGCCACAGCGCAAAGAATTGCACCAGGCAAGGTCGATTTGGCCCTGTCGCTCGTCGGTTACGACGAGGAGGTATCTGCTGCCATGGAGTACGTCTTTGGTAACACACTCATTTGTGCCGATGCAGACACAGCCAAGAAGGTTACTTTCGACCCCAATGTCAGAATGAGGAGTATCACTCTCGAGGGAGATGCGTATGACCCGTCTGGTACACTCTCTGGAGGTAGCTCTCCCAACTCAAGCGGCGTACTCGTAACTCTGCAGAAATTAAATGACATCACTCGTCAGTTGAAGGAGGCTGAGGGTTCGTTGCATCAACTCCAGCTCACTATTGCAAGCGAGAAGTCCAAACTCGACCATGCTCGCAAGATTAAGCAGGAGCTTGACCTCAAGAGTCACGAGATCAAGCTTGCCGAGGAGCAGATCAGCGGCAACTCTTCCTCTTCCATCATTCAGGAGGTGGAGAACATGAAGGAGACTATCGCTCAACTTAAAACCGACACTGCAGAGGCCAAGAAGAAGCACGCTGAAGCCACAGCAGACGTGAAGCGCATTGAGAAGGACATGAAGGACTTCGACAATAACAAGGATGCAAAGCTTGTTGAGCTCCAGAAATCCTTAGACAAGCTGCGAGCTAGCTTGACAAAGAATACTGCGTCGGTCAAGGCGCTGCAAAAAGAGGTGCAAGCCGCCCAGCTTGACTCTGAACAAGTCGCAGGTGACTTGTCTGCAGCCCGCGAGCAGCTGCAAGAAGTAGAGGTAGCTATCAAAGCTCAGCAGCAAGATGTCGAGGACCTCGTCAAGCAACAGGCCAGCCTGCAAGAGACACTCGATGGTGTGCAGGCTGAGTTGGATGACGAGCGTGCGAAGCTTCACGGCTTCGATGATGAGCTGCACGCTCTTGAAGATGCAATCCGGTCCAAGAACGCTCGTATTGCTGAGGAGAGTCTCGAAAAGCAGAAACTCGGCCACCAAGTTGACAAGTTCCACAAAGAGCAGGAATCCGCCGTGCAGAGAGTGGCGTCGATGGAAAAGGAGCATGACTGGATTGCCGATGAGAAAGACAACTTCGGCCGTACAGGAACACCTTACGACTTCAAGGGCCAGAACATTGCCGAGTGCAAAGCGACTCTGCGCAACTTGACGGACCGCTTCCAGGGCATGAAGAAGAAGATCAACCCCAAGGTCATGAACATGATTGAGAGTGTTGAGAAGAAGGAAGTTTCGCTCAAGCACATGATGAAGACGGTCATCCGCGACAAGCGCAAGATCGAGGAGACCATCATCAGTCTTGACGACTACAAGAAGAAGGCCCTGGAGGAGACGTGGCTGAAGGTCAATGGCGACTTTGGCCAGATCTTCAATGAATTGCTGCCTGGCAGCTTCGCCAAGCTGGATCCCCCCGAAGGCAAGACCATTAGTGATGGCCTCGAGGTCAAGGTTTCGCTTGGAAAGGTGTGGAAGCAGAGCTTGACTGAGCTTTCTGGTGGACAAAGGTGAGGACACCCTCATACCAGGTTACAGTCGCATCAGAACTAACATCAGACAGATCCCTCATCGCTCTCTCCCTTATCATGGCCCTCTTACAATTTAAGCCTGCGCCAATGTACATTCTGGACGAGGTTGACGCCGCCTTAGATCTGTCGCATACCCAGAACATCGGCCGGCTGATCAAGACAAGATTCAAGGGCTCGCAGTTCATCGTCGTCTCCCTCAAGGACGGCATGTTCCAGAACGCCAACCGAATCTTCCGGACTCGCTTCAGCGAGGGAACCAGTATGGTTCAGGCGCTGACACCCGCTGATCTCAAATAAGTTTGTGGGTAAGTGAGTAAGCGAGCAAGTGCCTTGGCCGCCGTACCTTGACACTTTTTCTGTGTTTGGATTGGCACCTCTCATGATGATGACGATGAAATGGAATACCACACACAAAGAGAGCCCAACTTTCTTGTCATTAAAGCGGTTTAGCAACAGTTGCGTATGATGCGATGGGGTTTTCTTTGGGTTTTGGTCAGATACCAGGAAACGCGCGAGCAAATGGGTGTGGCTGCGGAATTGGAAATACATCGGTGTAATTTTGTATTGAGGGCCGTGTTTTGGTGAACGCACCGGGCCTTTGGGAGGAGTAACGGCATTTTTAATCTACGGAGGCTCGAGTGTGAATATTGATGATTTGAATTTCTGTTGTCCTGCATTTTGGGTTTGACTAGGTTGTTCTACATTTATCACGCCTCTATCCATTTTCACCCATGCCACGGCCCTGTCAGTATGTCGTTGCCGGCACGCAGGGCAGCGAACGACTACTGCTTGATGTACACATGCTCACCGCGCTCCTTCACGTCTACGGCCATGCCGACCTCGAGCCAGCCCTGCATGTACTCGACACGGTCGATGCCCTTGAAAAGCGGGCACAGTTGCATTCCCAAGCATCCCATGCGCGGCGCGCCTTCGTCGACGTCGCGGAGCTTACGGAGTGACCTGTCGGGCTCAACGCTGTGGCGGATGCCCGTGGCCGGATCGACGTTGGGAAGTTTGCACCTGTTATCCAGTCAGTTTCTCTTGGCTTGTCAAAACGAGTGATAAAGGGAACGGGTAAAATGAGTGGCGCCACTTACCGGACAGTACGGCAAGAGACTTGAAATTCTGCGGGAGTGGTAGTCTTTGAGGTTCCTTGGGTGAAGGTGACGGACTTCCACGACTCTTCGTCATATGCCGGGGCACCAGCGACTGCATTTTTCTCATCAGCCAGACATACATCAGGTAGCAAGGAGAAGGTTACTTACGGATGATGTTAGAACGGAACCTCCTAACATCAAGCTGCTTCAGGTCATCGTCCTTTGGGACCTGAGAATCAAACTCGCTGAGACTGCTAAGGTTCATCAAGTGCAAAGGATACTAACACAATCATTAGCCCTCCATTCGCCGCAAGTCCTCTAGGAGGGTTTCCTTCATCACGTCAGCACACTCACCGCGTCCTGGAACCCAACAATCGGTTGATATCCAGCCTCATCCTTGGGCGGCGCGCATCGATAGACCTCTCTCAGCTTGGATGGGTCAACCCTGAAAATCGCCAACTTGTTGCTGACGCCCAGATAAAGGCTTAGCTCCCTGGGGATCTCCTTCCCCATGTTCAACGCGGGAACCATCTCCTTCCACACTCTCACGTCCTCGTACGTGTACCCGCGCTGTTCGATATCCTTTGCGGTGGGGAACTCAATAGGCAAGAGAACCTCCTTCTCCGGCACAGCGCGCCAGCCGTCGCGGATCTTGGCGGCAATCCATTGCATCGCTCCCGCAAAACCGCGGTCCTGCCAGGGGAAGCGGAACACGATCCAGGCGTCGCCGGAGCGCTGCTCCATGAACGCCGTGCTCTTGGTCGGATCCGGGACGTACACATCAACCTTGACGGTTGCGAGGAGGGGGAACTGCCGTTGTGTAATGAACTCCCAGCTATGCTTATCCTTCGTCTCCTCTGGCGCATCCAAGGCGACGGGGAAGGCCGACTTGAGCTGTGCGAAAGTGTACAGCCGATCGAATTCGAGGCCAGTCGGGAGCAGCTTGCTCTTGCTCATCTCAATACCACGGCATGATTTGATAGGATACACGAACAGCGCCTGCAGTCGAGCGGCCGCTCCGGGCCGGGCCTCCTTGTGGGTGGCGGAGAACTGGTCCTTGAGGTTGCTCTTTGGCGGCGTGACCCCTATTCTGGAGTGTGTGGCGCGGAGTGCATCGCTGGTGGTCGCCGGGATGGGAGGGAAGAGGTACAGGACCGGGATGAGGAAGCAGATGACGGTTGCGAAAGGGAGGAAGTAGAAACCGAAACTCAAGCTGGTTGAGCCGTGATTCAGGGTACCCGCCGCCGACATGTTGACCGTTACTCCTGCCGCTGCCGCTGCTGCGTCCATTATGATTATTGTTTGTGTGAGTTGCTTCTCAGTTATTGTTGACTACTTTGTGGCGTGTAATGTTTTTGTTCTTCTTCTTTCTCTCTTTCTTCTTTGAGACAGATTGTTTGCATTCCTTTAGGTCTCTCCCTGATGCTGATGCCGCTCCCTTGTAAGACGAATGTTGGAAGTTCTGAACAAAAGGTTGACGCGCTTGGTTGAGTCACTTCCTATTTCAAGCAAACCAGGCTTTATTTCGTTGACGTCGATTCAGGTATTCCAGTACATGATACGATATGAAAAGTCGCATCACCTCATCACTCGAACAACCACGTCACTATTGCTAGCAAGGCTGAAACTTTTCGTTCTCGGCCATCCCTTTCAGGGTCTCGCGACTCTCGAAAGCCCAAGCGCATTTGAAACTCACATCACGTGCTGTATCATGTGAATTGACTTGGTCTTCCCCCATTTAGTCGGGGGAGCTCCCTAGCTTTAGCAATTGGTCTGTGCATGAAACGAAACATTGGTTGAGGAATGTCTGTACCAATTCCCATGTCTAATTTTCAGGAACCAGGCTACGGGCGGGCGCAGGTTGATGTCTGGCAGCAGACCGTTGGCCACTTAATCAAAAATCTAGCCCAGGAGAGGAGCGATCCCGCATTCCTGCCTTTTTGCACTGTAAGTATCCGTGTGATAGGGTCCTCAGCGCACGGATCGCTGTCTGAGATTAGCGGTTTGTACACATCGTCAACCACCCGCCTGCTGGATGAACCGATGACGATGACATCGACCCCGTCAACATTTGTTACCGGCCCTTACGCCCGTAAAATAGAGTAATTTGCCGTGACAATCTACAACGGCGAAATCCCCGACCTCAATCCGGTTGGCTCGTGCCTTACATGGGGGGTTAGCCAACCTCCCCGTCCCCTGAACGCGGGTCGCTGCTCACTGCTCCGAGTGCTGATCCAATGCTAAACTGGGATGTGATGAGATTGTCACAGGAAAACCACCAACTTTCCGCAAGGAGACGTCGAGCTTCAGCCTCCAGCAGCCCAGTTCTGGGCATTGATCTCCTTTGGTGCGATGAACGCTCGAGCGACCGTCCCTTCTCCTGCCACTCGAGAATCTCAGCACTGACGATCCCCGCCCACTTCCTTCAAATCGTGCGACTACAACCGACGTACCGGGGAACAGTTACCACCTTTCGTCTGCAACTCTTCATGGAACAGTTTCACTGGCGGTCACTGCGTATCAATCGTCTCTACGCGTCGTCACACCCCGTGGGAAAGTCTGGACCATGCCAAGCGGGAGTGATACTTCCAGTCAGCCTAGTCGCAGAGTCGCAGCGAGCGTACGAACTCAGTCCGTTCCTGGGTCGTATTGAAATAGTTCTCCCGTATAATCCCCCGAAAACAACCCTGGGCCGGTAGTACCGCGGAAGCACAGAGGCAAAAAAAAAAAAAAAAAAAAAAAGATGTCGCAGGCGGTCTGTTGCGATTGGATTTTCACATATAGAGTGACATTGCAGGACAGATCGGCCGATTCAAAGGACAGTGGTGCTCCCGAGGATAGTGTACGCACCACAGCTTTCGAGGTCGTCAGGTCTGGTTCCACTGGATCTATATGCCCTAACGATCGGCCTTTCGTGGAGCTATTTCCCTGGCCCTCTAGTATATTCCCATGGAAATCTGGTTTGCTTGCTTTTCTTTCCCTCGTAAAATGTCAAGTGGGTGGGAGCGTCAACGCTGCGTCAGGAGCAGGGCTTCGGAATAGGTTGAATTGGCTGGTTCAGCCCCCCCACGTAGTGTGTCCGTACAACTGAGGGAGCTCGGCATTGACAGGGGCAGCATGCACGAATGGCACTGATAAGTTGCTCCAAATGTAAAGAAACACCTGCTTGCAGGCTGTGGCTTATGTCTCAAGACATTTGACGATGACTCCACTGCCTCCTCGGCGAGAAGCACTTTGGCATGCCTGCCTGCAATGAGAGGTCCACCGCAACATCATGCATAAGAAAAACAGATATCTTGGAAGTAGCACGCTGGAATGATGAGGGGTGATTCCAAGTCCCGTACCCCCCCAGGGCGATTTCAGTCAAGCTACGCCGGAATGACAGCAAACTAAGCGCGGTTTCCGTCACTCCCTATCCCGGATGGTGTCCCGTCGTGGGTGAAAGGGGTAAAGGATATCAAGCTCAGCTAGCTCCCCGTACTTGGGCATAAGAAACCCCCAGGCTCAGGACTCAAAAGTCACATAAGCCGTCATTGCGTGAAAACCCAGCCCAGACAAGAGGCGTAAGCCTAGGATGGCCCCCGTCAAAACACAGTCATCATGGAAATCGACCGACGAGATGCATGGCAATAGCTTGCTGGAAATTAGAGCAACATCCCCTCTCCTTGCAGGAATATACTCTCTGAGTGGCAGATTATGATACTAAGATGCCACAAAGTATACTGATAGATGGATTACTACATTCCCCCGAGTGTTACATTCTCAACGGACGAACAGAATCCCTTCTTTGAACCCTTGGGTGCGAGAGTAGAGGAAGTTGCTGGACAAACTTCTCGTACATAACCCTGGCCAGTCCACGATACTAAGCACCCAACAGCTAGCCACAGATCAGAGAACCCAAGATGACGAATGAGGCTCAGCAAAGCAGTGTGAGTGCGAAAACGCTGGCTGTTCGAGAACATCGCCCCTTCGAATGTAGCTGCCGGCTACTTCTGCCTCTTCTGGTATTGCTGGGAGGATGGGTTCTTCTCTTCGACCGTACGGGAATCGCTGAGACGTGAACAGCAGGGTATATAGCCAGCCTAGTGGTCTAGGTTCGTCTCTACGCGTCGACGTTGAAAAAAAAAAAAAAGGTGCCGTTCTTAGCCGCACGCTCTAGAAGCTAACGGTTGAGGCCAGCCTGAGTCTTCAAGCTTGCCGATAAGTCGCCCGATCCAAGTACGGGCGCGTATCCGGGGCACACGCCAACGCTGGCTTGATGCCCGCCACAGCGGGAGGAACTAGCAGCTAGACCACCAGTTGAGAGCGATTTCGACTAAGAAGTACCTACTAGTAACGAGTCAATGGTAATAGATGACGCCCTACTACAAAAAGGATGGGAAAGTGATGGAAAGACCCGAGTGTGTCTGAGGGTAAAACCCCCCGTCTTCGCGCGTTTTCTAGGCCCTGGCTAAACAGGCATTGAAAAGGTGCCAAGTGAGTTAGCCTCTCTTGTCATTCACACTACGTTTTTGATGCACCACATTCATAGCTTGGCGAGTGGCTGCATAAAATTCAGGCTAGAGTCGTGCTGTTGTCGTCTGGCTGATGAGGCCACGCTTCGAAAAGCGATTTAACAATGGCACTAGAAAAAGGACGGACGATGTCAACGACTACACAACCCAGACGAATAGGCGTAAAGAATGTATTTCAGCACTTGTCCGATCACCTATCTTATGTTACGAAGCGGTCAAATTGAAGCTGCTTCGTAAGGTGCTACTGTATCGTTATGTTCATATTTGTTGGTGACAGTTTCGTCATATTCTGGCCTTGGTTTGGTCAGAACGCTCGCATTCGTCTAGCTTTACTTTGATTTTGAGGACATGTATGTGTAGGAATGAACAGCATCCTGCTTTTGGAGTTCCTATAATATGAACAAGGGATCGATAATTGCGTACATCGGCGCCTTGCCTTTTTGTCCAAGGGATACTAAATTAGATGGCTATAGCAAGCCATAATAATGTTCGTGATGCGTCAATGATTCCTACCTTCTCACCGTATTGGATGTTTCCAGCGCCACCATCCATTCAGAGGCGGTTCATCCGATAAGCGTTACCCTTGAATTAGCAAGACGTTCCGTTGAACGCACTGAATGAGAGATGCTCCGTCCGTTGCCGCCAGAAGCCTGAGGCTATTGTATCTTGGTGCGGATGCAGCGGGCGGATTGTGTTATCTAGGGCTGGTGTCCGCTGCCAATCCTCGGGGTCCAGACTCAACATTCTGCTCTCTTTAGACCGGCAGGCCTTGGAGAGATTTCATCTAATCAGTTTTCGTCTTTTGTTGAACCAAAAGCCTCCTCCTGCGAGGTGGATGTCACAAACCCTTGCTAAGTCATATTTTTTTCTGGGGCGGTCGTCCGAATCGCGCGCAACAAAGATACCCAGTCTGTTCTTGAATGGGCTGGGCGAATCAGAGCAACTCTGGGGCTCAAGTGGGTACTTGGGGGTCGCGGCAACCGTGACTTTGACGCAGCTGGGTTGAGACTTTTGCGGCTTTCAGCAAGAAATGACGCCCAAATTTCAGCAGGTTATTTCCCTTTTGCACGGATTGACTACCCCGTGCTGGGCATGGAGTTCTGATCCGCTAGAGAGAAACCAGCCTGCGGCAAAGCCAGCCGCATCCTGGGCGATGGCATGACTCTATTCTGTCTTGGCTAGACGTCTCCTGTATTCTCGTGACTCTTTTTTCATTGGTTTGGGCACTTAGAGGTAGGCTCGTTAGAATATGACAGCGTTGGGATTGAAATGAGCGTACTCCGTAGCGGTCAGCATGTCACGCCGAAGCCGACAAGTCGGTGGGTGGATCTGTAGTCCGGACGCAAAACCCATGATCCCGACAAGGCCAGGAGCCATGACCGCCTCCGTGGTGGGGTGGAAAAAGCAATGAAGAAAAAGTTGCGAGAGGCTTCAGGGCTCAAGCCTGCCACCTAACCCCTTGTCTCGGAGCGTCCCTTGGTACGGAAATCTGCAACCCTGCACCAGCAAAAGGCGGACCACGGCTCGTGACACCTACAAACCGCGGATCTTGTGTCCTGTTGTAGGCAGTGTTGTCGCTATGAGATGGCCAGGCCAGAGCGAATGAGGCGTTGAGAAGGTAGGTTGTCAGGCAATGGCAACTTTGCACAAGATTTCAAAAAGCCCAAGCATTTACTTGATGTATTCCGTTTTCACTATTTGCACAGGCGGTCAGAGTGGATATAATGATGCTGACTTGGTCGAATCGCATTGGTGGGCTACCTTCTGCTATAGGGT